CGATATATACTCCCAAGTGGATTCCTGGGACAGCGACAGTACACAGCCCAGATCTCTCATCTATGTGAGAAAACATCTTCAAGCGGATCAACTTCGGCCTTATGCTACACGAGATATCACTTAGGTCAAGGTACGAGGTATTACATTTGCCAGCATCTATTGACCATGCCATAACCCACAGGAAGTGGATGACATTCTGGAAGTATGGACTCCATTCTTTGGCTGTGTCATAGCCGGAGATCTTAATGCTGGCGATACATCCTGGGACTCAAGCAATCCAGGATATTATGGTGGTGCTATACTTGCACAGGCTATGGCAGACCACGGACTGGATCTGATTTCTGAACCAGATGTCCCAACACATGATGATGGAAATGTACTAGATCTGGTTTTCTTAGATGTCCCCATGGCCAAAGCCTCAGTGAATGATGCACTCCAGTGCACTTCAGATCATGAGACATTACGAATAGTTGTCCCAATTCAGGGAGACCTGGACCGGGTCCCCAAGGCTGATCGGTGGATAGTCCCGGATAATAAACTACAAGAGCTGGTGGACAATATCCAAAACAGGATTCATGAGCTCTCTCGGCTGGGTGCATCTCCTGGCCAGGTAGATGCCTTTACGCAGAGCTTGATTAATATAATCCAAGGCTGTGTCAGAACAGTGGGCAAAAAGCCCCGACAATCTAGGCCCACTGCTTGGTGGAATGATGACTGCAAAGCAGCTGTTCAGACATACAGGGCCTTGTCCAAACAGACTATAAGCCAAGAAAGGTAGAATTCAGCCTGACGGGACTTTTGCTGTGTGGTTTGGAAAGCTAGGAGAGAGTACTGATAGACTCTAATTGATTCAGCGACTGAGCCAAAGGATCTGTACAGAATCGTTTCCTGGCACAAGCTGTCAGCAGGATTGCGTTCCCCTTTAATCATCATAGGAGACCAAACATTTAAGCCACAAGAGAGCAAGGCAAATGCACTATGCTCAGCCACGCTTGAACGAAGTACCTCAGACAACAATATCATTGACCCCTGGTCCGCTCAGATCACACAACCCAAGCCATGTATCCCCCTTGAATACTATGTCGGACTGGAAGAGGCTGAAGGGTGCACTATAAGGACCAAAAGCAACTCCCCGGGAGTAGACACCCTTACAGTACGGATTCTGAAAGCTTGCTGGCCAGTCATTGGGGAACATATTAGAGCCCTCTTCCAGACCTGTCTACAGATCGGACACCACCCTAAACCATTCAAAATAGCTGAGGTAGTGATGATCCCAAAACTAGGAAAGAAAGACTATTCTAATCCCCGGGCCTATAGACCAATATCGCTACTGTCATGTCTTGGCAAAGGCCTAGAACAACTTATCACAAAAAGAATTACCTGGTTCGTTGTCAAACTTGGAATTCTAGCTCTATAATATTTTGGAGCTATATCAAAGCGCTCTGCCACCGACTTAGTAGCTGTACTCATACACGATATTGAGCAGGCTCTCGACCAAGGCCTCGTTGCAACGGTAGCCACGTCAGATGTGAAAGGGGCCTTTGATGCTGCCCTAATAGGACGGCTGGTAGTTCGTATGAGAGAACAGGGCTGGCCGGGCTTTCTCATAAGATGGGTCCAGTCATTCATGTTCGAGCGGTCCGCAAGGGTTCGATTTAAAGGTATTGTAACCGATAGTAAAGCTTTCACTTGTGGGCTACCACAAGGTTCACCAGCCTCTCCAATCCTTTACATGCTGTATACCGAGCCAATCTGTGCCCAACTTGGCATGAAAAGAAGACGTTTTGGATATGCAGACGACCTAGCGACTCTCTGCATTAAAAAAAACCTTAAGGAAACAGCTACAGAGGCTTCTAAAAACCTTCATTTGCTCAACTAATGGGGACACAGTAATGCTATTAAATTTGACCCCAACAAAACCGAGATTATGCACTTCTTGCGGAAAAAGAACTCAGACAACCCTCCAGTCCGCCACAGGACAATGAACAAAATAGCTAAGCATTCTATGCGATGGCTAGGTGTCCTTCTGGATAGAAAACTAAACTTTAAAGTTCATGTTTCTCACTGGGCCAAGAAAGCTAGTAGGGTAACAAATCACCTTTGGGGACTATGCAACACAGTCAAGGGACTCCCAGTAAAATCAACCAGGAGGGCTGTGAAAGCTTGTGTTATTCCTATTCTTACACACGGCCTGGAGACCTGGTACCCAGGAATCGAAAAAATCAGTAGCTCAAGTGAGACATCAGCATGTCGCATTAAGGGGCTTCTTGGGACAATAGATGCTGTACTACGAACGGCGATCAGGGCTATCTTGCCAGTCTAGAAAACACACCCTGGGCATATCCTACATTTTGAATCGCAGATTCCCCCAGCTGGAGTTCTTGCAGAGTCAATACGACGACGTCACGACCTTCGACTAGGACGAATAGACCAGAGACACCCTCTTGTTGGCAGGCTCCAAATACAAGCCCGCAAGGATCCAACAAGGCTACAAAGGAGCTTCCAGCTAGTCCCTGACTTCCAGAGACCAATACTTACCAGACCATTATAGAAGAAGCCACCAATCCGCAAGGACAAAGATAAAAAAATAGAGCTCTTCAAGTAATGGCTACGGGAAAGAAATGTGAACATTGACCTTGTCATCTACTCAGATGGATCACAATTGGACGACAAAGGCGCAACCCGCACTGGATGGGGTTATACCAATTAGGAAAGGCGGCACCATACAAGAAGTATACCAGAGAAAAGACAGACTTCTTTAAGCAGAAGTAGTAGATAATGAAGTCTATGGCGCTCTCTAAGGGCTTGTAGCAGCCAGGGTAATTGGACACGGAAAACAGCTATATGTCTGCCTGGATAACACAGCAGTGGTAGATGGCTCAATAGGACTCCACCCAAGACATCACAGAATATTTTTCTACGATTCTAAGAACTGGCCACTGTACACACTCCTAGAGTGACCGTCAAATGGATTTCTGGACACAGAGATATTGATGGCAATGAAGCTGCCAACACACTAGCAAAAGAGGGTGCCATGCTAGAATCAGAAACAACAAACCTTCCTACAATCTCATGAGTCAAGAGAGATCTCAAAAGAAAGGCCAAGAAAGAGTTCAATCAATGGTGGAAAGACCAATCAGAACCTAGTATCAAGAAGTATATTCACATGCAGTAATTGAAAGAGACCTTATATCTTTTAAGAGGAGTACTTTACACAGACTTCTAGCGGCCAGATCTGGACATGGCGACTTTGCCAGCTATTATGAACGCTTTGGGCACACAGACTCGAATGATCACTGCAATTATGGTGAGAAGAAAACATCACAACACATTTTCTTTTGTAAGAGGCTGGGAAAAAATCGGCTACTGTCTAGGCATTCGCTTAGGGCAGCTTGTTTACAATACTTGGGGGAGAGGAGTACAGAATGGGCAAAATTCATGGAGAAGAGCAAGTTCTTTTCAATAATCTGCCCCCGATAGATAGCCTTCCTTGAAGGACCAGATGGATGACCCCAAGGTCATACCGCCGCAATAACGGGGATGGGCCCGTGAGCGGGACTGACTGTACTTATTATCTTGAGACCTCCACAACCCTGCAATGCAGAGGCTCTGGGAGGCGTGGTTTGCACTACTGAGAAGCAATCCCCCACGTTAAATACAAAACAAACAAACAAACATAGCCACGGACTGTTTGAAGCTTGCATCCTAGCAAGATTGCTCACACTATATGAAACATAGAACCACGATATATATTTCGATGTACGTTCACCCAGTGCAAAATTTCGCTATATGCTTTACTTACATGGGATTTCCGTCATGTGATAACCAAAGCGACGGTCCTATTACAACAGCGCCTGATAGGCCAATGTGCAAGTTCAAAATAGAGATAGATTGTGACGGCCTGCACAGACCTTCCCACATGACAAGCCGATACTTCCTAATAAGGGAAGGATCTGACCAAAGGATCCCCTTAAAGGGGCAACCTCCCGCTGTACCTATCTCTCTCTCTCTTCCTTTCCTCTCTAGTCTTGATATTCTCGTCAATAGAGTAATAGCTGCTTGCTGCAGGCCATGTCCCAGCTCCCCAGTATGCTCGCTGTGGCATAGATGGCTTTAAACCTCGAAATAGAAGGCTATGATTCTAATTGCACGGCGCATTATTGCAATCCCGCCAAGGAGCGGCAATGCTGCCAAAGAGCGGTCAGCTAGCGACGGGCTCTTGAACTATATGGCAGACCAACCTACATATGCATAGATATCGTATAAAGGGTTAAAAGGGGTATGGGAGCATGAGAATTGTTGGAAAGCGACCCCTCTGCCCTCAGTCGGAGTCAGTCCCCTCCAGACTTCAGATGCCAAGAGACGGGGATCATCCCCGCATTTCTTACATCGCCACCGTAGCCCAGCTGCCCAGCCGCCCAGCCATCCGAACGATGACAATCATGACATGCATATCTAATGCATGCACATATTTGGTGGTCCCCGGTGTGCAATTGACGCCATCAGTGATCTTCCCCAGGTCAGGTCAGCCGCAAGCGCATGCCAGTGCCTACCTACCTAAGGTAAGTGGCGAGTTCCAGTGGTGGTCTCCTGATCTCATTGGTCCGTGGGTACTCGCGGCCGCTGCGGTTACGCCATTGAACGCCCCATCCCGCGGTGAGATGGTAAGGTACAAACTACTTGCGAGGACTCGCCTGACATGGATGGATTCTTCAGACGGATGCTGCTTGAGGCGACTGGTGAGTGACGACGACTATTTCACCTTTCCGACATTCTACCTACCTACCTTATAGAGTCAAACATTGCAGAGTTGCTTGTGGAATAACTACGACGTCTGCTTCGCGAATCCACCTATCTTGCTTTTTGGTTCACCTTTCTATCTGCGGATTCCCTGCCGCCGCATCTCCAACAGGAGTCTTATTAGCGTCATCAGCGCGCTAGGCAACCATTTGTGCGTTTTCTGTGTAAGACCAATAAACAAAAGCAAGAAAAACATCAAGATGCGACCTCAACTCCTGTTGTCGGCGATACTGGCTGCGAGACAAGCCACCGCGGCTCATTCCGGGTTTGGCGGCTTCGACGGTTTTCACGATGGTGTGCAGAGGCCGTTGACGGCAGCAGGTCCTGATCGTGAGGGATTGGTCGCTGGGATTCGGCTGGATGCGCAGAGTCCGGCGTCTTGCGCTGCTTGTGAGGTATGTCTTGATTATGGACGGTGGTTTGAAACATGAGGATGCGGGTGGCTTGGGTTGCTTTCGAGAGGTCATGGCTGATTTCTGAGATGTCCAGGTTATTCTGCTGCAGTTGAAGATTGCGGCCGCGAGAGGTGATGACTTCTTCGTGCGTGTCACTACGGAGATATGTAAGCGGCTTGCGGTATGTGTCCCCTGAGGCTCCTTATCAAACATTTATCCTCACCGTTTCAATCCCACTCGCACTCCATCGTGAAGGATAAATATAGCGAAAAAAATATACTCACACCCTCGCCAGCTCCAAGACGACGACGTCTGCGAGGGCTCCATTGCCCTGGAGGGTCCGATCGTAGCACATGGCCTGCGCGGCATCGCAGTCGGATCCAAGACGTCGTGGTTAGCCTGTGTGGCGTTCATGGGGTTGTGCTCGTATCCCAAGGTCGAGCAGCGAAACGTGTCGTTTCCCTCACCGAAACCGTCTTCGGCGCCGGCGGCTGGTATTAGAGGACGGAGGAAACCGCTGCGTTTTGTGCATTACTCGGATATCCATGTTGATCCGTTCTATGTCGAGGGTGCTGAGGCGAATTGCTCGAAGCCTATTTGTTGCAGGTGAGGTTGCCCCTGAGTAAAGTGCGTTTTGTTCAAGTTGCATATGGTTTGAAGGTGGTGGTTGTTGTGGAATGGGTGTTCCCCTTTTTCTTCATGTGTCTAGTAGCTGGACGTCCTCAGTTCTCCAAGGCTGAAAAGCAGTCTCACATGGTGCCAGAAACGCTGCTGACGGTTTGGCAGAAACTACTCTGACCTTGATGGGCTTGACGGCAATACGTATCCCGCTGGACCCAATGGCGAGCATACGTGCGATGCACCCATCAGTCTGGAAGAAAGCATGTACGCTGCCATACAAGATATCGTACCAGGTGCGGCTTTCAGTATCTTCACTGGCGACATAGTCGACCATGCCGTATGGAATACGAGCAAGGCTCAGAACACCCTCGACATCACTGGCAGCTACGGCCGCATGGACAAGGCCGTGATGCTTGTCTACGGCACCGCTGGCAACCACGAGGCTTCGCCATCAAACTCGTACCCACCGACGGCAGTCAATCATGATGCACAGTGGTTGTACGATGTCCTGTCATCAACATGGTCCCGATGGATCGGGCCCAAGGCCGCAGACACGACAAAGGAGTTTGGGGGCTACTCGGTGAAGCACCCAGACAGTAGATTGAGAGTGATATCGCTCAGTACAAATATGTACTATACTCACAACTACTGGCTTTACGAGGAACCTATGGAAGAGGACCCGAGTGGTCAGTTCGCCTGGCTCATTTCCGAGCTCGATGCCGCCGAGAAGGCAGCCGAGCGGGTTTACATCATTGGCCATATGCCCATGGGCGGTGGGGACTCGTTTCATGATGCGTCGAACTACTTTGATCAGATTGTGAACCGTTACTCGTCGACTATCGCTTCTTTGTTCTTCGGTAAGCTGAACCCAACCCCTGAATTTCTCCTTGGTCATTATTACCATACTCATATGATGATCAGGACACACACATCTCGACGAGTTCGAGGTCTCATACTCTGACTACGGCAACCGTAATTTCTCGAACGCTGTGGCAATGTCCTACATCGCACCCTCCATGACGCCAACCTCGGGCCATCCCACCTTCCGCGTCTACACCGTCGACCCGGACACCTTTGGCGTCTTGGATGCGACGACATACATCGCCAACATGAGCAATCCGGCCTTCCAGACCACCGGCCCTGTGTGGACAAAGTACTACTCGGCCAGAGAAGCCTACGGGCCACTCGTCACGCCACCCCTAGCGGAGGAGGAAGACGAAGAACTAACACCGGCCTTCTGGCACAACGTCACAGAGGCTCTGGAGCAGGACCCCACGGCATTCGAGGCGTACTGGGCCAGGAAGCGCCGGGGGTGGGAGGTAGACGACTGCGACGAGCAGTGCGCTGAGCACGAGATTTGTAAGCTTAGGGCTGGCCGGGCGCAGGATAATTGTGTGGTACCGGGTATTAAGAAAGACCTGGTGAGGAGACCGCCGAAGCCGCATGGCCTTGCGGATGAGTGCACGGGTTCGGTCACGGCGGATGTGTTGGGGGCGATGGCGCGTGATGGGGATGCGTTGGGGCTGTTTGGGAGGATAGTTGCTGAGAGTGATGGGGTGGGGGATTTGAGGTAGAGAATGGGGGGTAGAGATGGGTCGTTGTGTTAGGGATTTGCATCAATGGCATGGTAAGCATGGCGTGGGATTAGACGAATACACGATATAGCAATAACCGCCTTTTCTGAAGTGTGATAGTGCAATGTTCCTTTCATACTACAGGAACACAGGTGTTCCTCGATGTCCGAGACCTGGTTGATTGCAGTTACGATGTGAGTATGGCGAGGCGCGTGTAAACCATCGGGGACTCCGACAGTAGTCTAGCATGTCGGGAGGTGCTCATGAGCACAGCAACGGGAGTTCTTCATGGACACTGGCACCTGTCGATGTCATTACTGATTGCTGGTTCCCAGGATTTGTTGAAAACATGTATATGCCGCATCGTAATCTGAAATGGGTTTGATAACGGGACAGTGTGTTCGGTTCGGAAGTAGGAGTAGCTTAGAGACCTGACGAGTAAGCAAAAGGGGAGACTTCCCCAAGCATGTGAGGCTGTGCTATTGACACGTTTACAGGGTCCCAAACAGCGGTAAGGCGCCCGCGTACGCGCCGGCATAATGGGATGCGACAGGACCTCTCTCGACACCATCGTGGAAAACGAGCCCCCAATTATCCTTACTCAATATATTGCAAGTCCACGCAGCTGCACCTGTCGAGTTACAATTAACTCCGCGTGTTCCTGAAAGCTGTCTTGTCTTGTACATTTGTTTGTATGCTCGGCTTACGCCCTCGACCGACGCTCAAGGCCCGGCTCAGCCTGGTGGATCTGATTCGACGAGGCAACTTGGACGGATCAGGTGGTCCAAGCAGTCCTGGCAGTCCTGGCAGCCCTGGCAGCAGACCGGACACACCTCAAGCTGCGTCACCTGGCGGCGCAGTTACAGCCGCCATCACTAGGGCGAAAGCCACAGCACTCCACCTGCAGCTGCAACTGCTCGAGGAGACAGCTGTTGAAGCTTCCAACCAACCATTGCCCGCCAGTCCTGCGCCATCACCAGCTTCAACATCGCTTGCCTCGCCTCAGCCTATCCTGTCCGCCGCATCACCTCCAGCTTCACCTGGCCCTCCGACCCCTTCTATATCCATCTCCGAAGCTGCAGGGCCGCCTACCGGTACTCCTCCTACACAACCGCCCAAGATGGCTCCGGTAAGCTGCATCTCCGCCGACCAGACACGACAACAACGACTCCTTCATTGTCTTGCCCCACCCACAGATCAAAAGGCACCTGCTAACGCCTTGAGCAGTCAGCGAAAGCTACCAATGGCGATAAGGATGAGCTCAACAGCGGTAAGAACCTCTAGAACCTCCCTATAACCATGATGAAGCTGACATGTTGTGCGCAGGCAAGATCTTCTCCGTCTCCGGGTTCGTAAATACCACGCAGCTTCCGCCTACCGCCCGAATCCCTCGAAGCTAATGTCTCGCATAGACCTGTCATCATCGCCGAGGAAATGACTGGTGTTGCCATGTACGAACTTGTATGATAACCCTGCCCGTCTTGTCTGCTTGCTTTCATATGCTAACAACGAATAGGTACGAGTCGGTCACGATAACCTGGTCGGGGAAGTCATTCGAATCAGTGGCGACCAAGCCACCATCCAGGTTTACGAGGAAACTGGTGCGTGATATACCAGTTTGCAGGCTTAGGATCACCAAGTTAATGGATAGATAGCCGGTGTCACTGTCGGCGACCCTGTCCAGCGTACCGGCAAGCCCCTCTCCGTCGAGCTTGGTCCCGGTCTACTACACAACATCTACGATGGAATCCAACGGCCGCTCGAGAAGATCGCGCAACAATCCCAGAGCATCTATATCCCCCGTGGTGTTGCCGCCCCCGCCCTCGACCGAGAGAAGAAGTGGGAGTTTACGCCTACGTTGAAGGTTGGCGACCACATCTCCGGTGGTGACGTATGGGGAACCGTTTTCGAGAACTCCTTTATCAAGGTCCACAAGGTTATGCTGCCTCCCCGCGCGAGAGGTACCATCACAAAGATCGCCGGAAAGGGCGAGTACACTGTCGATGAGAAGATCCTTGAGATCGAGTTCAATGGAAACAAGACCGAGCACGGCATGATGCACACATGGCCTGTTCGTGTCCCGCGACCTACAACCGAGAAGCTCTCTGCCGACAGCCCCTTCATTGTCGGCCAAAGAGTCCTGGACGCTCTCTTCCCCAGTGTTCAAGGTGGCACTGTGGCTATTCCTGGTGCTTTCGGTTGTGGCAAGACTGTCATTTCGCAGTCCGTCTCCAAGTTCTCCAACAGCGATGTCATCGTCTACGTAGGGTGAGTCAACCTCCAATATCCATACCCCGAGGATGTCACGACTCTAACCTAACCCTAGGTGTGGAGAGCGAGGTAACGAGATGGCTGAAGTCTTGAAGGATTTCCCCGAGCTGTCGATTGAGGTCGAGGGCCGCAGAGAACCTATCATGAAACGAACAACTCTCATCGCCAACACTTCCAACATGCCCGTCGCTGCCCGAGAAGCGTCCATCTACACTGGTATTACTGTCGCCGAGTATTTCCGTGACCAGGGAATGAACGTTGCCATGATGGCTGACTCGTCGTCGCGATGGGCTGAGGCTCTTCGTGAAATTTCCGGTCGTCTCGGTGAAATGCCTGCGGATCAAGGTTTCCCTGCTTACTTGAGTGCCAAGCTTGCCAGTTTCTACGAACGTGCCGGAAAGACCAACTGTCTGGGTTCTCCCGAGCGTTTTGGCAGTGTCAGCATTGTCGGTGCCGTCAGTCCGCCCGGTGGTGATTTCTCAGACCCTGTCACCAGTTCGACGTTGGGTATCGTGCAAGTGTTCTGGGGTCTCGACAAGAAGCTTGCCCAACGGAAACATTTCCCTTCCATCAACACCTCCGTATCTTACACTAAATACGGTACCACACTGGATAAGTGGTACGAGAAGGACTACCCAGACTTCCCCCGGCTGCGTGATCACATCAAGCAGCTCCTTTCCGACTCGGAAGAGCTGGACCAGGTCGTGCAGCTGGTCGGAAAGTCTGCCTTGTCCGACCCTGACAAGATCACTCTTGATATTGCTACGCTACTGAAGGAAGACTTCCTGCAGCAGAACGGTTACTCGGATTACGACCAGTTCTGCCCTCTCTGGAAGACTGAGTGGATGATGAAGCTGATTATGGGCTTCCATGATGAGGCACAAAAGACTGTCGCACAGGGTCAGAACTGGAACAAGGTCCGCGAGGCGACGGGCGATATACAGGCACAGCTCCGAAGTCTGAAGTTTGAGGACCCGGCTGATGGTCAGGAGGCAGTCTGCAAGAAGGTATGCCGTCACGTAACCCCATCCCAAACTGTCGATTCCCCTGCTTACTAACCCGACCATTTAGTACGAGGAAGTTCAGCAGACGATGATGGACAAGTTTGCTTCTGTTATGGATGAATAAATGGTCTCACTGGTGGGGGCATTGCGCGGTGTAAATAAATAGGGGCTAGGAGGCGCGAAACAGGTGTGAACGAGGGCAAATACACCCTCGCCTATAGCATTACAGTATTGTGTCATCATTATTGACTCTTGAATCCGTCTTGGATTACTATGCGTTCTTGATGATACCGTGCGTTTTTGAGGATGTGAAACATATACACACATTCAATATGCACAAATGCACATCTCGAACAGGCGTAATCATCACTCCGCTATTCCATATGTCCTCCAACCGACTGTTTCTATTGCTCATACCGAACAGGAACAGCATGCAGCCCTTTGCATGGCTAGAAACTAGAACAATTGCGACTTGTTAGGAAGGAAGTTACTCGGACCAAAGGAGATAATATCACCCTGGAATACCACGTCATCTATCATTCTATATGATTACCTTGGTTTCGAGAGCGAGATAGCGGTACAAGATACGGTTGTAGGCTTACATGTAGTAACTAACGACTCCTTGTTCTGGTCTTCTGTTTGCATCGTCATGGAAAGCAGCACATCATAGTATGTGATTTTTTTCTGCCAAGAATAATCGAAGTAAGATGGATGGTAGATATCTCGTACTATGATAGTACTTAGTATATATCGATCATACTTCGTGATATTGCAATTTGAATCCGAATTGAGGGTCCTTATAGAACCAGATTCGCTGGTCGTACCCCTGATGCCGCGTTTCCGTACCAGTTTTCCTTGACCTATGATGCAAATACCCAACACCTGAAGCGCAAGGGATGTCTTCCGCTCTACGGAATCGTATCTCGACACCGAAATCAAGTCGGGCCTGGGGATGCCCTTCCGGTTGTGCTTAAGATACTGAAAGGATATCCAACGCTTGCTGCCCAACAATATGGTATGTCTGCCAATCGCTTCCTGAACTCCAGTATGCCTGCGTAAAGCGACATGCGTAACTTCCGGGTTCCTATTCGATGTAACAGAATCATTGACCGCTGGTAGTTGACTTCCTCGTCTGAGGGTATAATGCCGAATAAGGTGTGGATGGATGCGAAGAAGAGAAAGTCGTAACTCGTGACTCGTGACCCGTATGCAAGCCTCCTCGTTCTGACTCGACTCGATGCTTTCGGTGTGCTCGGCCGGAGATGGGTAGCCTTTCACTCGCTCCACCTATAGCCGTGCCGTCGCAAGTTATGATGCCATCCTGCAGAGCAGCATCCTCCATTCCTCTTTTTTCCTCTTTTCCTTCTCTTCGAACTGTCTGTCAATCGAGCCCATTCACTCACTCACTCCTCCTCCCCCTCCTCCAGCAGCGCCTTCACCCTCTCGATCCTCCCCATCGCGCCCTCGAGCCGGCCCAGCCGATCCCTCTTCTCGACATCCCGACGCTCCAGCACGCTGACGCGCTCCTCGAGCTTCGCGCGCGCGCGCCGCTCCGTCGCCACCATCTCGTTGGCCTGCTCGAACAGCGTCACGCTCAGCTCCTCGACCTCTTTGGAGGTGTCGTCCAGCTTGCCCTCGGCCGCCGCCCGCAGCTCCTTCTCGCGCGACAGCGCCTCTAGCAGGTCGTCCGTGCTAGCCGTGGATGGTAGTGGTGGCTCCGGGCTGCCGCGGCTATTGAGGTGGTGCGGGAGCGGGAGTGGCGGGATGTGCGGCGAGGAGATAGAGGCGCGCGATTGCGATTGTGAGGATAGGTTCGGTGTCGATTTGCGCGGGGATAGAAGTTGTGATAGTCGCGAGGCGGCGCCCGCCGGGAGGAACGAGGACCGCGGACTGCTGGCGGGCACGCTGGGCGTCGGGGTGTGCGGCCGCTTGCTATTGCTATTGGCGATTGTGTTGTTCGCGGCCGCGGCCGCTCGCAACCGTGAGAGCTCGTCCTCGTAGTCGGCCCAGCGGTCGACGGCCGCGGTGGCCTTTTGGTTGAGTAGCCGGACCTGGGCTTGTAGGTCTTCGATCTGCTTCTGCGCTTGCAGGAGGGCAGAGTGCGAGTCGGACCCCGTGCCCGGAGGCAGCGAGAGTCCGCAGTTGGGACAGCAGGTTTCCGTTGTCGTTAACATTGTTGTTGTTGTGGTTGTGGACATCTTTCTGGACTTTTTGGTGGGAGTAGATAGGGGTGGGAGTGTCATGGTCATTGTTGTGGTAGACATTGCTGCTGCATGTAATGTCTTACTCCCTTGGGTCGTCGGTGGCGGTGGCGGCGCGAAGCGTCCGAGTGGTGTCGATCTGTGCTCAGTCTCGGTCTGCCGATTTAAGTGTTACGGGTTGCGCGATGTCCAAGGAATTGGGGATTCGGCTGTTAGTTGAGTGCTCTTTTTGTCGGCTTCCAGGGCAATCGTGTCGTCACAGATGATATGTAGAGAGGCTGGGGGTTCTGTCATGAAGACGGGAATCAATGAATGCCATAGAACCCTGAATTTGCGACTGGAATTCCTTATTTGCGGAACGGCTATGCAGAGATGACAGGACAGGCCTGCCCGGCGCTTACTAGTCCGCGTTATTTATGGAGCGGGGGTAATTCAGGTGCTCCAGCCTCCTTTGCACTTGCTGCGCCTCCTTGGTTTCGCATTCGAACTACGCGCAATCGCAATCTATCTGGGGAAGGTGGGGGCATGTTCAACGTTCCTTCATGCTTCTGCAGACTGCAGCAGGACTGTGGACATAGCTCGTGTCCAGTCTCTGGTCTGATCAACTCGGACATTTTTCGTATCTATCCCACCGCAAAACCCCATTCCCGTCTACTCTTTTCGTATCATCCAAGATGTCACGCTGTTCAGCGGCCATGGCTACAGCAACGACCTCAGTCATCCGCACCGCCAGCTTCGGGCAAAGACACTCATATAGGTAATGTTTCGTGCGGAGGATGAGCCACCGTTACGAACGCCTTGTCCGGAAGTATGGTTGCTTCGAGGTCAAACTTATTTCTCCAGTGCCTGCCTTCTACCGTGCCCAAGTACGTCGCTAGGCCACCCAAGCAACTTGGGGCTTTGGTCTGGGAAATGCCATGATGTTTGCTCCTATGCGGGCTGTCTTCGTACGCAGAAGGCCGGTCCAGTTTCAATCGGGATATTGGAACCGAGCTATCCATATCCCGCCTATCCTTCGTGGGCACTGCAGGATGTGGTGTAGCCTGTCTGGTATGATTTGAAGTGCACTGACGGATACCCGAATTTCCCCTCTTCTACACCACGATGTTGAATTTCTCTGCTGTCGTTCAACGCTGTCGCTGTTGTCATATTTGGCCATCATGCCTTTGTGTGCCGCGTCAACCTACGAGACCCAGGCGAGGTCAGGGCAGTCGTCATGGATCGTGTCTCGGCCGCCGACAAGCAGCATCAGCTCCCGCCGCTGGAGGATTACATTCACAAGCCTCTCCTCCGAACAAACGGAATTCGTGTCTTTGAGCTCAGTCCATCGCAAGATACCAACACTCCTTTGGAAGGAACCCTCAGTGAAATCGGACTGGATGACCTCACCCCCTATCACTGCTTGTCTTAGACTTGGGGTTCCTTGGACGAGGCGAAACAACTCATTATCAACACAGCTGGCGGCAGCTACTGCATAGCAATAACTGCCAACCTTCACGACGCTTCCACCCATTTGAGGGCCGGTCTTGAAGCCACCCATATGTGGGTCGACGCTCTATGTATCAATCAGCAAGATGACTTGGAGAAGGGCAACCAAATTCCACTCATGAGACGAATTTACCAGGGAGCATTATCGGTATGTGTGTGGCTAGGCACTGATACTAGGGCATCTGCTGGGTTGCAATACGTCGAAGCTGTCTCTAGATGTTTGCGGGGCATTGAAGGTGACAATGCAGAAGACGAATGTTTAGTCGACAAGGCGTGAAGTACCTGGCTCAACTGCCCTGGTTTCGTCGTCGCTGGGTCGCACAGGAGGTTGCACTCAATCCAAACGTCCCGATGTATTGTGGCAATGTAAGGATGCCGTGGATACGAATCGCCCAGACCTTGTGGGAAAGGAATGATATCTCAAGAGCGCTTTGCTCTATGATCAAGCTCTGGAAGGCACACGTGCTGCGCACCAAGGAAAGCAGCCTCGGAATACTAGAGCTGCTGGAGGATCTGCATGACTCCGGCTGCGCCGATGGCAGGGATAGGTCAGTACCCATCCGGTTTGTTCTATGTCGAACCTGACCGTCCTCCGAATTCCAGTCGTTTTCATATCAACTTCACCAAAGGTTTGAGAATTGACAGTAGCGCTGATCTTTTATGTCGAATAGGATAAATGCCCTCGCAGGACTTGCTACAGACGTCCAGATGAACATATCTAACTCTTTGGGATCGCCCCCGATCTCAAAGCTGCTAAAGTATGGTGAAGAACAAAACACAGTCGAGTTCAAGTTCAGACAGGCGGCACACGAGAGAGGAATATACGTCGACACAACCTACCAAGACACTGTTGAGGACGTATACCCCAAATTTGCCTCAGAAGTCTTGTTTTGGAGTCCTGGGAGCTCGTTTGGACTTTTGCAAGCCGCTTCCCGTCGTGCTACCAATCCGGACAACAACGCAATTCCATCCTGGGTGCCGGACTGGAGGCTCCATCTACGCCGGTGCCCAATACCACAAATCGGTAAAATTACCCATCACGATGATCTTCGGGCCTACCCTTACCGCAACAGTACGGGGCTCCCTCGGATGTTACTGTTGGGAAGTGAGTTCTTTATCATGGGCCAGATGAGTGCTGTTAGTGAACATTTTCCGGACGAGGGGACCGATATCGCTATCATCACATGGTTGGCGCAGGTGTATTCTTGCGTATGCGACTGGATGCAACAAAAAGCACCTGGCCGGACTTTGGTCGAGAATGAAGACACCGCCGCCCACTTGCTCCTGGACGCTCTCACGGCCGGCACCTGGCTTTTAGATGAAGATGCGAAAGTTTCAGCTGCGAGGGTCATGCAACATCACACCCTCGACGTCCTACGGGGAAGTGCGGACTATAACAGTTTACAAGACGACGAACGAAGCTCATCACTGCAGCTCATCCGTAGCGTGATGAACGGACGCTGTTTATTCCAATGGGATGCATTCACCGAATTATCTCCTGAAAGTGAGAGCCTTGGATTGCCGCCAACATACTCATTGGACTCGACAATATTACGGCTAGGAGTGGGTGCATCACACGTAAGAGAGCGCGACGAAATAGTCGCCAATGCCCCAGCGCATCCCAGAGTCGAGGGCTGGCTGTTGACGGGAGTCTTGATCAAATCTCTGGACCATTGCGGACACTTTTGTATTCATTGTAACCGTGAAGCCGCGGGCTTACGTATTACGAGAAGCGTCATCGCTTTCAAAGACGGACGCTGAGCTTGCCGAATGGCGCCCAAACTCGCTGATGGGGCAAGTGGCCCCGTGGGCGGAATGTTTTGAGTATTCTTTCCTCGGTGAGGCCTATGTCAACATGTGCTATCACGAACATGGGAGGCCCTATTCTAATAAAATTGAAGGCGTTCCATACAGTCAGATGAAGTTCGAGGGAGGAAGCAGCTTTCTGTGGCTCGCATGACTACTAGGTGGCTTCTCATCATCGACTAAGCCAAGGACGAGGGGAAACTAGTCGAATTCAAGTATTGCAATACAAATCATGAGAATGCTGAAACTCACTACCTGTTTACATATCTGTCAAGATCTCCTATCCCTATGAGTCTTGTCGTATATACCGGCTGTGCATTAGCTGTTCGCAGTACTAATAGTAGCGCCTTGGTTACAGACCATTAGCAACATCGACAGCGGCTCAGTAGAACACTACAGCGCAGAGAAAACATACCCACTGGACCTGGCGCGCCAGGAACGAGCCACGTGGAATATGAGGATGCGCGGGATCGTCGATGACTCCCTTTTCCCGGTCTCGACAATGAAGGTCGTGGGTAGCCGGTCCCGTGTATGCCCTTTGCAAGTGAAAATTCTCCCCAAAAAAAACATTGCACAGAGGTCATTTGAACTGCAAACCTCCAGAAAGTGTACTATAAGATTGCAAAAAAGAACAGCCGGAAGAGAAGAAGGGGTTAGCTTAATTTTCGCCTTCCTACTGCCGGAAAACCAGTTGGTTTGTCCTGTCGACTAAATTGACCATCGTCCTACAGGAAACTTTGGTGGGAACGTCAGATGCTGATTTTTGCTCACATTAGGATATATATATGTCCCTATCCTATCCATGCCCTCGGGTTTCCTGGTTGGGCATGCTGCTGTATGCGCCGTACTCTCGCTTCTTCCGACGCCTTCGCATTGTTTCGGCTATGCGCACTTCATGACCGAAACCTACTTGTTGACAGCGCGGAAGAACTGGTGGATAGCCCGGAGAAACCAGTAGATAGCACGAGAGAACCAGTAGAGAATGCGGAATAACATGTAGACACCCATGCAAGGCGGCGATCATACTCCCAGCCAAGTTATAATAAGACACAGCTCGAAGCCTCATAATTCATACGTTTTCAAGAGCTTCCCTTTGTCCGGATGATCTTATAGGGGTTGGTTATTAACATTATGAAGCGCGATACAAATACACTCACGCCAGGTAAGGGCACAAACGCCATGGACACACGCGCGCCAAGTATTTTCTGCGTTCTTTGTCGCGACACACTCCGATCCACACCAGGTGAGAAGCTAGGTATCCATATCATCGAGACAGTGCCTCCGGTATAGACAAAGCTTGTAACACAACACAAAGACCGCCTCCTATTCCCAAGGTAGCCAGTCTAGCTCTAATCCCGCCCCTGCGCCCTCGCTCGCTCGCTCGCAAAACCACGTCGTCCAAACGCCCTTCCCCCCCAGTCTAAAACTTGCCGGCCAGCAGATTCTTGCCCATCTCGCGCGCGGTCACATACGTAGTGCGCCACAGGGTGGGGAAGTCGAGGGTGCTGGACAGGCCGTCGGCAAACCCAAAAAACATCATGGGCGGGATCCAGCCGCGGGCGTACTCGAGCGCGAAGCAGCCGCCGTCGGGCATCTTGTACTGCTTGACGACCCCCCGGCGCAGGTGGTGCACGCTGCCCGGCAGGTAGACCTCGGGCTCGTAGTCGCCCGGCGCGTACGCCTGCTGCGACCCCGTCAGGATGTGGAAGTAGTCGTCCGCCGTGTGCCGGCCCGTGTGGCCCTCGGTGCCGATTGTGGTTCCGAAGATTATTAGGTATTCTGTGATGCCTGGTTGCGTGCGCGTGTGTTAGCTACGTTTCTCTCGTAGAGAATAGGACAGAGCGTGGTAAACTTGAAGTGAGACTTACTGGCATGGATGATGTACATGCCCCCCATGGCGCCGCCGGCGTTGTTGAAGAACCACTCGCTGTGGTCCGGGTTGACGTTGTCGGGGTACTTGCCGTGCAGCTCGGCGACGATGCTCTGTACTATAGCGCGCGTGTCGTTGCCGAAGGTCTCGACGTTGCGCTTGGCAACGGCATGCAGCTCCTCCCTGTCGAAGAGGTAGAAGCTCTCGAGGTTGCGCTCCAGCAGGTAGTAGACGGGCGTGAGCGCGCCGATCACGATGCCGATGATCATCAGCAGCCGCGTCAGGCCGCCGCCGCTGTTTGACGTCTGTGAGGGTGCCATTCTGGTGTACTGGCAATTGGAAGGAGAGGAGAAAGGAAAGAAAGAGGCTGACGGACTCGAACTGACGCTAAAGGAGTGTAGGTGCTCTCTCACCAGATTTATAGAAAGTCGATCCTGTGTTGACGATAGGGGTCCAATATCGCATTTAACATTTAACGGTGAGCTCGGCAAGTGGGGCTCGGAAACCAGACAACCGGATCGCACCACAATTGCAGCTGCAGCTCGGCAGGGGCATTCAGCGGTGGGACCCCTGTAAACAGAACTGCAGCTGCCGTCAACTTTACCATCGGCCCAACGAGCTCGACAACCTCCGACACTGCATCATCACCAAAAAAGTCAGACCATCTCCGCGACCTCCATCCAAACGCAACCCGCCAAGCTATACGATGGCGCAGTCGCAGCTCCAACAGATGATTGCCGTCCCCGGCCAGCTGCTCGGCCCCAGCAACAAGTACGTCGCCGGCCCGGGCACACACATCCACGAGTCGAACCTGTACGCCTCGCTCCTCGGCACCGTCGCCGTGTCGCAACCGCCCTCTTCCACCTCTTCCAAACCCACAACGACCGCCGGCCTCGCCAAGCGCCTACACCGCATCCAAGCCGTCCTCCAGTCCCCATCCCCAACCGACAAATCCAGCAACGGCGCAACAACCCTCCCCACGATCTCGGTCGCGCCCCCGAGCGGTGGTGCTGTTGGTGGTAGTAACGAGAAGCGCGAGGTGCTGCCCGAGGTCCACGACGTGGTGCTTTGCCGTGTGACGCGCATCGCGCCCAAGCAGGCGACGGTGGCGATCCTGGTCGTGGGCGACGCCGTGCTCGAGGCCGAGTGGCAGGGCGTCGTGCGCGTGCAGGACGTGCGCGCCACCGAGAAGGACCGCGTGCGTATCTACGAGAGTTTTCGGCCGGGGGATATTGTTAGGGCGCAGGTGGTGAGTTGTTCCTTTCCGTCTGGACCTCCCTCCCTCTCTCCCTCGCTTGCTTGCGTTGGGGAGTAAGAGAGGGTGATATTTGACGGTGGTGGTGGTGGTGAGAATGAGGAGATATGTGATGAGTACGGGCTGATGAAAACCACATAGATATCGTTGGGCGACCAGGCGAACTACTACCTTTCGACGGCTAGCAATGAGCTAGGCGTCATTATGGCCACGAGCGAGGCGGGCAATACGATGTATCCCGTTAGTTGGAAGGAGTACAAGGATCCTGAGACGGGCCTGAGTGAGAGTCGGAAGGTTGCGAAGCCTATGTGAGGTACGCTGTCACCTCTGGTTTGGCTCCGAGCTGAGAGCGTTGGCTTATGTCCTGTCATGGGAACGATGCGTCTTGTCACGCTATCCCACCCAGAGACATCATGATGGGCGAGGATGCTTGTTATGTTTTGATACCCCGAGAGGCAGATGCGATATTCTGGACTCGATGCCTCCAAAGATGGGACTCGAGAATATCCGAAGTCCAACAAGCAGGGGATTTGGTATCGAGCCAGACGCCGCTCTTGAACAAAGTCCGAAGCCGAATTTCAGGGCTAGAGATGGGATGGGTCGGTACAGGACTCGGAAAGACCACATCAGTTCTTTCCCGCGTAACCTTGAAGATTCACGACGGCATGAGAAGCTCACGAGGCCTAAAGCAGAAGGCAAACGCCAAGCTCCGTACGTAATGTGCTACAAGTTACTACGGTAGGCCTAGGTAGTAATGGAATCGCCTCAAGCAAAATAACAGGATTGTGTGAGATTTCAAACCGTTCTAGATTCAAAGGGAAGAGAAGAGAAGAAGATCTCTGGGGGAGAAGCCCCCATCTATGTGTACAGGTGTGCCATCAGGGTGACCAGATAATCATATGATAATGACGCCATCTGAATGTCCGGAAAGTATAAGCCCATTAGCGCATTCAGCCCCGAAAGCTTAAGCCTCGTATGATATCCAACAGATTGAATATCATAATATTCCGTGAAAGTCGTCATTACTGAAAGGTTTTTTGAACTATAGAGTTGCTGTCTCGTGGAAGAGGTAGTTGGTCAAGTTGGTGTCGATATCTCAGGCCTAGTAGGTCGGCATAGACCATTCGCAGTGGAGAGTCTGACCGCACGTCCTTATAGGTAGTTATGGGCTGTCAGGCTACCGTCCTGTTTAAGATGTCACTCGTACATTATGCAGTGAGGACAGTCAGGTCTCATACAGCCCGCCGATGAGACCAATGGTGATTGTATAGATTATGAGGCTCCAAGCTGTGTCATAATATGACTTGGCTGGGAGTATGATCGCTGCCTTGAATCGGAGTGTGTTGCGTTGCGATAAAACGGCAGATGTTTCCTGGCGCACGCGTATCCATATCGCGCTTTGTACTGTTAATACCTAACGCCTCATAGGCTTTTCCAGACAGAGGGCTGCTCTTCGAAACGCATACATTTACATTTCGTCTAGACTTGCACTTTCGACCTTGTTTCCAAATCTAGATTTCTATAATGAATGGGTAAATTTATTCCTCATATATACGCCGACACTCCGCCCGCTTTACATGTTGCTACCTGATCCGATCATACACGCCCCCGAAGCTTTCCGGAGGACCATTGATTTACATGCCTCCGGCAAGGGGTATAGTCACCACTTATAGATCTCCGTCCGCGCACTCGAGACTTCTTTCCTACCAAGATACAGACATACAGTGCATCAGCACCCTGTAATAGGCAGTTGTGTTTTCGTAACCCATGCTGAACACGTACCCCAGAGTAGCCAGTCCACAGATGAAAAGAATCCCCCAAGTATTCAAGACCTTAACTACAGGGCGTACGGGGGCTTCTAGGGGCACAGTGTAGCAGAAAGAACCCAGAGGTTATAGCTAGAGCATCACATAAATATGAAGGTAGTTGTATTGATGACAATGTATAACACGGACACATGATAGTGTAGGTAATACAGCAGCGCTTTCGTCTCCTATTAACTATTCCAGGACAAGAGTCACAGGAGCACGTAACTCTCCGGTCGTGCTTCCCACTCGGTGAATCTGGGAAAACACAACCCTGCAAACCGGTAACTTCCCGTCGACGTCCACGTCCGCTTCTCGCCATCGAAGGCGATTTCCTGATCAGTCAAGGTAGATGGGTCCTAGTAGGGTGGTACTGGTACCGATGCCCAGCATTCTGAAGTTAGGCGGACTCTTTGCTGAAAATCGCGGGCCACAATCGCCATATAGCTGGTTATTTGGGACCTCTCGGAGAACTGGATTCCTCCAATCCGGGACCCAGGAGGGCATGCCACAGTTGTGCAGATCATTTTGCCGCCTAGCACAGTGGTCCAACAATGTGCCCAGGCCTTCCTCGGGATAGGCGACGAGATAGCTTTTGGCAAATCTCAGATAGGTCTCTTCTATGGACGCACTGTAGTCGATCTATATGGTGATCTTCTGCTGGACTTGTGCCCCTGGCTCGATCTGTTGACCATCTCTCAGTATCACCACATCGTCCGCAAGCCCACATAAGGCGTACACTCGATCCTTCGGATCTGCACATTCTGAGTCGTCGAAGGTTTGAAGAAGGTCGATTATGTGGTGGCTTTTCTTGTCTTTCTGGTCGAGGGCCCAGGGTTCCCACAAGTTTCGCAGAGCAAATAACGGGTTGAGACCATTGAGGGGTGTAGCTTCCTTCCGGACTAGCAGCCGCATCAGTCGGGCCCAGGGCATTATGATGTCTTTACAGTAGAGAGCAACATTTGCATTCAAGACCACTTCCTGGATGATCCATCTCGGTGAAACCAGGGAACCTTCATGAGGTCTTGAAGTGCCGCAATAACTTCTGGTTCGCCGACTGGCTGCTTGAGTTGTCGGGCATAGAGATCCAGACGGTGTAGAACATCGGCATTCCTCTGTTCACTGCCAAGCCAGACGAGGACTGACGAAGCGCTGCGTTAGATCTAAGCCGTGAAAGCAATTTGGCTAGCTTTCTTGTAGTTGTCGTCCTGGTTGATGCAGATAGCATCAATCCATATCCTGCGGATGTCAAGTCGATGGCGGAAGCGGCACGAGGCTTGGTACAAGTTAGGCGTAACCATTTTCTTGTATTCCTCGTCAAGGATAAGAGGCTCCGTGAAACATGGCTCGCCTCAGATGTACGACAGGGCGTCGAAGCCAGACTCCTCCTCGGACATAATGTCGATGTCCCGCAACATGCAGCGCACCAGCGCAGATGGGTCCAGCGATGGTTGGATCTCGAGAATGCGAGTCTGGGCATCCGCGGAGAGGGGGACGTAGATGTATGGAGTCATTAAGGGCGAAGATACCTCCTCGTCCGCCATGATGGCGTATTTGATGTTCGTAACCCTTCTGCCGGATGTTCAAAGTCGAGCGTTTGAGGAGGAGTAGTGTCTCCCATCAGAAGTTATAACAAGGTGTGTGCTCGAAATGGAAATATCGAACGATCAAGCTGCTTGGATGGGTACGTAAAGGAGGACTCAGGACAGGCCGGTGAGGCAGTGAAGATGCATAGCCGAGCCGAACAATCAGGCTGCATCAATGGCTTAGGCGACAGAGAGGAGACCAGTGAGGCCCCCTGCTGGCAGCCACCATGGGATGCTTACCTTGTGGAGAATGCAACCGCATCCTTGCTGGTGGGAGACTTGCATCGGGCCTCACAGAACACAGCGTTTTGTTTCTGAAGAACCCATGGCAGTGTATGTGCAACGGGGAAGGAAGATAGGCAGAATGAACAGAAGCCCAGCTGCTCGAGTGTTTGTATTCAGAAGAGAAAATGTTTCGGTTAGGCGGGGAAATCATGGCACTGGATCGCCATTACCTCCTTCCAGGTTTCCCGTATGCTCGCAGGTCGGCAGCTGCGATGGAGGCGGACAGAAACGTGCCTGCCTCACACACTCGAGCTTACATGTCTTGCACCAAATGGCACCCTTGAGCACAACGGCCAGACCCTCGACGAAGAGACTTCGAATGTTCACATAGAAGAAATGCAGATGCACATAGATCATTGAATGTTTACGGAAAACACAACGCAACCGCCCTATGCAATGGTATCTTCATGCAATGCTATGCTCCTCCCATTCAGAACTGAAAACAACGCCCCCGCTCATGCAAGACCGAGACGATATTTCCGCCAAGGATTGAAGTTTCCCGGCGCCCCTTTGCGCGATTCTGTGTCCGTCAAGGCCTCCAGAAGTCTCCAGTCATAGACCTCGACCCATTCCCGCTCGCCATCCTTCCTCTTCGGACCAGCTCTCGTTATGCTCTCCATGAACTCTTTCGTTGCTTCAGCACACCTGGACTCAACCAGGCAAATCTTTCTGACACGAGGGCGTTTGGGGCCATGAGGCACCCGGAGTTGTCTCATCGTACGATCACTTCCCTTTGGAAGAGACTGTCTCGGATCATCCTGAACCCAAGCCATAGGGTCGATGTGGAAATGGTGGATACCATGCTCTTTGAGCAGCGTGTCACTGATCCATGCGTAGGTAGCAATACATGGAGCAAGCAGCAGTGGGCAGTTCGCCAACGCGCACATGGATCCAGCATGGGAACACGACGGAGTATCTGGTCCTGTTCGAGGCGAGGAGGCCAATTCTAGCGACAATTGCACACGGTGGGATGTACTGCCCTTTGGACCAGCCGAGGACAGCAATGCATTGGAGGCTGCATGGACAGAAGCGGCGGCCGGTGAGATCAACCGACTTGTAAGGCTCTCGTTCGTGGAGGCAGGAGGCCTCGGCCTCTGAAGTGATGACGCATCCGGCATGGTGCTCCGAGGTGAGACTTGCTCGCCCTGAGAAGAGTTCGCATCAATTTGTCCCAGAGGCTGTCGTGTACTGATAGGAGAATGAGTGAATTCTTCATGAGCGATTTGCCCACTCGGAGGATCTGACGCATGAGCATGCGAGCCTCTCCTTGGACGTTTCGATGTTGGCGTATCAGTTACAGTCTCGCATTGTCGTTTGGAGGTTGTCGAGCTACTGCCTGCGAGATGAAAAGCTGGCGATGCTCTTCCTGGCGTACGAGCTGCAACAACGGCGGAAGATCGTGGAGGTGTTAATAACGCACCTGGTACACCGGCTTCTCTACCTTGTGCCCGCGAATGTAGTGGGTTCTCAGATGCCTCCAAAATGGCATCCAAGGTACTCACGTATTCATGTTGCTGTTCAACAACTGTCTGTGAAACGATAGGCTCAGATAGGGAACTTGTCTGGCTGATGGCATCAACCGCAATTCCCCAAGGATCGGCCTTCTCCAGAGCAGTTACCCACTCGCGCATCTCTTGACTATCCTCTTGCTCGGGCACCTCAGTTGCAGTCACCGCAGCTTCTTGCATTTCGTCGAAACTGATCGTGTCTTTCCACGATCTGTCGAAATGAACCTTGGACACCATTGGGAACCTCATACTCCAGAAATTCGTATTCGACGCTTTGTCAAACGAAAAGCACCGCACATCGAAAACCATTGGCTCTGGGAAGAGTACGGTGGGCGGCTTGTTGGTCCCTAGCCCACTAAGATCCAGGTCGAATGCCGTGTTTCCGTCGAACGGTACCGATAGAGGGCTGCACTGGGTAACGGTCTTGAGCATAGTAGCATTGAGCTCTACCATATTGACGACCCTGAACCGCGGCTTCCGAATACCGGCTGTTGGCCGAGCTTGATTGTCTAGACAGCCAATAAAGAAGTGTGTCCATTTGAGGTTGGGCAGATTGTACGTTTTGGCCTTTACAGAATCGTATGATGCGCCAACCACTGCAAAGTCGCCAACGTCTCCCCAGCCCTGTACATACTCCTTCTTGAGTTTGAATATGCAAGAAGCATAAGGCTGTGAGCTCGCGCCGAAGTCGAAGTAGGGTTCATCAGGCTTCAAAACTAAACCTTCGCCTCGATTGACGATACAATCCGCGAAAGCTTTTCGCAACTGACTTGCGGCGGATCGTCTTGCAAGGGAGACATCTTGGTGTTGCACAATGGCTGCGTGGCCGGTGCGGCAGGTTATGAGCCGAGTCAGCCGTCTCCTCCGCTCTGAATGTCGTAGTCCCAGGAGGGATTCGTCATCAATCATCAGAAGATCATAGTAGACGATCATTAGATGCTCATATTCGTGCGGCCTATATCGTTAGTACTTCTACGAGTTCCGACGTCGGTTGTACATACTGAGAATCGTGGTTCGTCCCAATGAAGGACCCTGATCTAGAGACGTGTTTTCGGATCTTATGGAAGGGTAATATCTTATGGTCCTGTTCGGTGGTGAGCAATAGGCCAGAGCAACCCAGGAAGCAGAGTGATTTACCTTGTTGCTATATACGAGTAGCTCACCTTCCAGAATGCACCCTTTCTTGACGGGACAGTCTTGCTCATCGAGCTTCAACGAGCCTCGGATAGCACTTGAAGACATTAGCAATGGAACAACGCAGTCCAGAGTGATCGATATGCCTTACCCGTGAAGCCCAGACCGGTCCACCGTGCTATCCTTTCCACTCTTTGAAAATATATGGATGCACTGATACCCTTTGCTACGATCGATGTGAATCTGACAGTACTCACCATCGAGCTTCTGCTCGCAGCTAATGACTCGGCGTCTTCCCATGTCGAGGCAGTGTTTGATGCTTCTACCTTTGATCCATGTTTGCCTGCCGACCTTGGTACCGAGCTGAGGCTTCAGGATACTGGCAATTCGGACCTGGTCGCCAGGTGATTGTTCCGCGTGACGCAAGAATGCCGTGGTGATGGTCAAGTCATCGCGAACTTTGAGCATTCGAGGAAGCAAGTAATGGTAGCTCCGAAAGACGGTATACTGATCCAGGACTACCGGCTCGTAAGACTTTAGCACGAGGCGGGTGAACCATTTTGCCTCTTGAGCACCCAACCGCCTGTAAAGCTCGCCGAGTGCCTCGTTCGCGTAGTTGGTGTCTCTGATGGTGCGCCGGGACTGAATCTTCGGGGAACTAAAACGGCATGCAGCTGCGATCTCTTCCAGGACCGCGTCTATGTCCTCAACTGTGAGGTCATCACGTCCCGAGGTAGAATTAGGCTAGAAAATCGGTCTTAACAAGCCTCGAATAACGGATGCGATGAAGCTTCGACCACAGAAGATGAAGCTTGCATGAGAGATAAATAGAGTGCACTTACGGTCCTTTCAAGAATGCGCTCAACGCAATCACCGAGGTCTATACCAAGGCCGGGAGTCTGATAGCGCCGTAGCTCCGCTACTCTCGAAAATCCTAGACAGAGGGCCTGGCCAACGATGCTCTGGAGCCGAGGTGCTTGAATGAAATATACGCGGTCCGTTCTTCGCTCGGGAAGAAGAGTCGACAGTATTGCGCATACGTCGTTCCCGGGCGCGTGCAGTTGCAAGCGGTGCTGGTCGAACCACCGCGCGATTATCGCCTTACCGGACGTTGGATACGATTTCGCTTTACGTATGTCGTCTTCGAGGTCTTGGAGCAGGTCGCATATATACCTGAATGGAAAGGGCATGATCACTAATGACGCAGATCATTGTATTACGAGAATTTGGAGAAGAGCATTTGGAATAGGTGCGAGGGAAAGCAGCAGAGACAGGAAGGACTGTGAGTGAAGCAATTAGAGGAAGGAAGTTCGCCGCGTGTTGGTAGGCAGCAAAGAGCGCATTGTGTGCCTGGAGAAAGGAAAATGTCAGCGCTTGACGTCTTACGACCTTACTCAGCGGAGGTTTGCGACAAAGACAGCCTGAAGAAGGCATTGAAGGCACGAACCTGAAGCTGTGTGGTAGGCGGGCAGGCAGAGATCTGATTTGCTGACGCGGGGTTGTACGACGCGAAGTCAACAACCCGCGGACGACGGGTGTTCACGTGAGCACTTAATCCAAGAAGGACGGTCGTTCATTGTGCAGCTGGCTGGTTCCTTCAACAGCTGGGAAGACAGCTGCTTGGCAGACATGGGCTGTTGATTATGGGGGGCTAGGCAGGTTCAGGGTAGCCTCGGCCCTCCACTCTCTAGCAGGACATCATTTCGCCCTCGCATGCGGCGTGCAGGGAACACCTTCCAAGTTCCAATGCATGGCAGCAGCAGTCGTTTTCCGGCTGCGAACGGGCTGCGATTAGCACAACAGCACGGTCAGCACGGGCAGCTGACAGGTACCACACAGTTCAATTGTGAGGCAATGTTGCCAGTGGCAGAGTGGCAGTACATGTGCGTACTTTAGTGTGCACCACCATATGCACGATTCCGCGCCGTCTCGTTGCCATGGACAGCCCCTGAAAAAGGGCTTACGACACAACCAGACAACCTGACAACCAGACGGCAGCAGCCCAGATCGTCAGATGCTTGTGCACCAAATGCACCACCAGACCACGTTTGGTTTTGTGGAGTCCCGCTTCGTTGGCCGGGGATCGAGAGAGAAACATGGGACCAAAATAATAAAAGGGATCACGAAATGAAAGTTATCCCGTCTCTCTGCCTGTCTGCCCACTGCAGTCTGCCCCAGGTCAGCAACTCTCGCGGATATCGAGTCCCCGTACAAAGGACGCTCGTTCCTCTCCTCCAACTTCCCACCTCCATGTTGTCTGTCATCTTATTGTTCTTGAATCTCGAGCCAAGACCGCATCGCATCCCCTTTTACTCGCCTCGCCTCGCATAGACCGTGCTCCGGAGATGGGATCCATTGGCCTTCGTCGCCCCCGGCAATTTCTGTTATCATTCGTCGCCTAGAAGGAGGTCCAGCAGGTGCTACCCCAGGCCCGGTCTGACTTGACCCTTTTTCCATCACATAACCTCTGGGTGGTTGCTTGCAAGTTGAAGCAACGGCCAACTACCACGTTTCACCAATCTCCCGCCTCCAAGCGAGCCCCGGTCTTCGTCCTCCGCCTTGAACATCACCATCACCATCACCGTCGCCATCGCCATCTGCCCTCGTCGCCGATGGTCGATTGTTATGTGCTGGCGACAACTGTTTACTTCTTCCGTCCATGAAACCCGTCCAGCTTTTACAAATTTGTTTGATTACTACCTGTTCCAACACTCTTTCCAATGACAGACGCCTCGACAACATAATCACTGCTCTATATTCTAGAAGATCCTCGCCCGGGAGACACCGGCATCGACGTGCCGCGAGCTCTCCATCCACTCCTTTACAACAGCGACGGCGAACCGCGACCCATCGCATCGGGGAGCCCTCGCACTGCCGCGACATCCGGAGGGCCATCAAACCTCTCGTGTGGTCAAACATGCCACTGGAGCGCCGCCGGTCTCGTGTCTATCCGGACGCCCCAGTCTCGATGGATCAGGTTTCGACTGCGTCAAGCACCGATTTGAAAGCCGAAGATTCGACACCAGGTCCGGCTTCCATGCCATCACCTTGTGTCGGTCGAGGTGATCAGAGCTCGGAAGATGAACAGAGGGACATTGACCCGTGGTCGAGCTCCATGCCTCCACCACCGGTCCCGAGTGAGACATTCGAGACGCGTCTGAGTCGCTCCACCTCTTCGGCATCTCGAAATGCCAACCGACTCTCCTTAACGCTGCCAATTGCACCCCCGAACGGCACCTCTTCGAGACCTACTCCGACTTCCTCAATGCCTCCAACTCCCATCGGCTCGTCCGCCTTGAACTCTCCAATGGACCCGAATGATTACATTGTCGCCATCGCTGCCCAAGAACGGCGCGTGTTGGAGTTGCGCGAGGAGCTGGGGCGAGCCGAGAAAGAATTGAAGACGCTACAGAGAAGGTGGGCAACATCTGAGGCTTACAAAAAGAGGCCAACCAACAGAAATGTTGAGCCCCTGCGGACACTGGCGTCGACGGGAGACACCCTTAATGGCTACGCGGAAAGCCCAGCAGCCAAGCGCAGTAGCGAGTTAGACCGGAGGAAGGCCATTCTGCTCGCACAGAGCCAAGGCACACCTCGCTCCAGGAGGACAGTCATTCGAGGTGGCCACACGCGTGCTTTGTCTCTACTTTCGCCAACCAAGTCTGCCGATGACGTCCCAATCCACGAAGACGATGATGTGCGTCGCTCAACCGATTCTCACATAAGACGGTTGCCACCTCCCAGCCTCGCTCCTCCTTCCAAGCGCGCGACCTGGGCTCCGCGACAGACACAGCCACCCCATGGGGTAAAGCAGATCGCCCATGACTTCAAACAAGGTCTCTGGACATTTGTCGAGGATCTGAGACAAGCAACAGTGGGCGACGAGGGAGTATCAGGGACCACGAACCGAACCAGTGAAATGGCCCCTAGGCAGGACCATGACCAGGACACCATTCGTGCTTCGACATCTGGCCGTGGTCGAATACCGTTCTCGATCGAACCTGACTCAGCCACAGACAGCTCAAGCAGCGCGTCCTCTGCTAGCTTTAACGATCGTTTCCTACACCGGCGAAACACATCTCGAGCGGAAGCAAAGACCAGAAAACACTTTTCTTGGACGCCGCTGACCTTCGACAACTTCGATGACGAGGATTGGTCAAACTGGGACTCTCCAACTGTCAAATCATCTCGGTGGAGCGGCAGTACAGTGAACGGAGACATCATTCCGGCCATCCCCGAGAAAATTGACGAGAACGAGGCTACACTGTAAGAGACCACCAACCGTTGTTTTTCAGTGCACACAAAGCACAACAACGACCAGCACAACATGCGTCTAACAATGCCTGCCAACAGTAGACGGAAGCGCTCCAGAGCCGAACTTCGGTCGCCATCTCCGCACACTCCAAGCAAGCTCGAAGAGTTGCCCCAGGTCATACTCAACCGCCTGAGTCTGACCCCAAGCAACATCAAGAACACCACGTCGAACTTCATCAAAGAGTGGGAGAAGAGCCTGTCACCTCCAGATTCGGCGACATTAGACGCCGGTCTTCAAGATTTGAGAAACAGCATACTGTGATAGACGATACACGACATATTCACTAGGGAAACAGGTACAATACACTGTAGCAATACGTGCAGGGCAACCTGTGTATAGATCAGTCGTTGCGAGCAAGCAACGCTCGGGTGACGAGTATCCGGTTGATGAGGCCTGCGATCGACTTACGACTCACGACAGGACCTTTTTGGGTGCTTTTCCAGCCAGCGCACCGGATGAAACGGAGGACTTTAACCCAATACCAGAGAGTTACCGAGTTCGAAACGAGAAGCCATAACCCGTTCCGGATGCAACACACTGCGAACAACCGATTGAGGAAGCGCGGTCTGTTATTCACTTACTAAAGGCGACATTATGGACGGTGATGGATGGATGTCTGGATACACAAATAATGACTAATGACGCTTATGATAGACGATAATGTAGAACGAATTATACTCGTTTGCGTTGTCAGCTTGGGCGCCTCTCAGATATCCAGTCCATTACTTACCTGTTCATTCTATTAAAGCTGCTTCATTGCCTTTGTGAATATTCTCTTGTGATGGGCAGATCATACATTAGCCAGCCGGCATCCAACCTTTGTGTCTGTCTGTCTGCCTGACCCTCGGTCTTGGGTCGGCCTCGTAGATTCCCGTCTAGCGAATGTAACTGACTGACTACCTGACTGCAGGTGAGATATTCACATTATGGTGTGTCACGGCTGGCTGTTTACTATACATCTTTGCTTTCGTTTGTTCACCTCCCATCCCCTTGCGGGACCGACATCCCGGTACAGCTACCTAGCTAGCATTGTGGCCACACATGTGTCTGAACCGTCGAGTTACTCATCCCCTCTTTGCTACGAACAATGGGTGAGTAGGTAAGGCCCTCGTCTTGCTTAACGACATAGATGGAGATCAGGGGCCGCCGTTACTGGACTTCGTCGGCTACAACAGGGCATTTGGATACTGGGTGGGCATGGCGATGGCCTGTCTGTTCGGCGTTGGTTGGAAGGGTTGGATGGACCTACGGGCTGAGTGAAATAGCTGTGAAGGTGAGGGTTTAGACAACGTGATGGTAGATAGATGTTAAGTGGGAGGAAGGGTGAAGAGAGAGAGTGTGTGTTCCTTTTCAGGTGTTTTCAAGGCATTGGCCTTGTTTGTAGGTCGGTGTCAAGATAGCCTGTTGCCTGCGTAAGAGAACACCAGTTCTCGGTGTCCTCTCTTACATGTAGGTCTATTCATTCCAGGGCTTTGGGATGCCTCGAACCTGCGATGTCACTGCAGATCTTTCGATGCAAACTGTGTAGCCAAATGTGTTGAACCCTCATAAGTGTCTCCGTACACCACCCGTCAAGCTAAGCACAATGGAAAAAGCATTGGGAGTGGCGAATCAAACTAGAGCTGCTTATTCCAGTCTGCTTACGCCTGTATTTCCAATTTTCCACGTTAGATCTGGAATCCTCTGGACATGGCGCGCATGGAGACTTATAAGGGCCGAGTATAGGTAGGTATGTTGACCGCTGGAATCTATGTCGAATATGTACAATCATGTGCCCATGCTTCGCTCCACGCGAGCAAGGGGAAAAAAACCACCATCCAACGCCGGGCTGATGCTAAAAAATGATCTATATCCGCAACCTGAACCGAAAATGCACTACTTTTGGGAAATGCAAATATCTTACGCCTGACCAGGTGGAGGTGTCGATAGAACCGTGATCCAAACATGTGATTATTATGCCTTCGAGGTGACAGGAGGGTCGACAAACCCGCTCCATTGTTCTTCGTCCATCTCATTGCTGGCATAGTCAGACTTTGGTGTCCCTAGGATGCAGGAGTAGGTGCGGCTGAACGTATTGCCTTCGTCTCAGCTACAGCTCCTCCGTCGGCTGTGTCTTCAGCCTTGATGTCCTTCGCTTCTTCCGATTTGCTTGCACGCACGGGCGACGACGCAGCAGGGGTGGGCAGTACCTCAACCTTAGATGGAGGCGAGGCATTCGTCTTGGGAGGAGATTCAACTTTGATGTTGCTGATACCTTCTGAGGATTGCTCCTTTTGAGGCGTTGATTCCTGGGCAGGTGGATCCCAGGACGGGCGTTGAGTCTGTTTAGCCCGCAGAGGAGCCTTGGTATCGTTGCCTTGACTCTTGCTGTTCCACTGAGCCAGCATTTCCTGCACCTGCGGAGCCCAAATATCTTCTCCCTTTTCGAGGTCAGAGTACTCCAAGCAATTCGAAGTTCCCAAGACAAAGTCCCCCTGTCGGCTCCTGCACAACTCCGCCATCATTGCTGCAGAGCCAATCTTGGTGCCGAGGTCATGGCAGAAACTTCGAACATAGAAGCCGGACGTCACGGTCATTCGGATTCGTATCGCAGCCGGCCCTTTGTCCTCCCACGGTGGCGGCGTGTCCGCGTCGGGAGCCGCGGGGATCAGATTTGACCCTTTACCCGGCTTCGGGGCTGCAGGTGGAAGATCTCCCAATGCTCCTGACATCATAGGGGTATCCTGCTGCGATTTCTTCTTTCGCTTGTTGACCCGTTCATAGATCAGTGCGTCGACGCTCTCGTCAGCCTTCCGCTTGAAGTTTTCATGTTCCTTCAAAGCCTTGGACTCGGCTTCCTCTTCCTCAGGAGAGAGCTTCTTTGAGGTCATCTGTTGCTTCTTCTCGACTTGCCAGACCTGCTCCGCGAAACTCCGTTCGAAATTCGTAGCTTCCTCGGCCGGCCAACGATGGGAGTGTGTGCCGGGTTCGTACCATTCTACCAGCTCCAGCTCAGATACATCGACTTCTCTAGTCGCAATCTCTCGCGGGATCGGCTTCCCTTCTCGGGCATATTCGTAGAGCGGCTTGCCTTCCATCTTCAGGGCAGAGTATAGCGGTGGCATCTGCTGAAACTTCCCACGGAAAGACTTGAGCGCTTCCTCCACCATCGGACGGGTGATGTGATCGTATGCCGTCTTCTTCAAGATCTTGCCCACTCTGTCATAGGTATCGGTGCTTGCTCCGAACAAGACTATGGTCTCGTACGTCTTTGTACAGTCTAGGAAAGACTGCAGAGACTTGGTGCCCTTTCCAACGCCGAGGATGAGTACGCCAGTCGCAAGGGGGTCCAGGGTGCCTCCATGGCCCATCTTGACTCGAATGTCATTCTTGCCAAACCTGCGTCGCTTCTTCTTGTTATTGGACTCCTGCGATCTATTGGCAGTTTCTTGATCTATCATGGGCTTGAACAATGTCGAGGGGTTGAAGTGGTGTTGGACGTCTCGGATGACCTGCGCGGAGCTCATTCCCATGGGCTTGTTAATGCCTGGAATCGAGGGATGAGATTAGTCCAGATTGAAAGCTAAAGAGAGCGAGTGGAGAGTAATTACCAAAGACGCCGTCCAAGACGGAAGCTGAGGTGGTGGCGGAAGCTGCCATTCTCAGAAATCTGGCAGTTATCATTCGCGACACGAGACTTAGAGGGGTCGGGAAAAGGCCACTCGACACGGAGGTCTCGGGCTGGGAAGAAGTGCGAAATGAAGTATGCGTCGGTAGGGCGAAAGGTGCTGGAGTATGGATACGCTGTATATAGGTCGCGCCTACATAGGCCTGTTGAGGTATATGTTGAGGCGCAAAGGAAGTTTTGCGACGGAGAGGGTGAAGGCTGCGGCCTGAGAGACTGTGTGATTGACCTGGCAAAATTTCTAAACGTAGAACGGAAGCTCTGGTCGTAGGGAAGCTGCTGCAGGCTGCAAGGGTGGGACAGCTGGAGTGTGTGGTGCTTATCGATTGGCGCGTCGGCCCCACATTTGAAGTTTGCGCCGCAATCTGGCCCGTTTTAAGCAGGGTGTGAAAAAAATACTCGAGCATTGGTATTCTACTCGGGTACTAGCCTACGAGTAGGAGTAAAGTATTAGGCAGATATGTTACTAGGAGGACTAGGGTAGAAAAGACTTTACTTTTTACTAATTTTAATTTTTAAAAATTTAAGTTAGAAAAAACGTAATTTAAACCGATATTAAACGTTATGATACGATAAATATATATTTATAGATTAATTGGAAATATTATAGAAACTTTTAACTTTCTACGTTATTATAACTTTAAATTAATTTTATAAGAGATAATATTATATGTTATTTGTCACGAAGCATAAATAGGATGAGGACATAAAAGTCCTGATTGCACTACCTACGTATAAGAATCTCTTGGTGGGGAGGGAAAGAAGGATCTGACCCGCCAGCCAATTCTGGTGGGATTAATGATCCTTCCATCCGCCCCACTATTACCTAGCCTAGTACAGTTGTGGCCACACGTCTTGTGCGCCAGGTCATATGATGCTGCGCACAGGCGACCCTGATGGGTTGACAGACTTCCAGGAGGTCAGACTGTCACATTATTAAACTATTTTTTGAAGTTTTTAATATAAATAACCAGGCTAATTACTTAGATATTGTTATTTATGAGTAGCTTTTATATAGCTTTTCCGCTTATTTTCTTTCTTGCCTTTTTTTATTTAAATAATAAATACTTTTTAAATTTTTATGTACGTTTATCTATAACTTAATCCCTTTATACATTATTAAAAAAAATTATGAAGCGATTTATTTATCAACTATATTATTAAGACCGTTACCTGTTTAAAAGCAGCTCAAATGTTAATTTATAAGCTTTTTTTATTATAACTCGTTACTTATTATGAAGTTTATTCTTTTAATAATATATTTAAGTAAGTTTTATAATCAATTTGTAAGCTACGTTTATACTTTAAACTCAACGTTTTAAAAATCGAGATTTTAAGCAAACTTTTCGTTAATAATAACGCTATTAACACAGCTTACGCCTAGCTTTATTACGTTTAAAACTCGCTCACTTATAAGCCGTTTTAAAAGATTTTTCTTTTATATAAAAAACAATTAAAAGGCAGGTCGCAAACCTTATTAAGTTCGTTTTGCATATTTATAAAAAGTTTAATAAAGCGAATTAAAAATAAAAAGCCGGTTAAGGTTTAACTATATTACGCTAAAGAAATTTATAAACGGTTTCAAAATATATCCCGCTTTTTACAGAGATATTATTTAAAACGAAAAGTTACAATTAATTAAATAAAGCTAAAATTATCTTGTTTATTTCCGGCTTAAACGCTCGTATTAAGTTAAAGTTAAATATAAAAACGTAGCGCAAAAAGTAACATACGTTTAAACTGTTTTTACGCCGTTAAAAAACGTTATTTATAAAGCTAAGATTTATTACGATAAAAACTAACCTTTAATTGCACGTCATTATTTATACTTTGACCGATTATATTCTTATAAAAATTAATATTAACGTTATTAAAACGCGTAAAAACAGGTTATAAAAATATTATTGTGAGACTATTAGTGCCTATCAGGTGTGTGCTGTAGCTGGCAGCAGGCTAAAAGGGGTAAAAAGGACCCAAAAGGGGTGAAAGGTCCATTGTAGTGGCCACTGGCAGGTCTGTTATCTGCTGTTAGGCAGCCGGGTATCAAAGGGCTCTCACAGCTGTATTTAGGTGGGAATATCGCCCATGAATCCATAACTAAGACACCGAACCTGATCCACCCCATCCTTACTGTGACGAGCCGTCTAACCTATAAGGCTAAAGGGTTCTATAGGGTTTATGTTCTGAGGTAAGTCAACATAAAGGACGATAGAGGCTTCTGTTTACTAGAAGACACTCAGATGCTGGGGCTTGGTCTGAACTGGGTTCACTGTGTAGTCGAGTCGTCAGGAGATTTCTCCTACCGTAAGGTTGGCTAAGATGCTTAGATTGATCACTGAGGTAGAGACTGTCTATCTATCTGGTTAGGAAATGTCTGTCCTTATATATCCAATCTCTCCCTCATTGATTAGGTGGCTCACCCTGGATCACCGGTGATCCAAGGTGATCCTGCTCACTGGATCACCATAGTGATCCAGTGATCCAAATTCTTAGTCACGTGACCCAGGCTCTGCTGGTCGAGTGATCTGTGTACCGTTGCTCCGTTGCTCCGTTGCTCCGATCTCTCCACTGATCAGCACCCCACTCTCTTGGTCAACCTGTTTCCAATCGTCCCCTCTTGGCCTGCTATCAGGCCGCACTGTTTGTTGGTTTGTAACACTGACCTTATCTGAACCCCTAAACTTCACAATTATTAATAATAATAATAAATAAGCCACTTAACATGTTAATACTTTAATCGTAACCGTAATAAAATAATAAGTCTTAATAGTTAGTAAAACCTTTTAAAATAGCTATTATATATACGAGTAACGTTCAAAATAACAACTTTAACTTGAAAAAACATTCATAAAAAAACATCGATATTTTAAACATTATAAAGAAACTAAATGATAAAAGTAAATTAAAAAAAAAAAAATTTTTTAAATTAATAAATAAATAAATAAATAAATAAAAAATTTTTTAAAATTTTTTTTTTTACATAAGAATTTGAAAATTATAAAATAAATATAAATTATAAAAATATAAATTATAAAAGAAATATAAATTTTTTTTTAATAAAAAATATAAAATTTATATAAAATATATAATTTATAAAATATATATAGAATATATAGGATATATAGAGTATATAGAATATATAGAATATATAGAATATATAAAGTATATAGAATAGAAAGAATAAAAAGAATAAAAAGAATAGAAAGAATAGAATATATAAGATATATAGAATATATAGAATATATAGAATAGAAAGAATAGAATATATAAGATATATAGAATATATAGAATATATAGAATAGAAAGAATAGAATATATAAAATATATAGAATATATAGAATAAAAAGAATAGAATATATAAAATATATAGAATATATAAAATAATTTATAACAAATAAAAATAACTCATGGTTGATTTAATTAAGTAAAAAGATCTTGATAATCATAATAAAACAATATATATTTACAAATGTTATATAAGCTTTGAAAACCAAAGACTTCATATTAATGTCAACTTTTAATAAGAATACCGTTATTATAACTTTAATAATATTTAGCCGTTTTTAAAAAACACCTTTTTCGACGTACGTATATGCGTTATAAAAAATATTAGCTAAATATTAAAAGTACATAATAATTATAAGATATTTATAAAAAAATCGTAATACCCTTTTAATAGAACGTTAATTCCACCATTAAAAGCGTTAAAAGAGATAATTATAACAGTGTACAGCTGTATCCACCTAGATGGATGCTTAGTCATTAGATCACGTGTATATTAGATAAAAAGGAACGGGACCACCACTTAAAGTGTGTGCTGCGCACACCATCTTGCTGGCTTCTTTTTCCTTTTTCACCTTGTTATTTTTGTAATCAACACTAAATTGCGTCACAACGCCGTAGGCATCGTGATAATAATATTATAAAACTAGTTTTTTGTCACGATCCGTATTATAAAGTAGGAGCGCAATGGATCTCATTACTGTATACATATGAAAATCATCTGGTGGGGAAGGAAAAGAAGATCTTAACCCGTAGCCAAATTGGCTAATAAGATAGATCTAAGCAACCGCCCTGCAATTCCGCTACGGAGCAGCGTTGACCAGGTCATGTGACTTGCATGTGACGAGGACCAGGGCCAAGGGTGGTGGCTAGGTGGCTAGGCACCATCTGTTGAATACACGAATGTTGATTGATTCTATTGATTGTTCTGCTCTGCGTGCAGAGATTGATCATCTGTCTTCTTGGTGGATCAGATGCCTTGTGCGTCTTTGCCCCACTGGAGATCTTCTAGTGTCTATCTCTGGCTCCCATTCAACAGCATAACATTTATAAAGTTTTTAATATAAATAAAATAAGCTAGTTACTTAGGTAATTTTATTTATAAATAGCTTTTACGTAACTTTACGCTTATCTTTTTTAATTAAATAGTAAACACCTTTTAAATCTTTATATACATATATTTGTAACTTAGTTCTTTTATAATTTAAAACTTAATATTACATATGATATATACGTTTATACCGATTTTTTACTTTATTTTATTATATATACTTTTACGTAATAAGTATTTTATTCGATTAAATCAAATCACGTTACTAGTATACTCAGGTATGCTCGAGGTCTACCTTAGGTGAGTAAAGTATTGGGCAAATACTCTACTTAGTAGTGTATTTTTCACACCCTCGTTTTAAGTAGGTACCGAAGGTCGGTCTGCACAGTGCACCAAGCACATGTCCGTCAATCAATCAACGGGCAGCCGCGAGAGTCCCCCGCATTCGCGTCAGTTAGGAGGTACTGAGGTACTGTCTCGTTCAATTGGAACCGCGTCTTGAGCATTGAACCACTGCCTCCTTGAATGCGCAATCCATTTTCTGACTGCCTTAGCTCCCTTATTTACTCGAAGCCATACATATTTTCCCTACTCCTACTGGTGTTCCTCCTGAACAACACCATCGCTCGACGCGTTCTCGGTTGCGACAACGTCTTACGAAGCCCGAGTCGTTCCCAATTCGCCCTTTTCCCCTTGCCGCCGCGCATCGGCCACCGCGAACCTGCGACCCCTCCTCGCATACCATCACCCTCACCATCGCCATCATGGCTGGACGGCGCAGGCGTGCCGCCTCCACCTCGACCGTCGCAACGGTCGATGACGATGCCATTCAATACTACAAGGAGAACACCGTCATCAAGCCAGCCAAAAACAGCACCCACACTGACGATTGGCCCTGTTTCCTGCTTGCCGATGCGACCGTCTACCACCGCGATGGCACATTGGCAAACCTGCTGCACGTCGATTTGGAGGGGCCCTTTATCATACGCGGCAGAGTCGAGATCGAGAGGGATCAAGAGCGCTTTCGTGCGTTCGCCTCCTGTTCCTTCCGAAAATCACACCGCTGACACGCCTCATAGTTGTCAATCGCCAAAGCAAGACTAAGTCGGCCTGGATTCAAATACAAAGCACCGTATCCTTCTCAATCGGACTGAAAGACGATGGCTTGTCGGTTCCTGTTCTCTGGGCTAGCGGCGAGGCGGGATGGTACGAGATCATCCCTTCTGACAGGTATATGGCCGTGTGCGACACAATGTTCCAGGGCATATCTCTTCACTACGCCATACTTGACCAATACGACGAGGCTCTTGTGAAGTTGTATAAGAAGAAGAAGAACAGGAGAAAAACCATACACAACGTATCTTTGCCTCTGGATGAGGTTCTATTCAAAGTAAGTATTGGGGAGACCCAGGTGGGACGGATTGGTGTCTAATTCGGAATACTAGTATGCCCTCACTGTCGGTGATGGTATTACTTTGCCAGAAGCCCACCAGCGACTACAAGATCAGGCCATCTTTCTCCTGTCACACTTTCCCAAGGACACCGAGTTTCATAACTATCTGAGAGGCAAATTTCCCGTTAGATGTCCCCTATGAACCTGACATGCGGGCACTACGCTCACACCCTCTGTAGGATCTCCGACAGAGACTCACTGAAAAAGAGTCGAATGAATCGAAGCAAAACAAGGCCACGGGACCTTCGCCTCTGGAAGCGTCCATCTATCCGACCAGAGAGAAGTCCAGTTCGCTGGACATCGCTAACGGAAAGAAGAAAGAGAAGCTACCAGTCAGAAGTTTGGCAACAAGGAGTACTCGGAGCAGTGAAACGATCGAAGTCGCAATCATTGAACCTAAGGATAATCAACGGACCCTTGCACCGAAACCCGTCAGGGCTACAAGAAACTCACCGCTTGTTGCTGACGAGAAAGCTGACATTATCATGATCGATGCACCAGAAGCAAAGCCCCAGAGCGTGATGATGACACATGCCCAGCGGCCTACTGCTGCGTCCAGTTCTATCACGGAAGTCAAGTCTTCCGGGGACGTCCTGGTTGAAGCTCTACAAGATTCTCGAAGAAACGTCTTGGAGGTGCTCAAGGAAGGGAAACAAAGGAAACATCCCGACGACATGACTGTGAAAAGTTGGCAGACCAAGATATATCAGGAATGCAACATCAAACCGTACGAAGCGCTGCATGAGGTCTGCCTCTACCACGCACGAGACTTTGTGCGACTGCTTGGTCCTGATTGGCACAATACACAGTTCTACAAATGGGCGAAGGCCAATGTCGACACCCCGCCGAAGCTCACGCTTGTCACCGAGGACGCTGTCAAAAGGATAGCTCGACGAGTGAGGAAACCACGACCAGGAGCTCGCATCGAACAAGGTGCAAAGGAGAACACACAGCCAGAGGCAGCAGAGCGCCAAGGAAATCAACCCCATCGAGGCCGCCCGAGTGGTAAGGCCGCAGGCTTGCGTCCGTCCTTGGGAAGCAAGAAACGCTTGCGAACCGAGACAGGATTCGATGACGATATGGATGTGGATGAAGACGGAGTACCTATGAGGACATCCAAGAAATCACGACTTCTCGCTGACGGTGAAATGGACGAAGTCCATGACGGAACTCCGTCGGGTGATGACGAACAGCCCGAGAGCAAAGACGCACCGGCAACCAAACTGGTCATACGCGCCGAGAAACTGCCCTCTTCTACACCTCAGGGGCCGAATCAGACGTGGACCTGCGAAGAGCCCGATTGTGGCTTTGTCGTCCGAGCTGCTGACGCAGAAGAGGGCCAGAACCTCATCACTGCTCATTTCGACCAACACGAGAAAGAAGCTCGTGACGTTGCCGAAGAAGCCGCGTTGAGCAGAGTCAACCTTGCACTGCAGGAGTCACGATCAGGACACATGCCTATTAAGTATGTCTACTTTCCCCCTTTCCTTATCTTCGTCCAGTACCAAGAGCCTGACCCCTATCAAAGGGGTCCGGGTATGGACACTGCGACAGGAAGTTGATTCCAGACTGAGACACACTACAAACTTTGCTTTCCAAAACCCTGCTTCGGTTTCATTGGTACAGGCGCATGGCGATTCTTGTAATTCAATACACCTTACCTGACTTGGCACTTGCTTTCATCCCATCCGCAACCTGTTCATTTCACACAAGAGCACACAAACAAGTAAACAACGTCCCTCACGCTACGAACAAACGGTAGTCTAACATGGTAACAGTCATCTCCTCGATAAGATCCGGAGCCTGGGCGAGAGGACAGAACGCCGCGACGAGGCTCATCTGAATGGCCAACCGCTGCCCCAGCCCATCAAGCGGACTCTCCTAGTCTAAGGAACGGAGCTTCCTTGAGTTCCCGGCTTCCACAAGCCAAACCCGGAACCCGGAACTCGACATCGAGGCTTGGATCTTTCCCCATTTCGATAACCACTATAGGCATATTTCTACTTTTCTCTGGCATGGTTGGGCTGGCGTAGTGCGCCGCGCGTTGGCGCTGGCGTCACAGTGATGATGCGGTCCCCCTTGGGATAATATATAAGTACGGGCATGGATTATGATACCCCCTATTTGCATGCAATCAGCGAATGCGATCTATTATGCTCGCATGCGTTCGCTGGCTTTGAGATGTCGATTGCACAGATGAGTTGCGTTCAATGGTAAGACCTCTTGCTAGCATAGCAGTCTTCTTCAGACCCCTTTCGAGGGCTATGCTGGATAGCCGTGGAAAGTAGATGAATTGACAATTGAGCTTGATAACTCATCCAGATTCTAGATTCGCTGCTTTGATGTCTGCAACCTTCCCCACCCCTTCATTCAGAACCGCTCCTCTCCAGTCTATCAATATATCTATCTACTTCTTCTCCCTGTCCTCCCTGTCGTACAGCTCCAAGTAGCTCGCCCGTAGCCGCATCTGCAAGTGCTCGTTCGCAGTCAGGACCTTGCGCTCGGCGTACGGGTTTTTGGTTTTGGCGTCCGCGTCCGCCAAGTCGCCGCCGTTGAAGCTGCGCACGCGCTCGCTCGGCACGGCGCTGAGGGGCGTGTCGTCGGCCGGGTGGCAGAAGTAGACGAGGGAGTAGCGCGGGTCGGTGGAGGACTCGCTATTGGGGGTGGTCGTCGAGCTAGAATCAGAGTTAGAATCGGAGCCGGCAAACGACACGCGGTGCACGGTGCTGCGCAGCAGCCCGTTCGTCCAGTACGAGAGCAGGTCCCCGATGTTGACCAGGATGGGCGATGCGGGGTCGGCTTCCGTGCCGGGCGGACACACGGGCACGGGCGCCCACTCGGGGGGAGAGGGGGAAGAGGGCGTCTTAAGGATCTCCAGGCCGGCCTGGCCGCGCAGCCGGAAGAGCAGGGTTATGGAGCCGTAGTCGGAGTGCGCGCCGGCGCGGACGTCCTGGTCGGGTCGGGCGGTGGGGGTGCTGCTGGGGGGCGGGTAATAGAGGAAGCGCAGGATCTAGGTTACGGATTAGGAGTCAGTGGTTATTTGGTTATTCTTGGCAGGTAGGTAATTCAACGGTTATCTGTCTGGATAGGTCTTCGGGAGCAAGCAAAGAGCCCATGAAAAAGATTCTAGGTGGGAAACCTGCCCCGACAGACCCGTGGCCGGCCAGAAGGGGAACTGGATGACTCCTGGGTTGCAACGTACGGAGCCTGAGGGCTTCTCGGGCGCGTGGGCGGTGCTGAAGAAGTCTGGCGGCGACACGCCGAGCCCGATGCCGAAGAGGAGGAGGAGTTTGCGGCAGAGACTATGGCAGGCGAAGCGGAAGGCGGCGAGCTCGGCTTGGTGAGGCTCGATGCTCGCGGGGATGGGCTGGGTGGCTTTGCTGCCGGCGAAGGGGCCGAAGTTGAAGCCTCTGGGGTGGATGTGTTAGCTATTGGGGGCCTTGTTTGATGGATGGATAGGGGCTGTGGGCTATGTGCTATGTGCTATGAATAGGGTAAGTGGTGAAGTGATGGCGGTGACATTTACTCTTTGAAATCTCCGACCTGGACACGAACGGGGTCAGTAGGGGCGTCTTCGGTGTGAGTGAGGCGGACAGATAGGTAGGAAGATGACTTACTCGCTGCGTCTCGGGGTCCAGCGTCTCGGTGTGCATGCCCGACCAGCCGCGGTTGTTCTTCTCGATCTTGCATCGTTGCTTGTCTTCGAGCGGAGAGCTGAAGAGCGTTCGTGACTAGGCGAGACGAGATGGCCGTGAGCATTTGATGCGCGGTCATAGAAGCTTGGTCTTGCGAGCTGGAGGACTGTCTGTTGGGCGCTTACCAGGTTGAATGCATTCTCTATCTGCTCGACTGAGATGTCCCGCCCGGAATTCTTTATGTAGATGAAGCCATATTCGACCGCCGCGGCTACTCTGGTCCATGAGAAGAGCTTGGGTTAGGTTCCGTACCCTTTCTTCCGCATGGGACATACAGCGCACCGGCACGACTACTTACTATTGATACGTTAGAACAAGGCAATGAAGATGCAAGAATACTCGATAAATGACAATACATACCAGCTCCTTTGCGACCTGTGCCTGGTCTGCTTCCTCGGCGGAGATGTCGATGATGGGGATTGCTGCAGCTTCCGGCATGGCTGGTTGACTTTATTCCCGTTCTTGCTTTGGATTTCACGAGGCACGCAGGGTATCTTTCAACAATAACGGGGTTCCAGATGGGGAAATTCAAACTTTATGTTGGATATGGGCATGAGCTTGTCGCTGATGTCTGACCAAGGTGGTGGTGTGGATTGCCTACTACTTGAGCAGCTTGGACTGAGTGGTGCTATTGACTTGAGCTCCAGTGCCGCCTATCGTTCGTTACCTTTCCGATGAGCTCGGATGACCTGTCCAGCGGAGCTATCTCTTCCACATATTGCACACCACAAGTAAACTCGCCTTAAAGCCTCAAATCCAGCTACTTTTGAATGCTAGCTGAAATCAATTGTGCTGGAAACTGACCAGAACGACCTTCTCGATCTAACGATGCCTCATCCGCAGACACCACCAGACATGCGTGCAGATCTTCAAGTTTCAGCCAGGGGCACCTAGAGGGGGCCGAGGGGCAGAAGAGGCTTGACTAGGTCCCGTCGGGGGCCGGGCTGGGGTGCACGAGCCACAATTGGCTATGGATGTTGGAGGGTCCATTTCATTGTCCCGTCCTGAGGTATCTATCCAAGTCAGTAACAGCTGCAAAACCACCAAGTCAACAACAGGTGCAACTGCACCCTCCTCCTTCTCTCCTCCCTCCTGCACCCTCCTCCCATTCTTTTTGTCTCCCTCCTTATATTTGTCACTTGATCTTGTTTTTGGTCAGGTGCACTTCCAATATTGAAGCAGTCCTTTGACTGAAATCACACTCCTTACCTCTCCTTTGCCTGCCTACTCGATTCCAAGGCTGAAGCTTCCTTGGGTAGCTTCAGTCCACATCGCCAGGTCCTTCAAGATGCCGAGTAAGTCACGTTTTGATGTCTCCTCGGTGCGCCATGTCACTGGCAGCCCGCATACCCCATGGATGCATCATATGAACCGTCACCTGGGACCGTACGACGCGCGCCCACCTTAGCTCAAGAACCCTTCCTCGGGCGACCCAGAACATGGTCATTGAATAGCTGCACTTTCCGCTGCGAAACATCCTCTTCTACGAGTCGACGGCAAACCTACCTACCTGGCATCGTACAAACACTCGGAGCTCGCAGGCACCTCTGCTAGGGATCATGACGCCGCGCCTGGATTGGGAGAGGATGATGAAGAAGAGGGCTGCATTTTGCGCCAACACCAACACCGTCACCGCCACCGACACCAGCGCCAACACCACACCAACACCAACGACAGCAACATCAACTGGGCCCGGTCTGCCAAGCGCTCGTATTTCGCGTCGTCGTCCGAATCATCGTCCGAATCATCGTATTACGATTCATGTCAGCTCACAATGTGGAAGGAAACCTACTGGTGTGTTGCAAGTGTATACTGGAACCTGCTACAAGTGTGATCGGACCAGGCTGTGGGCGCATACAAGCTCACTTACACACGCTGTGCTGCATTGAATTCGGACTCATCTTTGCTAACTGTTCCCTTTAGATCCCTGGGATGACACATGGATCAACGAGCAAGTCATGTAAGTGTCGCTTTCTATCATAGTCGTGAACAGGTGCTAACCGTGTTTATTTGCAGAACTGCTCCAGTCGATCAGCTCCAAGATGCCATCATCGCAGTTGATGCTGCTTATTACATCCAACTGTTCCTCGACAACCCTCCCTATCACGAGCCCCTACTCCCCGCACTCGGCGGTTTGACTGGCCTTCAGTCCCACATCGAAGGCGATCTGGATACCTGGAAAAACAACAATACAACACCTTTCTTCATCTTTGACGGCCAGTCCGTTGTGGGATCAGACGAGGTCACGGTACAGAGAGGAAAGAAAGCCAATGCCGGAACCGATGAAGCCTGGGGTCTCTACTTCCAGAGCCAGGCCAACGAAGCTGTCTCTGCCTTCGGGTCCCACCGAGGCGCGTACCGCGTTTCCAACCTGTTCCCTATGCTTCAGGGAATTCTGAAGCGTCGTGGTCTTCATTTTCTGGTTCCCCCGTACAATGCTTCTGCACAGGTAAGCTTTCACTCATGCCAACGATTACATGGAAAGCACCGGGCGACGCCACAGGCTTAAAAGCTGTCTATTATATCGGTGCTTCACCGTTGCTAGACATCTTGATGCAGTAGCACTTTTGTGACTAACCACATTCAGCTTACCTACTTCGACATGATTGCCTCCGATCAATGTTCAGCCATAATGGGCTCGCAAGAGCTTCTGCTGTATCCAATCAAGGATATCATTCTTCGCCACATCGATTGGGACAATGCAACTTTCAGTGCGATTTCGAAGCAGGGTATCGTGAAGGGACTGGGCGTGACTGAGCCCATGTTCATCGATGCTTTGATGATGGCCGGCACATCTTTCCTCCCAGCCTTTGCCCCGTTGAAGGAATGTTCCATCATTCCACGTCAGCCCTACACGGTACAAGATGCCGTCAATATGCTACGAACTTCGGAGAAGTCTGTGGCGACTGCCTGCAACTCGTTCAATGACATTTTGGGAAAGAGAGGCGAGCCCCACTGGTACAAGAAGTACTTGAAAGCCAGAATGAGTCTCGATCACTTCATCTATATTGCGGAGAGTGGGGAGATCCAGGTACACAACAACGACACACTGACCCAGGATAACTGGGAATACCTTGGTTACCAGTTGCCGGCCGAGCTGTTTCATTACCTGAACACGGGACTCATCGGAGCACGCCTCCTGAACTGGGTGACCCATGGTCAAATCATTGTCTACCCAACCCTAGACGGAGTCGAATCAGAAGAGTACAAGAAGCTGGTGACCGACCAGCTCATGCCCCTTCGCGAGACGGCTATGAGCCTTGTTCTTCCGAGACTGCACCGGGGTATTCAATTCAAAGCGATCGCAGTGAAGCTGTGGTACGATGACAAGTACTCTCACACTATTGAGTACCGTCAAACCATCCCCTCAGGCAATTCAGCCATTCAGAAGGCACACAGTTGGGACGTCAAGGCTGATGCTGTAGCCAAGCACTTTCCGAATGCGAAACATGGCTCAATCCAATTCGAAGCAGCGGCACTAAAGAATAAGGATTTCGCCAAATCCACCGTCACTGCTGAAAAGTTCAAGGGCATCGCCTCTGCTGACCTCATTCGATCGGTGACGATCTGGCGCTTCCTCCACATTCGCGGCTATGTCGACGATAACCATGACTTGACCCCTTGGGGTGAGGCTTTGGCCACGTCTCTGGAGACGCTGGAGCCTACTGTGACGAAGAACTCGGCAGTCCCTGGTCTATTCGAAGCGGTTCTCCTTGCATACGAGCTGCTTAGATATAATCTTCTGAACACTCGCAACCAGCATGGAGAGCTGAACGGTCTCCCGATGACTGGCTCCGAGGATCACAAGACATCCGTTCTTCTCATAAGTCGGTGCGCGACTCTGTTGAAGTTGCGTCACCAAGCTAATGGCTACACCGGTCCATTGAGCAAGAATTTCCTGTGCTACCGGTCACTGAGCTCGTCGATTCGTGAGGCAGACCGTGATGTCATCGAGGCGATCGTAGCGTCCATGTTGCTGCATGCGCAAACGAATCGCGAGCGAGAAGACTATCTCGAGATTGGCCAGAGGTATGTTGAAGGACCTTCTTTTTCCTGCTGCAAGTGTTTACTCTAGTGACAAATATGTATACTAACTTGAATTAGCCTTCCCTTTCTTATGGACCCAGATGTTGCTCTTGGAATCGCTGTCAAGACGTTCCTGGATGACGGTCACGTCACTGAGAGTGCCGACCAGAAGGCTGCGAAGAAGGCGGAATTCCCTGGCAAATTCGTACCGTATGCTACCAATTTCTTCGAAGATCTGGAAATTGCGTGTGACTTCTTCGGTGCCATACACGCCGGAGTCAAAACGCTTACGAACGATATCTCGGCTGCGGACCGGAAGATCTGGGACAAAGCCTCGGCGTATCTCAAGGCTCGCCTGTAGCCTATGCATCGGCCGGCATCCCTGCCGCTTGTCACGGAATACGACCTGCAAACACAGCAAGAGAATAATGTGAGACAGTGCTGCTGGGAAACAATCACCAGCCTATCTTCATCTACAACACCAGGACTCAAAGTCTACAACGTACCAAAAACATGCCGATCATCACTGCATATGCTCATGGCGCTCAATATTTATTTAAGGCGATCACCATGGTTGCCATGGTCCAATCCTTCGAGTCCCCGCAAGGCGTTCAGAGATCAGGAAAAGCTGGACTTGCAATGATAGCATTTGATAAGCCTGCTATCGGCGAGGTAGCTAGGCGTCAATATCTTAACGACGCTATGAAACCTCTCAGACGGAGCGAGTGTAGCAAATAGACCGTTCAGCCAAAATATCATATCATCTTCAGTATGTTGGAGAGTCAGACAGCCCAGCGTTTGTGACTATGATCATTGTGCGTGGAACTACCTGCCGTCTCTAATTGCATGACCGTAAGTACCTGTTGAACATGCTCTGCAGATATAATTTCATGGCAACTCTCGTATGCTAGATGGTTGTTTCTCGCATGTCTTTATCGCAGTGTTCGCGAGTGGCTCGACCCCTCACAGTAAAAGATCTACAAAACACGGTACTGTGATAAGATAAGAGTGGCTGGGGATCCACTAAAACTTTTCTCGCATCGCGAGTTCTCAGTCAATTCGAAGGCATCCAAACCCTGTATGTCCAAATTTCTCGTCTTTCGCCCTTGTACTGCACACTCACACCAGCTCCTCCGGTACCTTCTACGGCCCCGAGCCCAACACCACTCGAGACACGCCCGTCCGATCACCCTACCTGCACAATCTCAACACAATGGCTAAGGAGCGGGGCGACAAGCCTCGCAAAGAGGTCGAGAAGTCCGAGGTGAAGGTCTCCACGGACAAGGTCAAGAAGCACAAGAAAGAGAAGAAAGACAAGAAGGAGAAGAAGGAGAAGAAGCGTGCGACGACCCCGGACAGCTCAGATGAGGCTGCGGGAGGTGCGCCTATGGAGGCCGAAGCTGTAAGCTCCTCCGGCTGCCTAGATCAGTCTTCCAGTATGTATGTGTGTGACGAGCTAACCCAGCTTGTCTAGGCGGAGGATACCTCCATGGTAGATCCTGCCGTCGAAGTCGAGTCGGACAAGGAGGAGGAGGAGAAGCCTAGCAAGAAGGAAAAGAAGGAAAAGAAAGACAAGAAAGAGAAGAAGTCCAAGAAAAAGAGCAAGACCGAGGCAATTGAAGATGCGGTAAACGAGAGCGCGGAACTGGCTGTCGAAGCTGCGTCGGCGGCCGCTGTGAAGGGCGAGGGCGACAAGCAGGAGGAGGTGCCGCTCTTCTCGATCGACACGAACCCCACACCGGTCGACCTCGAGGCCATCAAGGCCGAGTCGGAGCCCGACGAGGACGAGGGCGGAGCGGTCCTGCCGAAGGGACAGCGGAAGCCCAAGCAGTCGCTGCCGCCGAGCGGACTCAACCGCATGGCGCGCCGGCGCATCAAGCTGATCGAGCGGCAGCGCGAGGCGATCCAGAAGAAGCTCGAGGTGCCCGTGGGCTCGAACGAGAAGGCCGACGAGGTCAAGGAGCTGCTGGATAAGTGGACGGCGACGTTGGATGATAAGAACGCCATCCGCATGGAGAAGAAGCGCCTGCGCAAGGAGAAGGAGGCCGCGAGGCTCAAGAACAAGCGCGGCAAGGTGCTCACCGGCCGCAAGCTTAAGGACCGCCAGAAGCAGCTGACCAAAATGGACAAGAAGGCTACCAAGAAGGCGGGTCGGATTTCCGAGTAACTAGAACGTACTGTGTCTGTCGCACGACTCAGTCACTCGTTCTGTCTTTCGTCTGCTTTCTCAGCATTAGGCGGTGTCCCTCCAATGGCATACGGGCGTTTTGGGCGTGGAAGTTACAAAAGTTTGCTTTTCGCATAGCTCTATACCTTCGTGGTGGCTGTCTTAGATAGGACCAAGCTATGCTGTAGAGCCCGGTTCCGAGCAAATGATCACGCAATGTTCTATAAACAGAGTCTTGGGCGAATTTGAATCAAGAGTGAGATTAGAAATGCCATTGGCAATGCTGTGTCCAAACGGGTGTCTCCGGTGAACAGCGCACCATTGATGTAATCCCTTATACAGATGTCCCGTAATGTACATTCAATACAGAATCGTACAGCGTACAGCGACCCCCTTTCAACATTACGATTTCTTCTCACCACTCTCGCCCGCATTACTCTTAGCAGCAGCAGCAGCAACAGCACCGTTATCCTCCTCCCCCGTCTTCGTCTTCGTCTTCCCGCCCTGATTCCACACCTCCCAGATCTGCTCCGTGATGAGACCCCAGATACCGTCGCCGCCCTCACTCAGGGCCTTCTTCTCGCGACGATCGCGCTTCTCCTTCCAGTCCGGCGTCTCGTCGCCCATCCAGATCTTGTCCAGCACGCCCGTGACGCCCCTCTTTTCTTCACCGTCCTTTCCGTCCTTGTCTTGTGCGTTTTGGCTGGCAGCACCTGCGGTTCCGTTCAGCCGCCTCGTTTGTTCTTGCTCCTCGAAGAAACGCCTCTGTTCCGCCGTCAACTCCATCTTGCCCACGCTGCCCAGCCCGCCCGCACTACCCCCAGACGCAACCCCAACACCACTACCACCAACCCCAGTACCAACCCCAGCAGCCCGCATCCGCTCCCTCTCCTGCCTCAGCCGCATCTGCGTCACCTTAGCCCCCTCAGGCAGCTCCGTGCCGCCCATCTGCGCGACGCGGTGCCCAAACCGCTGCATCGACGACCTGCCGGAGTAGTCGTACACGAGCTGGTTCGTGCCCCAGAGCGTGACGCCGCCGAGCACGACGGCGCGGACGTCGAGTTTTCTCGGGGGTAGGAAGAGGGCTAGTAGGGAGAGGGGGGTTATGGCTAGGGCTATGTTGTGGATGTAGGGGTTCGCGTTGGGGGCGAGAGGTGGTTGTGTGGGGGAGGGTGTTTGGGAGGAGGGTGGTTGTGGTTGTGGTTGTGTCGTTATGGGCGTGGGTGTCGAGGTGGGCGGCGGCGGGTTGGGGGACGCCATTGTGGGTGATGGGTTTGTGGTGTCGGTCTTGTTGTCGTTTCGATTTGGATTCCAAGGGACGTATCGACTTTGCGCGCGGTTCGCAGGTTCGGTGGTGTTTGGCGATGTTGTGGCTTCGTGCGAATATGAAGACGGGATGGATGATGATGATGCAGTGGATGGGGATTCGGAGAGCTGGCTCGGTCAACTTTTTTACAGGGGTGAGATTGGCGGCGCTAGGGGTGAGCTAGGGAGCTTGGACATTTGGATACCCGTGCCCCGCACCACTTTCCACCTCGCCAGGGCTCACCACGTAAAGTGGTGCTCACCACAGTAGCACACCAACCACAATAACACACCAGTCTTCTAAAATAACCACCCTCCAGCCAAAACCACATCAAAGTCATTGTCTTTTTGGGACGACTTTTTTGCGATAGAATCCCGTATTCACGAAGCCGTAAAATACGCCGACGAGCATCCGGATGCCTCCAAACGCGGTATCTGGCGCCAATTCAGGGTTCCAAGAGAGCACTTTCACAACCGCCTGCAGGGCATCCCTTCCAAAAAAGTACCACGAGAACCACCCACCAAGCTGAATGCGATACAAGAAAAGGCTGTCTGTGTTTATATTGACCTCCTAGATACTATTAATCTCTCTGTGAGGCCAGATTTCATCGCAGAGGCTGCCAACTTGCTGCTCAAGGAGTCGGCAAGTGCCGCGGTCACAGAACTACCCACAGTTGGTAAGAATTGGGCCTCCCGTTTCATCAAGCGCCACGGATACTTTAAGCAGCCTCAGAAGGTCCTTTCATAACATCGCCAAGCTGCTGAAGACTTGAAGCATACTGAAGAGTACTTTCAGAAGCTGAGGAGGGTCTTCAGTAAGGAGGGCATCCTCCCTGACGACCTATAGAACATGGACGAGACTGGCTTTCGATTAGGGGTTAGAAAGGATCAAATGATCGTCACTAAGTGAAAAAGAGCCTATTATTTTGGAATACCAGAGAATAAGGAGTCTGTTACTAGCATAAAAGCTATCTCTGCCGTAGGTAAGGTTGTCCCAGGCTTCCTTCTCCTCGCTGGTACCCTCCGTATGTCTCTATGGTACAAGGTACCCAAATTAGACCCTAGGATGGTAATTACAACCGCGGAGAGTAGTTATTCAAACGATAAGATCAGCCTAGAGTAGATTAAGCACTTTAATAAGCACTTTAAGACCTTTTAAGTTAGTATAAAGAGGCTTTTAATTATTGACGGTCATAGTAGCCATTATACACTATAATTCATTTAATATTGTGACGACAACGGCATTATCCCTTTTGGTTTCCCTCTGAATATGACGCATTTACTACAGCCGCTCAATGTGGTGGTTTTCCAGCCCTTGGTGCACTACTATGTTAAAGCCCTAGATATTATGTTGCATGATGGTCTCACGCATATTGGGAAGATTGAGTTCTTGTTGTGTATTGAAGGGGTTTACCAGCAAGCTTTTAAGAAGACCACTATCTTTTCTGCTTTTAAGAAAACGAGTATCTATCCTTTCAAACCGTCAGTTATGATTGACCAGTTGAAGGAGTGCGAAGCTCGCGCGAGGACCCCGTCACCCCCCCTTAACCAGCCTGGTTCCTCTTCAGTTACTACCCCAGTTACAATGCGGTAGATTCACAAGGTCGCTTATTGAGTAGACGAGGCCTTGAATAACCTAGACGATGGCGGGGATCTTACTCCTGAAGATATTGAGAGGATCAGGCTCCTATCTAAGGGGGCGCGCTTCCACGCCTCCCAGCTAGTCCAGACCAAAAGGGACTTTGGAAGGACTGAATTAGCTTCTTAAGTTGATAAACAGCACAAGTCTATAAAGAACACTCCTCTCTAATCAAAAGGAGTATTTACAGTTAAAATTGGGCGTCAGATAGCAAGGAAAAAGGAACAAGAGACCGCGGCAGGCCTCCAGAAGAAGGCAGATGCCTTGGCAAAGAAAGAGCTCTAACCACAAAAAAATATTACTAAGAAGGCAGCAAAGTTGGCCAGGCATTAGAGGACTATTAAGAGACTGCCTGCTACTGATATCTACGAATCTGGCAAGAAGATGCGGTCGCTACATAAATTTTAATACTGAATAACCTCATATTGGTGTGTCATTGTGGTTGGTGTGCTAATGTGGTGAGCCCCACTTTATGTGGTGAGCCCTAGCGAGGTGGAAAGTGGTGCGGGGCACGGGTAGCTTTCAAGTTTCCATAGACAGCCAGACAGCCCGACAGCTTGACGACATGGAGATATGTTGCATAAAATTTGTTCAACTCTACCAAACGAGTCCATTCGGTTGGTATCATCGTCGATTCATACCTACATACAGAGGCGCTCATGTTCCGTACTGTACCTTATACGTAAGTTATTGAGGCTGTTGCGCTGAAGCCTTTCGTGAACGTACATGGAGGCGATCGAAGCTCCAACATACTACCCCTTATGTTATAACGAGACATACATCCTCTTCGTCCACGGTCCGGTTCCTGAGCAGCAATGGCATCCCTAAATGCGATTCCACCAGGAGTACTCGTCTTGGTTATTAAGCATTTGTTACCTTCTATTGGCATCTATAAGGCAATCCGGCTACGACTGGTCAACCGTGAGTCAAGATCTTGTGCCTTAGAATACAGAGTGCATTGAGCTGTCTGGCATGTCTCGGTTCTAACCACCATATCCAGGTGCATTCAGTCTGCCATCGTCACCGCCATCTGTGACACCCGTGTCGTCGACTACGATGACCCAGCAACGCCAGACCTGGCCTTCCATCTGTCGCCGCCATTGCTGGCCAAAATCCTGGTGACGCAGATCCAATCAGTCCAGCGGGACAAGAATCCAGTTCTCTCCGTCATTGGTGGCCTGGACGAGGCGTTGGACATACAGACTTCCCAGCATCGCAAGATTGCCGAGGCGGTCTACAGCGTGCAGCCGTCGAATCTGCGTCGGGCCATGGACCGGAAGAGTCTCAAAACCAACGAGGCCATGAAAGCGCAGAACTACCTCAGCGGCGCCATCGTCCTCGGCGATCTGTTTGGTGTTGGGGGTTTTCTGGGGAATTCGACGGCCCTCGTGACGGATGTCAACGGCGAAAGCCCCCTCTTTGGCCGGCCCTTACAGATCGCCGCTGCCTGGGGCCGCTTGAAGATTGTTCGCTATCTGCTTGATCGCGGTGCTGATCCGCAGATGTGCAGTAAGGATACCAGGGACATCGAGTGGGAGCCGGACATGAACTTGAGCATTCCACGCAGACACGTGTATCACGCCGTGTGCGGAAGCGCGCTGCGAGCTGCTGTTCTCGGGGGCCACACGGACATCGTCCGCTTGCTCCTCTAGCCCGAGTATCGGCTGTCTCCCACCACAGCGGAGTACCTTCGCGCCGTAGTTGCTGCCACTCGAGCTGGCCATCTACATCTCATCGATCTCCTTATGAGAGAAACGGGGAAATCATGTTTCGACTTTCCTGGACTGCCAGAGGAGATGCTGTGGGAGGCTGCCCGCAACAGCCGGCTAGACGTCGTGGAGATGCTGCTTGATAGGGGTTTGAGCGTGGACGCGGCACCGGTCTACAGCTCTTCGGTCCTGAGTCGGGATTATTACCGCGAACACAGCTCTGCCCTCGATTCGCCGCCGCCCAAGGAGAACTCGACATGGTTAATTATTTGCTGGAATACGGCGCCGACGTGAACTGCGCTCGCGACAAATACCGCTGCCCGGTCGGCGCCGCGGCTCGCAACGGACACGAGGAAGTCGTCAGCGTACTGCTAGCAAACGGTGCCAGCACCCCGAGGGCTCTCGAGAATGCCGCCGCGGCCGGCCAGGTGCGCCTGGTGCAGCGGCTGGTGATCAGGTATCGGAGGCTGCCCCGAGAGCAAAACAAGCAAGGAGTCGAGGTGGGGCGAATAGCCCTGGCCAACGCCATCACCTCGAAGAACCCGGCGGTGATCTCGCTGCTGCTCGATGCGGGCGTCCCGCTCAACGAGGGATACCCGGTCGAGTACGACGACCTCCCTATCGTGCTGGCGCGGACGAGGGCCGCGGACTGGGTCGTGGAGTATCTCCTGAGTCTTGGGGCCGAGGATAGGGAGATCGATCCTGTTGATCAGTGGTGTGCGTACCCGGAGCTGAAGTATAGCGATCAGATGAATAAGGGGGGGGGGGCGTGCGCGTCATGGAACGGACGTGGAGGTGGGTGGGCAAGTATTGATGCGGTGGTCTTGGGTACATGTAGATTGGGTTGAACGCAAGTTTGTTTGGGTACAGTACCTTATGGATGGTTTATGATACGAAATAAAGGTCGAATCAGTATACCGACATTGGCATCTGGCTGCGAGTAATCTAAGCCCCCTTCTGTGAGGCTTCGTGAGTTACAATGAATAAACTTGAGGAGCGTGTACACAAACTGGCCCTTGGGATTGGCCTTATCGTTCATGCTAGTCGCTTGCGATGGCTCCTAGCCAGCCGGAAGACGTCCCGAGGCAGCAGCATCGCCTTTCCACTAGGTAAGATGATGATGACATCCGTCCCAGGGGATTGATTGCTTCCAGAAGAATTCCATGCCCCGGCTCCCATCACACCGGGTCGTGTCTTGCATCTCATCCTGGGCAGTGGGTACCCATGTTCATGTGCTGCGCAAGCGGGACAGGAGGCTCAGCTGGTATGGATGCAAAGCGAGCAAAAACAGGCAAGGTGCAGGGGTTGTGGTTTGTTGGTAAGAGAGTCGGTGAGCGAGGCCTCGGCCCTGTCCGGCGCTTGCTGCGCCTTGCACCTTGCACCTTGCCTTGCATCCTGCACGCATCCTGCAGGCCAGATCAGACGAAGCATGGAAGCAATAAAGTCGTTCCAAGGCAGTCGACACAATGGGTTAGGCTCGTTATGCAGCAGCAGAAGCAGCAGCAGAAGCAGCAGCAGAAGCAGAAGCAGAAGCATATGCATGGTGGTATATGCATGTTGAGACGCTGAATAGTATTGTTGAGGCCGGCGAGTCTGAGGAGGGCTTCGCATCTCGATACATTAGGGGTGTTAAAAAGTGCAAGTATACCCATATCGAAGGCATCGCGAGGCATGTGGTGTGTGCCTAGCATCATCGGCTCAGATCAGCCAGTCGTCGTCGTATTAACGTTTCCAAGCTCTATATATATATATATATATCCCGTAGATCCCAATCCGATGGATGTCACAATTCCGCCAATAGCTACTTTGGTAGTCGCAGTCAATCCGGTATTTATATCTCGGGATGATATGATGATCTCGGCGCGTAGGAGTCCGATCCCGTAATAGTCTGATCCCGACGGCGTGCCGACATCGACCCTGCTTCCCCTCTACTGTATGATTTACCTGCCTGGGTTTCTACCTCCCTATCTGATGACGAGTCGGCCTCAGACTGGGGGCTACGGAACCGACACTGGTACCAGCACTGGCAACACCTTATGGATGGAAGACTCCAAGTGATCCTACATACAGTTTTGGATGGTCCCCGACATAGTATAACATGATTCACGTGGGGCATAACATGAGAAACAGATCATATATCCTTCTTGGGGTGCTAAAAGTATGTTCAACCATCTGATCAGCCATTATTAATAATAGTGTAGACTGACGTATTGCTTTCGGTCGAGGATGAATGTATGTTGCTGCATGATACTGCAGTTTGCCGCTCCGAATTTTGAAATTTATCTAGATGCGCCTCGTAACGTCAGTAGATGGAGGCATCGTTCAACATCGTCTTCTTCTATTAGCGATATCAAGCTACCGTCTTTTTTTATCAGCAATACCAAGCTATCGTCTGTCTATACCTTACACTTCGATTTGCTCAACTCAACCAACCGTCTCATTCCCCATACGCAAAACCTACTATCTACTACCGTAGCCAGAGCGAGCACGCGGACAGCAGAGATGCACATCTCGCGAAACTCCCTGCTCCGATTCACTCTCGCCGCAACCGCACTGTTCACCCCGTAACTTGCTCTTTCCATCGAGTACGTCAATAAGGACAACGAAGAGCTCGACAACACACACATCAACACGGTTTATTCCGTCACGGAGCTGGAACCTCCCCACGGCACAACGGGGATCAAGATCACCGACATGGCGGCAGAGATTGACGGTCAGAGATTGACGGTCAGAGATATAGCACGTCCTTATATATGTGGAAGGACAAACACGCGGCCCAGGAATACTGCGACCAAGCCAATGGTGAGACGGCCGACGAAGTCGATGAAACCGCCAACAGAGTTTGGTTATACAAGATGGAGAACTACTTCTTGAACTACGACCATGATTTGAAGTATGTCGTTGAAGTTCCGTTTGGTTCTGCGCGGGGAGAGTAAGGAGTCCCCACCTGGAAATATATGGTTCATACCATAGAGCGACCGCCCGTGTCTCCGGGTACACGGCGTACACGGTGTACACAGGGGCCAAAGCTAGGCCAGGGCCGTAGTACCGACAGGGTGGAAGCAGGCTTGAATAATCATAGTGTAACATCAATCATGGGCTATCTGATCTGAGTCAGACGGAAGCCTCTTAGGTCGCATGCCGCCACAGCCTGCAGGGCATCTGTGTTCCAGGAGCGGGTGCGCTTGATTGTGACATCGTGAGAAGGGCCTACGTCCCGATGTCGAACGAGGGCGGCATGCCAGTAGTTCGGATGGCGAATGGTGTGAATTCATGGTTGCTCGACAGGAGTTGAAAGTCGGATCAAGATATGTGACCGTGGGCGAAGTCGGCTCATATATCGTGCCGATGGCCAATTTCAAACATGACAAAAGCAGACACATGTTCGAAGTTTGCCACTTCCTAGCCGTGGTCTGCGTCGTTGTCTACCGGTATTCAGGAGTTGCTCTGGGTGCCGTGTTGGGTGCCATGTGGACGAACCGGCACAACGACGACGCCAAAGGGGCTCCAAAGGAATGAGGCCCTGTAATTCGACAAGTAGCGATGGTGGCGGCCTCCGTTGCCCCAGCTAATGCAGCCTGCCACGCCTGCCAGGGGCGGGTCGAACGAATCAGAGAGCCCATCGGGGTAGCACCGTAGGGCTGACGATCAAGGAGATGAGATCGTTGATGAACAATTCATTTGTCTTCCTGATGAGCGGCGCCCATTGGCCGCCAGAAAGGAGCTCTCCATCATGCCTTGCATGCATGCCAAATGCATCAGGCAAGTCTTGGCGACAGAGAAATCGGGAAATCGGCGGAGACCAAATTGGCGGGTTTCAGTCGAGGCAGTGAGATGAATCATGATGAGATGGAGGTTCTCATAGGGCTGATGTGGTGGGGATTTTAAGAGTCCCTGCTTTGGGTTGTCTCGTATCTCGCAGGTCGACGGGCCGTCTCCGCGGTAATAATTGACGTAGCCGGCGAGCATTGAGATTGGCCGACAAGCAAAGGGGATGAGGTTGCAGCGACGGTAGGACGTGGACGTTTGGTATGAGGGCAATCGAGGACGGGAGATGAGACGAATCTGGCCATCAGCGTCGAATTGTGGTCAGGTCTGTCCAAGTGTCCAAGTGTCCAAGAAGCACCCGAAGGAAAACGGCCCGGCCCAATGAGATATATCCAAGTCATGATATGCCGAGACTGATGATATACCGAGACTGATAAACATAGGTTAGTGGCGACTCCATCACTGAATCTGGGCAGACATGGAGTTGAGAGCTTTTTCGGAACGGTGCCGAAAGCGTTGAAGATTCCAGTGCTCCTCTGGGTGTGTAGGTAGGTAGGTACCGGCACTTGCAATAAGCTGTTGGACAGGTGGTCATGATTAGGGAGGCACGGCCAAGATACATAATCTGGCACTGGTACCGAAGGAAGCTCTTGCCAGATGCCAGGCTGTTGCTGTACCTAATAACAAGTACATGTAGTTCCTTCTCGTTTCGACGAATTCGACCCGATTAAATCCAACCTCCCTCGCAGTCCTAATTACATGTACCTCACAATGTGCCTTTTGGTAGCTTTCCCAGATGCTGACAAATCACAAGTCTTGTTGTAATCTATCAGTGGTCTGGGTGGTGCTTGATTAAAAGGTCGGATGGAAAGGATTCCATCCGAGATGTATCTAAATACCTAAATTACAGTGGTGAGGTACCTGGGGCAACAAAGGGTTGCCAGGCAGCCTTCATCAGGTAACCTCCAACATATCTATCTGGTGGGCTTACCAGAATACTCCATATGGGTCCATGCACTGGATCCACAACAAGACGAGGGTATTGACGTGTTAATGCATTTGAGTCATCTTCTTCGTACGCGCAAGATCACTTATTACAATCGCCAGACCTGTCAATTCTGCATCCCTAATCCTTATTAGACGACCGATACGACAAGCGGGGCAGGGTCGTTTCGCTCGACGCCTCCTCATCCATCATCCATGTCAGTGTCATTGTGCCACCCGTGGCGCCATCAATCCCATACCTTGTGGGATCCCCATCATGGGGGAGACAAAAGGCCACCAAGTGCTCTTCTGTCTTCTGGGGTGGCATACTGTACTCTTAGTCTCTTATCACTGAGTATTGCATATGGACTCGACGCAACGGTTACCGAGGTGGACCGTGGACCGTGGAACTCGAGAGTCGGAGTCCGGAGCACTGCGATGGCGCGACGGTCCCAGTTCTCTCTCTTTGTTGCGCACAGCCACCTTGACCCTTCCAAGTTCAAGTTGGGGTGATGATGCTTCAAGAGTATAGAAAATGACTTCATACACTACGGCATCCCATCTGCACGGCTATGGCTGTGCAGTGCCTCAGTAGGGCAGGTCAACCGTGGTTCGTCCTTTACCGCCGGCTCTTTAGCCTGATAGGCTCGTGCCTGTGCCACACTCGACTGCACCAGAACCTGCAGAACGTTGCCGGCAGGTTGCCTCTGGGAATCCATCTTGCATGCGCTCGCAGGGGCCGCGGGCAGCTCTCGACAGCACGCCAAGCTACAAGGCAATCAGGCAGCGCGAGAGGCGGGCGAGGGGCTGGCGAGAGACAGGCGAGGTCAGGACGGCAAGGCGGCAGGGAGGATGCCCATGCTGCATTGCTGCCGTGCTCTACCGAGTCCACCTCACTGCAAGAATATATTCCTTCTATGGGCCTATCCTATATCCAGGCCATCCCCCGGCCATCCTCTTGTGCGGCACTTGCGGCGGGCACACTATCCCCTCCATGTCCCGGTCGATCTCAGGGCAGCAGTATATTATTATCCCCCCAGCTCCGTCTGAACTTTTCGCCCCCAATCTCCTGATGATTGATATCCATCTAGACCTCCGCAAGCAAGCATCCTCATCACGCTTCCCTTGCTACGCGCGCAAACACTTCACTTCAAAATTTCCCTCTTTATTTCCCAGCTTCTCTGTTGTCGCAGGCCACACAGCAATCCCTTGATACCCTCGAGAAGCGTGAACAGCTTCTAAGCATATCGCCTAATTCATATCAGTCCCCGAGTTGCCGATCTCTAACCATCTATCAACAACCATTAGCTTAGCCTTCTCTCTCAAAGGCATTGTTCTACCGAACCCTCTGCGCATACTAATAACCCACAAACGCTCCCGTCACCACCTGCCCGGCCATATTGAAGCTCAGGTCGGATCGCGTCGCCCTTTGCTTCTATACCAAGCTCCATTGTACAGCTACAACACTCAACCAGTTGCCGCTTGCGTTGTCATGAAGGCAGCGGCGCCTGCCCACGTCTTCTGTACAGACACAGCCTTGTGAACATGGTGGGAGAGAGCAGCATTGCGCTGGCTCCGGCCACGGTGGTGTCAAGCGGTGATGGCACGCAAAGGCCGAGGAGGGTCCGTACTAGCAAGCCAAAGGTCAAAACGGGATGCAACAATTGCAAGTATGTGCATCTCCTTCGTGCTCGATATACCTAGTCGTCGTTCTGCCCAACGTGCAGAGTGCTCACACAACACTCCAGACAGCGACGCATCAAATGCGACGAGCAGCGACCAGATTGCACTCAGTGTGTCCGATCCAAGAAGAGGTGCACCGGCTACCCTCCTCCTCCGCGGGCCAAGATCTTCGAGGAAATCAGGATCGCGCCCAAGCCAGGTGCAAGTATTGCTCCGGTGCCGCCTCGCAAAACGACAGTAGCGCCAGCACGACCGCGTGTCGCGCCCCAGATTGCTGCGGCGAAGCCGTCGCAGAAACGGTTAACACCACCGCAAACCCCGACTGAATGTGCTTTGACGCTTCATCGACCGTCCACACTGCCGTTCGATCAACAGGAGGCCCAGTATTTCCAGTTGTTCCGAGAGCACACGGCAAGTGAGCTGTCTGGCTTCTTCGATTCGTCCTTCTGGACTCGGCACGTATTGCAGGAATGTCATTCCGAGGAAGCCATCCGACATTCTGTCGTCGCATTGGGTGCGCTTTATAAAACGCTGGAGAAGATGTCAGAGTCTCCACCGGGATCGCCGTCGGACATGATGGATTTTTCAGACCACGCAAGTCGACATTGGGAATTCGCGTTCAGGCACTACTCACTGGCAATCAATGCCGTCGTGAACTCGGCCTCACAGGACCAAACCAACCAAAGGATGAGTCTGATGGCCTCCGTCCTGCTGGCTTGCTTCGACTCGTTCATTGGCCACCACAAACAGGCAATCGTGCAGATTCAGAGCGGTCTTAGACTTCTGGAAACGTTACGGGCTGAACGCCGCAGGGCTTTCCTTCCCCATCCCGAGGAGCCGGTGGAACAGGACCTTCTTCAGATGTTCACCCGCCTCGCAATCCAAGCCAAGTCTTACGACATGGCTTTCCATTTCCCGCAACCGTACGTCATCCGACTTACTCCTCAGGGCACCGAGAATCCAACCTCACCCTCAACCGACGGAGGGTCGCCAGTCTCTACATCACATGCCCAGATTCCAGACGCATTCTCAACCCTCTTCGATGCTAGGCTAGCTTGGGACAATCTCGTTGAACAGATAATGCGATTCACCGAGACAATGTTCACCCATGCTACGATGGGTCCCATGGGTGTCCTTCCAGTCGAGCTCAAACAGTACGGCATGAGCTTTGGTGAGCAGATTGAGGCTTGGTCGCGAGCTTTTGACCCCATACTGGCATCGCGCACGGCACCGGCGAAGAGCAGTCAGGAGAAGACGGCCATCGCGGCGCTCAAGATGTCGCAGATTATGAGTAAAATTCTTTTCTTCATGACATTCAGCGACAGCGAACTAGCCTTTGATCCGTTCTTGCCATCTTTCCGAGAAATCGTCAGCTTGGCCATGGAAGTGATTGGAGATGAAGAGCGACGTGCGGCCGCGAAGCGATGTCCCAACCCACACTTCTGCCAGCACCACTCGGCCCATCCCGACATTTTTGGCGGTCAATACACTGCGCGGCACATCAAGCCGAGCTTCAGTGCGGACCTTGGTATAGTCCCACCGCTCTTCGTTGTGGCCACAAAATGCCGCGATCCACTCACTCGCCGTCAAGCTATTCAGCTGTTACGAACCAGCTCACGAAGAGAAGGTATGTGGGACAGTGAGCTCACAGCTCGCATAGCCACGTGGATTGCGAACATCGAGGAGGAAGACGACGGCAGCGGAGACACTGGGCGTCCTCCATCGAGCTCGACCGAGGCAAGCAGGTTCTCTATGGGTAGTCCCAGTGCCAGGTCCACCGGCTCTCCCGTCTTTGGTGACGATGTTCCCCTCGGCCCTGGTGGCAATGCTCGATGGGACAGTCGAAATGAAAGTATGCCAGTATCACCACATGGAAGGGCCGGGACGAGAGGCATACCGGAGGAAAAGCGAGTAATGGTACGAGCCGTCGAGTTTGACCTTCGTCAACGCTGGGCCATTCTTCAGTGCGGCACGCGAGGTCTCATTCCCGGCACGCCGGATCTGAGGACTAGAGTTACCAGGATTACCTGGTAGCCCAGGGTTTTCAACTGCCCCCTCTTATCTACCCAACAAGTGGTGACAGTATACCGCTAGTTCGGTCGGTCTATACGTCCATCTGGTTACAACACCCCTGAGGGGATTCGCTTCGACCTGAAAATCTTGAACTACGGCAGGGCCACTTCCAACATGAGATGTTTATCTACGAGAAAAAGTATTTGATGTAGTGCAGAGGACGGTTTTACAAAATCTAATGTCTTTCGGAGATTCTGGGGTACTGCGCAAGCACAGTTGGTGCATTGAAGGGAGATACGAGACTTCCGCAAGAGGGCCACGAGCTACCCGTACACCCCGAGGATATCTACAGTACTCACTGATCTTATGGCTGTTGGAATATAGCTTGAGAAAACCCGGACGCTAGGCCGCTGTCACGAGAAGATCAGAGCTGGGTTTTTTTTTCAACTGTACGCACTGCAGGCCTTGCCAGGCCGGTCATTACGAGCACCTGATTGTTCCTGATTCATTGACGACTACCTCCTCTGAATGCCGCCACTAGTACGAGCGGGTGACAAGACTCTTGAGTATGTCACTATTCCAAGTAAGGTTGAATTCGTGCGTTGGTGTCCTGCAACTTAGTTACAGAAGTATGCAGTCAGTCGATGTATGTAACTGCTATGTCGAGCTGCCGTGATGGTGGTGTCAATAATACCTACATGTAGTCCGGCACACCGGCATCGACTTGCCTACACGGTACACCGGGACAGTGGACGGCGATAGTGCCCAAACCCCGGTCGGTTCAAGGGTCGGCCGGCAGGCATCGCGCCGCCGCGGGTGGAATGGTCACATCCCAGAAATAGCAACAGCTGAAGGCGCCCCAGCAGCGTGTACCTAACCTAGACGTCTCATCAACATCCAATTACAACAGTCACGACTGTCTCCAACGTGACTAAGCCAATGATATTCGCCAGCTAGTGTGTCGTTACTCTATTCAACCTTTATACAACACAGGACAAGCCCCGAAACCACCCTGCTGAGCTCCGTCGAGCGGCATCCCAGCTCCTGGTGCTTGGTCACGCGTTTACATATCACTTCTAGGCAAGACATACCTACGTAGTACGGACACCGATCTCAGCCTCATACCCGCCTATCCTTCAGGCGAGGCCAAGCGACACAATGTCGTCGTCTCCCGACCAGCAACAGCAACAGCAGCGCCGCAAAAGCGATGACGACGACAGCAGCCCGGCGCAGGGCCCCGGCCCCGGGAGTGAGCACTCCGCGTCAGCATCGGCACCGCAGCCCACCACCATCACCACCAAGCGCACGCGCGTCCTACTGTCGTGCGCGCCGTGCCGCGGGTCGAAGCTCAAGTGCGACCGCGCGACGCCGTGCACGCAGTGTCTGAAGAAGGGTAAGCCCGAAATCTGCGCGTACGCGCCGCGGCCCCAGAAGCACCAGCGCCGGCCGGCTGGGAGCATGCAGGCGCGGCTGCGGCGGCTGGAAGGGATGGTGAGGGAATTTATTGATCAGCCGGTGGATGGTGGTGGTGGTGGTCAGGGCAAGGGGGGAGGAGCTGGCGAGGAAGGGCTCGCGGGGAAGGACGGGAAGGAGGAGGTCGATGCGGGTGGTTCGGTCGTGAGGAGTGCCCCTGAGAGGGCGACGAATTATGTGGGCGGGACGCATTTTATGGCTATTCTGGAGGATGTGAGTTCATACCTGTTGCCCCTTTTCCTTCCCTTCTTTCGGTCTCTTTCTTCACTTCGTAACTATCTATGTCTTCTGTGTGTGAGCGGAATGGCGACGGCAACTAAACATGCGCCAGCTTGAGGATTTGAAGAACTACTTCGAGGATCCCGGAGAGGACGAGCAGGAGAGCATAGACGACCCCTATGAGAACACGCAAGGGCCGGCTGAGCTACTGCTGTTCTCGAAGGGCGTGCCGCGGAACAAGGACGAGATGCTGGCTCTGCTGCCGGAGAAGGCGGTCATGGATCGGCTGATGAACCGGTACTTCACCTCAAACAGTCCTTCACAACGTCAGTCTTCCCCCTTTCTTTACCATCCCAAACTGCCTAGGTATGTTTCTATATCTAGACGAGGGTGGGTGCTTACACTGAAGTTCTTAAGATATCATCCACATCCCGACGTTCACAAAGCAGTACAACGCATTCTTAAAAAACCCGCAGGACGCCGACCTACACTGGATCGCGATGCTCTTCATGGTTCTCGCGCTCGGCGTCTTCTTCTCGTCCTTCCACGCGCCACACGAATTACAGATGGACTCGCCCATCCCCGCGATGGACCGCTTCCGCCAGTACCGTGGCACGTGCGGGTGGGCGCTGGTCTGGGGCCGGTACTCGCAGCCCGGGCCGTTCACGCTGCAGGCGTTTTTGTTATATACCGAGGGGGAGTTCATCGCGAACCGCGTCTCGCAGATGAATTGTTATTTGCTGTCGGCCACCCTCATACGGCTGATGCTGAAGATGGGCCTCCATCGCGATCCGAGCAGGCTGCCGGGTATTAGTGCTTATGATGGCGAGATGAGGAGAAGAATGTGGAATTTGGCGGTCCAGATCGATTTGTTGGTTTCGTTCCACCTTGGTTTGCCGTGCATGATCCATGGCATCGAGAGCGATACGGCGCTGCCGCGTAATGTGATCGACTCGGACTTTGGCGAGGATAGCGTGGACCGTGAGTAATCTTTTTCTATTGGTTCTGAAGTACCCCTTTTGACACATTGGAGACAAGTCCTTATTGCCGCCTCGAAAGGTACTAGGTAATCACTGACGCAAAACTATCACAGTGCCACCCGCGCGGCCAGCTACCGACTACACGCCCGTCACCTACCCGATCAACAAAGCCGCCATAGCACGCGTCTTCGGGCTCGTAGCGCGCCTCGCGCACGCGCTGACCGTGCCGCCGTACGCCGAGGTCATGCGCCTCGACGCGCGCATGCGGGCCGTCTGGGACGGCGTGCCGGCCTTCATGCACATCAAGCCCATGGAGGAGTGCATAACCGAACCATCAATGTTAGTCATCCAGCGCTTCGGCCTCGCGAGCCTGTACCAGAAGAGCCGGTGCGTGCTGCATCGGCGCTACCTCGTCGATCCGGATCCCCGGCCTGAGCACGAGTACTCGCGGCGCCACTGTCTGGAGGCGGCGATTGCGCTGTTGGGGTATCAGTATACGATGTCCCAGGCGACTAAGCCTGGTGGCATGCTGGCCCAGAGCGGCTGGTTCATGGCGTCTTTGGCTCTAAACGATTTTTTGTTGGCAGACATGGTCGTCGCGCTGGTGATCCAGAACGACAGGTACACCGAGGGGTCCGGCTGGGTCACGCAGGGAGAGCCGCTGCCGACCAAGGAGGAGCTGCTTCGGATTCTCAGGCGGTCGTATGCGATTTGGCAGAATTGTAAGATTCCTTCTATCTTCTGATTGCCCCTTTTTGTCGTCACGTTTACCTTTACCCCTATTCCATTGAGTAATGGGTCACTGGCTCTACAATCCCCCTTGTTGAAACCTGCCTTTTGCCCCTATCTCATGGAGCAGTGGGTCACTGACTTGATATCGCAGTGGCGAACAGCACAATGCCAGAGGGCAGAAAGGCGGCCGATGTCGTGCGCACGATGCTCGGACGCATCCAGACGCAATTCGGTACTGGCAGCAGCGAAGAGTCCAACGGCTCGTCGGGGATGAACGGCAGCGGCGTCCCGTCAACAGCCACAAGCGGCACCGACCAGACGTCCTCCGAGATGGCCGGCCTGACCATCGACTCCAGCGCTGGTACTGCGTCGACGGAACCTAGCAGCCTCGACGGGCCTTCTATACAGGACCTTACGGACTTCGGCGGCATGGTCAGGGACCCGAATTTGATGGCCCTGGATGGGGGCGGCGGTATGCATGACCCGGCGAGCGCGGATCCTTGGGGGTTGTTGCAGATGCAGATGCAGAATGGTTACGACTGGGTAGGTCATGATACATTTTCTTGCTTTCACTTTGTTTGCATTTCTTTGCACGGGCCTGCTAATATCGTTGTGTTCTTATAGAGCCACTTCGACGCGATGACTCGGGGTCCCGTGGATGCTATCCAGCCTACGCCTACGCCGCAGGTGCCGCAGGACGGGTGGCTCGACCAGAAAACCATCAATGAGTTCTCCGAGTTCCTGGCTTCGAACGCTTGGAACCCGGCTCCTTCTGCCTAACACGTAATTGTTTCTTACATATGTGTTCGTGATGCCGGGAGACTTAGTGTTCGCGATGGGTATGGCATCTACTCTCAACTTATCTTTAACGCTCAAAGTTATACCCCAAAGCTCGTGTGGCTTCATTAGAGAACCATCTGGTGGCCACATCTGAAATCCTGCCATCCAGGTCGCGCGACGGTTGACGCCATCGTGAACCTTGATAATTCATTGTGAAAACAGATTGCGATTTCAGCTGGCAACAAGATAATCAATACTCCAAAGCTCGGTCAGCCACTGTGCTCCTCACCCCCCGGTTTGACGGAAGGGTCTACGAGAGGGATTGCAGTATAGCCCTAGGTGATGGTGACGACTGGCTCCTCGCCAAAGAGGTCACACTTCATTCACATGACACGAGTGTCGAGCTGGGCGACCCTCAGCATCAGCAGCTGTGTTGATTATCTGTAAGCTAACGCCTATCGGATATCTATGCCTATCAAGCTCTTCACTTAAAGTTGCATCCAAGATAGCACCCAAGCCCCTATCTCGGCCTCTTCAGTTCACAGGTCCTGTGATCTAACCTGTTCGAAGATGGTATGTGGAGTTGGGACCTGGGAGTCGCGGGGTACAGTCGGGGTAACCCCGCAATATTTCCTCATTGGTCCCCTCATTCAATGGTAAAATATTTTGACTTTCCGCAAGGTCAGATGGATATTCAGAAGCCAGCATCGTCGTCGAAATCCACGACTCGACAACAGCAACAGATAGAAAAAACGCATGACGGCCCGCGGAGATCCTCAAAGCCTTGGCAAACAAAGCCAAACGAATTTTCGTCTCGTTGACAAGTACAAGTCGGCCTGATGACGGCATCGCGGCTCCTCAGTCGCACCAGGGAGCGGCACCCCGGGTGGTTTTGTACGTAATAGCGAGCAGCCAGCGCTGCGCAATTACAAAACTCTGCCAGGCCGGGCCCTATTACTATAAAACGTGTGTTGGGCTGGTTGAAGGAAGCCGATGGTAGACGAGGGCCCTTGTTTTCGTCGACGTGTTTTCATCCAGTTTCTCTCGTCACAGTGCTTCACCGGTGTGCTGGCTGGCTGCTGAGTCCTCACCGGTGCTCACCGGTCTGGTCGGCGGTCTTTGGATCCTCGGCGGCTGTTGCTAGTCGCGTCCAAAAAGCACCCGTGGACGGGTCGGATCGATAGGTCACATGTGGAAAAGGGCAGATGCGTCAGCCATTCCATCTCTTCGGAAGTACTTGCCATATCTACAGTAGGCAAACTGTATTGTGTACTTGGTCGTGCATCGTTTTGTTGAATCGTACCGGTTTGAGTTGGCATGGATACATGCACGTCCATCCGTTGCTTTTATGCATGCGAGATGACCCGCCTGCCCGCCTGCCCGGTCCCCGTCAGGTACACAGTAGATCATCCAAAGCACAACCGGGGATAGTGCGCAGTGTCGAAACACAAATCACCAACCTCACTTTTGATGCAGCTTCGTAGGTAACACGGACGAATCCCGTGTTGTGACCGATGATGTTGCCTTTTCGATTGGTCATACCGAACATTGAAAGCTCTTCCTATGACATGTAAGTGATCCAGGTGCCTCCTCACCAGAATGCAATAACAAGTCATCACACACACAAGAACTCCACCATCTGCAGTCGTGCAACGTTGATGTGGCACGGGGTGACTTGTCGTCGGGTGTCCGTGACCACGTCCGCGACCTGGCCATGGGTTGATTGTTGATCGGCGCGACCGGGCGCGCTCCGACGGGGGGCACAGCAGCTCATGGAAGAGAATCCTTCCTCCAAAGGTGTTACCTACCGTAGGTATGCAACTGAAGGAATGGCCTCCGCAGGCTACCTGGTTGGCTGGTTTGGAGGATGGGCGCTATGATGAGCGTCTGGATGATGGAGACCGATATGTGATAGGACGACAACTCGGCCGAGCCACTGCACCCGTCTTCGTTCCTCTTACCTAATCCCAACCTTGGACCGAGTGTGTTGTTGACTTGTTACTCGACGAAAACTGAGAATTTTCTCGGGCTAGAGTTTAGGTTTTATTTGTAATGAGGAAGACGTGGTTCAAATATCTGTCACGCGGATGGATCAGATTGGTTTTTAATCCGGCCGTGCCCCAGGGCTAGCACGAATATGGTAAGTTAGGCGGCATCCAATGGCATCATTTGCGCTCCCGATGGCCAAACCTTCCTGCCTTCCGGCCACACTGCACACACCGCCGATCTCGTCCTCCCGCACACCGTCCTAAGGTATCATTCACCGACCAGATGCACATCATGCACTGCCTGACGTTGCCCGGCATGCTTTTCTTATTCGAGTTTATGTGCAGGTGCTCGGGCCACCGACGACATCAGTCCCCAATGATCCAAGAGCGATAAGGCGAAGTTGTTGACGAGACGGCAACCACCTGCCATCCCACCATTTGAAACGTCTCATGTCCTCACCGCTCTCCACTGCCGCCTCGCTGCCAACCTGGAAAGGTACACATGTATATCTCATCATCATCACCAGTCTCCTATTAGGTAATTTATTCCCTACGTGTACAATATTTGAGTTCTTGGCGTTGATGCCTCCAAAGGCGTCCACTTCATGACTACAATCCGCCTGCCGCCTGCCCAGTGGCAGAACACAAGCATAGTACATAGTGCCCGGCCGTCTGTCCGACACGGCCCGGTCAAGGTTGTAGGCTGTACCTTTATCAACATTTCATCTACCCGCCCGACTCTCATTATCTATCGACTATCATCTATCATCTATCACCTATCACCTATCAACGTCTATTATTAGGTGCTTTCTGTGCTGCCGCCTGCCTGCCTTTGACCAGCACCAGCCCTGCCCGGTCTCGCACCCCCCCCCCCCCCTTCACCCATATGTGATCTTCACCACGTACCACCCTGCGTTACCCTTATTGGACCATTCTCATCGCTTGCGCATCTGATCCCCAGATGTGCCCTATTCTCAGCCTTCCTTGCCTTGAACTTCCTGCTCCGGACTGTTGATACGGCAGAATAAGAAGCACAGAGGTCGCAGTCGGATCAAAGTGCCGGTCCGCCTCCTATCTACGGTACCTACCAAGCTACACGCACGAAGGGTATTGCTTCATCGTAAGTGACAACCTACACGTAGCATTTTCCCTACCTATCCTTCTCTTGTGTACAACTCGACCACGGTGTGCTCCTTCCCCCTTCCCCAGATTTCCCAGAAAGCTCGGTGGCCTATGGTCCGTCTCTGGGTCACACGCCCCCTTCTTTTGATCCTCTTCTACCAGCAGTATTCCTTCTCACCAGCCATTGGAACACCCTCATCATCACCCGGTCTGCTGGTCCGACGGGCGGCCCACCGACAAGTGCGCTTACATGTTGCCTAGACGAACGCTACTGTACTCCAGCTTATCAGAGACTACCTACTCGGCAGACTGATGATTGATCGCCAATAAGGACCCATGTAGACAAGCCTTATTACTATCGGAGCCCAGAAAGAGAGTTCCTCCTTTCCCATCTTGCCCTTGGACCCTGATGATCTCCTGACACTATTTCCTCGTGGGTCGAATCCAGCACTGCCAGACTGCCACTACTCCGTCTATCGATCCATCAGGGTCCTCCTCGGTCTGCCCGTTTGCCCGTTTGCCTACGTGCTCGTCCTCAGATCGGGTTATCGGGGAATTGCAGATTGGCCAAATTCCCATGTCCACAGATGTGCATTTCAGACATCGTTTTCCCAGCCTGCTCCAACAAGCTACAAGTTACAAGCCCAACAAGCCCACCCATCACTTGCCCTAGCCACGCGCCTGCCCGCGACCACAACGCATCCATCCGCCGGCAAAAATCACACCTAATCCTGCGTTACACTATCGTCACCCTTCTATAGGCTCGGGTCTTTGCTTTTTCGATCTTGAACCTTGAGTGCGACCCCAAGCTTGATCTTGGGCAGGAACGGACCTTTGCTTAGTCAAGGCGCAATCTGCCATCAAGTTAATTGGCCATCCCTTATTCCGTTCCTCCTTCCATACTACACGCCTACTTTGATGAGCTCACCATTTCTGCCTGTCTTTCCTCCTTCTCTCGTCACTATTTGACGCCACTCGAACCAATTCATCTATCTGGTCATCCAACCTCGCTCCCGGCCACTCGAAAAAGGCGATTTCTCCCTCCACGCCAACTAGTCCGATCCAGCTGGGAGACTGGGTCTGAATCATCATGTCTACCTCGAATCCCATCCCCATTCGGACTGACCTGGTCTTCCGGCCAGCACCGCACGAGAATGGCAACAATGCTTCTCCCAAGGCTGCAGGCATGTTTACAAGACATAAGCACACGCGATCCTCGTACTCGGACGGGTCGCCACTCACTGCCGTGTCGAGAAATAACTCGCTGAGCTTTCGTCCGCTGAAGCGGGCGATGCCGTCGCCAGATAAGACAATCGCTATAATCAATGCGGGTGGTCGCCAAGCCGCCTCTATGATCCGGATAGCTACCGCAGTCGGGTACAAGGTCCGCGCCCAACTCCGAAACCTGGAGGGTGTGATAGCGACTGAGGTTTCTACCAATCCCAACGTCACTGTTTTCGTTGGGGAGCTCTACCTGCGGAAAAAGGCCGATGACAATCGCGATGTTACCGTTAACGGACACCTGCCAGGAATACTGGTGAATCACGACCTGATCTCAAAGCTCTTCACCGGCGCGCAGCTGGCGTTCATCAACACCACATTTTATGGTAACGAGTTACAGATTGGCGAGGCCCTTGCAGATGCCGCGAAGAAGGTTGGCGTTCAACACTACGTCTACTCATCGATGCCCGATCATGCCAAATATAACCCGGACTGGCCGTCTTTACCGCTATGGGCTGCCAAACATGACGTGGAGGAGTACATCCGCAAGATTGGGCTGCCTGCTACTTTCGTCTACACGGGCATCTACAACAATAACTTTACGTCACTCAATTACCCGCTGTTCTGCATGGAGCTGATGCCCGACGGATCTTTTCAATGGCAAGCACCTTTCCATCAGGATGCCAAACTGCCCTGGTTAGATGCTGAGCATGATGTTGGACCAGCCATTCTCCAGCTATTCAAGGACGGACCAAAGAAATGGGACGGAAAACGTATAGCGTTGGCTTACGAGTGTCTGTCTCCAGTGGAAGTGTGCAGGGCGTTTGAGGAAGGGCTCGGCAGACCAGTGCGCTACAAGCGAGGACCCATCGCATTGAAAGTCAAGGTTCCGGAAGGCTATCGGGAACAGCTCGAGGCTTTGGAGAAGCTGTTTTCGCCAGACAACGACGATCCGAAGAAGCAGCCGCCCTACTTTGGAGACCAAGCACTTGAGAGCAGATGTCCCGACGATGCACTGGCGCTGTGGGAAGGTCCGAGAGGTCTCGAGGAGTATGCGCGCGAGATCTTTCCTCTGGAGGAAGAAGCCAATGGGATGACCTGGATGTTTGATGATGAGGAAGACGGACTTGCATTCGAGGATATTCATTCAGCACCGACGACCATACCCGAAGGAAACGAGGATGGAGAGCACGACGGAGATGATGACTCCGTCGACGAGGGTCTCGTGATGAGGGGATTGAAGAGAGACGAAGAAGCCTGGCTAGCTTGACTGGTTAACGCGCCCGACGTCACGATTCCTGTGCACACGCGCAGCTGTTCAGCAGCTTCAACGATGTTGAGCGGCCCGACGCACAATACCTACCGCGAACAGCGTATTACACGACCACTGGCGGTGTCTCATTCGGCATTCTTGATTCAGAATGCATGCATCTAGCGACTTCGTAACTCATCCATACCGGCGCCTGCGGCTTCACTTCATCTAATCCCACCCTCCGAGCAACCTATTCTACATTTCAGGTTCAATTTCGGAGAGGTGGTCAGTCGCTTTCCTTCTTACGGATGGTCATGGTTCGGCATATTGGCGCCTCCTGCATATAGTGAGCGCCTGGGGAAATGGTCTTGATTGGTTCGGCGTCTGGCATCTAAAAAGGGAAAAAGTTTACGGTCACGATCATAACGGATAACTATGATGGGCACGAGGGGCGGCCTCATTTGATTTGTACCCTCTCAGGGGAGATGGTGTCATAATTGCGCAACCGCGGCGGAACGAGAAAAGGAACGGATGATGGATGGAGGAAGAAAGGACGGATGGAGGCCTAATTGTGTTTTGCTTGCTACCAACCAACCTCCCTTCATCCGCCGTCTGGGGCTCTGGAGACATATGTGCCAATGGCTTGTTAGTTGCGTGTCCGCTCTGCAGACTAGAGATACACAATAAAGCTACAGTACATGTGCGTATCTGTACGATGCATGCCCTCGCGAGACTGGACAACTGAAGATATCATATCCCGTACTGCGCACTCTCAGTCTATGATATAGTAGAACTATTGAACCTATGAGTCCACAGTCGAAAATACGCAAGACGCGGCGGCCCTTCGCGACGCAAGAGATGAGAAGGCGATTTCACCGACGCAGTATGACGACGTCGAGCCGAGGAGCCATCTCTTTATTCATTGGTCCTTGCATGCCGTTTGGACCCCTTGCACCGTCCCCGCATGCTTGGGTGCAAAGCTCTTGGGTCGGATGGGTGGCTCAGATGTACTCAGTATTATTAGGGTCATCATGCTTCATCAATGTGTTTGTTGACATTACCAACTACATAGTAGTGAGCACCAAGTAAGGATCAATGATCCACGTGCCGTATCGCTTTTTCACATTCGAACGTACTGACGGCGATGGATATAGAAGCGGAGCGGATCGGTTCGGACCTGGTCGTCGGTTGGTTGAGTCGTCCTTCCCCACTTTCCCCCATCCCGGTTTTCTCTCTTCGCTCCATATGCCTTCTCCTGAGTCCTTTCGGTCGGTCCTTCCCCCTCTTACGAATCTGGATACGAGTACCTTGCTTCTGCTTGGCGTGCTGCTGACTGTGTGTTTGCCGGTTGCCAGTCTACTATAATAACGTAGAGACACTGCGAGGAAGTCGAAGATACCTCCCCTCTGCCATCGGTCTAGGATGGGATCTTGTTCCCGAGCAGGCGTTTTGCCATGGTCAGCAGGATACCTACTGGGATGGACGTACAATGACACGGAATTTCCCGTGGCTCTGAAAGGCACGAGTCACAGTCGACTGCGGCTCTGTGCTCGATAGGGGTTGTACCGTGTATCGTCTGGGCTTCGAGATAAATTAGATGAGTGTTTCCCAACCCTTGGTACCATTTGTTCATCAAGAGGCATTAGCATCGCACCACAAGCACAGGGACTGACTACAATATCTAATTTCTCAGAGGACTGACCCTATGGCCTGACTGTAGTTCGAAATATTAGATCACCAGGCCAGACAGATCAACGTCTTTGCAACTGGTCCAAGCTGTGCAAGTCCCGCGGCCGACACTGGGGGATTAAAGTGTTGTTTCAAGTCGAGTCAACCGATGTAAATGCAGCTTTGCTTCGAGCTATCTCACATAGGGCCATGAAAATCCCTATACCCCCTGATATGCGCTGGGCTCTTCCATGGCGTGGATTACGTGTTTGGCTGTCTAACGATACAGGGGAACCTGTTAAAACTGGAAGAAGAACGCACCATTCCTATTCATAGTTCGAATGCAGAGGTTCGGTGTGTATGTAGCAACTGTCACAATATATCAGTGTAAAGCTGTCCTCCCCACCAGCGTTTATCTCGGAAAGGGGTAGAAAGGAGTAAATAGGGGGCAATTATTCCTTGCATGCAATTGTCAAGACATTCATCCACATGTTCAGGAGCATCGGCTTGTAACTGTGATGCCTTCCACCCATGATCCATATAGTATGTACAAGAGTGAAGTGCTGTGGCAGGGTCTTCATCATGGCCTTCTTGGTCCTGCCGATGGCATCTGAGCTTTGGTAATCCCTTTCAACCCACAAACCCACAAGCCTTTTGCCTACACTGCCAGTGCGTGAAGATTCCACTGCTCTGTTGGTGGTCTCGCCCAACAGGATGCTTGCAGCTGGCAGGCACGCTAAGACTCAGTGAGCTGCTTCAACGCCTGAAGCACAACCACCCTCCTAAGTGCACGCGCCACCCATCTTTGGTCGCCAACAGTACTTATCTACGTGCAAGTGGTTTCGTGCCTCAGACGAAGGAGGATATCTTCTCACCAGCAATTGTGATTCTTCCGTTTTATTGGTGTTGCTTGGCCATCCCACGCCGACCAACACAGATCAACCTCTGCCTTCCTACCCTTCTGACACCACCTCGCGGACGACTGCGATACAGCACATCGCCGCCACCTATTCTTCATCACAATTCCTTACTATCCTCCAACCTCATGCTGGCATTGCATGACTGCACTTCCCCTATCTGACACTATTCTGCCACCAACGACCAAGATACACCAGTAGCCTCCGGCCACATGATCGTGTGACAGACAGCAAGACATCGGGACGGTATTCACCCTCGGGCTCCAGTCACGCAGTGTCTTACACTCACTTATCGACCGCACCAGGACCAATCATCCAGGTAAGCTTTTCTTTTCTTCCTCCAGCGACAATCCTCCCACACACAGGCCAAATCCACAGACCTACTCGATGCACCTAAACACCACGGCGAGGAGATATCGCGAAATCACTCACAAGTCCCTCTCTTGCACTTGCACCCCTTCCTGATGGACGAGGAGTGAACAACTGCACATGCACACTTCCATTTGGTCTTTTCCTCTCCCAGCACGTGTTCTTTCCCCTTGGACACGACTGCCTCTCTAGTTGGGAATCCCCTCCCACCAACCTGCTATCACTAAGCCGTGACCCCCTTCATGGTTCATACCTTACCAAGTTCGCTGGAGTACTTCCCAACCGCACCTTTACTAAACGCTATGGTCAATGCCGGGCCCTCTTCATGCTCTTGTCTCGGGCATTGAAAGTATTCCACCAGCACGTATATGACATTTGCCCTAGGCTCTCTACTGACCGAGTACCAGGCCAATTGGTAGACCACAACACTAGCCCCTATTGCTGTGATTAGGTTCTTGCCAACAGGGGAAGGATCACCAACTCTAACATTGGTTCCTGCTCTTCGGTCATCTTACCCTGGCAACACTTCACTGCCGCCATACCATCGGCCGGACGCAACGGATTCTACTCACATCCATTGCGCAACGTCTTACTGCCTATCTTATCTCATCCATCTATTGCCATCTTTGCCTTGATCAAGTTCAAGCTATCCTCGCGCACTTAATCTTAACTATCACTCTCACCAACTTCCTTCATAACACTTCTCGGTCTTGAAGACATCCGAACTACCTTTCATGTAAGTCATACCAAGTCCCGGGGAGTCGAGACGGGTCAAAGTCCATCTGACGCGCTATAGCATGCCTCCCAACAAGAGTATCACGAAGACCAAGAAGCCCGGCACGGCAGAGAGAAGTCTCGCCAAAGCCGTGGCCAGACACCATGAGGCCAGAGGACCGACTCCCGGGCAGCGCCGCATTATGAATGCAGAGGCCGACGCCCGTAGAGCGCGCATCCGCCGTGCCCAGAAGCTGGAGCTGGAGATCCACCCCAACGACGCCCAGCTCGTCCTCGCCATCACGCAGACGCGCAAGCGGTCCGCCAACCCAGCCTACGACGACCGCGCCAACAAGCGAGCCAAGATCGTCAACGCCGCGACGGGCGAGCGCAAGGAAGTCGCAGTCGCGCGCCCCTGGGAGCTGAACCGCGCGCTCGAGCAGCCGCCCGACCCCTTCGACCTGGGCATCGGCTTCTCGGCCCCCACGACGAACCCCATCACCGCGCTGGGCCTCATGGGCCGGGTTCCCGTCGAGATCCGCGACGAGATCCTCCGCCACCTCCTGGTGTCGCCGCGCGGCATCCGCGTGCTGCGCGGCTGGTCGCTCGTCTACCCCCGCAACAAGCCGCAGCTGCACCCCGCCGTCATGCACACGTGCCACGTGCTGCGCAACCAGGGCCTGCACATCCTGTACGGCGAGAACACGTTCGTCTACGACCTGCGCGACCCGCTGGACTCCAAGCCCGCGACGCACCAGGTCGTGGGCGGCGTGTTCGAGAAGTGTGTCGTGCCCATCAACCAGCACGGCCACCTGATCCGCCACATCAAGATCCGCGTCGAGGCGAACCGCCTGATCCCCCGCGACACGCGACGCAGCTTCGAGCTGGCGATCCGCAAGTTCCTGCCCGACGGGGGACTGGTCGCCGCCGCAAGCCTGCACACGCTGACGCTCGAGGTGCCCGCGCCGTGCATGCGCGACCTGCGCTGGACGAACTGGAGGAACGAGCCTTCCAGGGTGCCGATCCGCGAGTGGTTCGACAAGAGCTCGAGCGCGATGCAGGCCCTGCACGAGCTGCAGGTGCAGTGGATCCGCGTCGTGGCCACCGACCGCGACGACCGCGAGTGGGAGACCAGGATCGACCTGCGCTACACCGCCAAGCAGAAGAGCATGCAGCAGGACGCCGACCACAACGATTACTGGTCCTCCTCTGACGACGGCAAGGCCGAACAGGCCGTGCCCAACGCGAGCGACTTCCGCTGCATCAACCAGGCCTTCGTCGACAACGTCAAGAAGGCCCGAAACCACCTGCGATCGCTGCCCTGGCGCCTCGAGGGCCTGACTATCGATCCCCTCAAGGCCGTCGGTCAGCTGGGGCTGTGGAAGGAGATCGTCCGATCGCCTGAGGATGAGGAGGTCGACGCTGCGACGGAGCATATGTCGTTGCCGTCTAACTGGCGCGACACGCCCGGACCGCGACGTGCATCGCGAGCCTCACCGCGATCATCACCGCGCCGGGAGGTTCTGTCCTCGCCTCGCACTCGCACTCGGCGCTCCCAGCAACTTGAGATGACGGAGGACTGGCTGGAGAGCGTCGAACAGAGCCTGGAACAGGACGAGGAGGAGGAGGAGTCCTTGTTCGTGTCCTAGACGGTCGGGTTTCTCAGCTGCAGTCAGACGTCGGTTAGGGGGGAATGATGCATGCATGAGCGCATTGCAAGATTCTGCCATTGGGCATTTGTATAGTTCTCGCGCGTCACGCGTAGATTTCGTCATGCGAAGGTTTATCTCATTCGGTTATGCTAGGTAGTTAGTCTGCAGACAGACCGAGCCATGATCTGCTCGTTACCTACCTCGTGTGTGCTCTGGATTTATGGTGAATGTTGTGGTGCCGTGTGATCGACCCTATGAACAGAACCATGGGCGGCGACGGGAGTTTCAATGAAGACAGGGAATTGGCTGACGATGGCCAGAGTGCGCGTCCGTCACCATACAGCTCATCATCATCCCATCAAGCTCCAAGTCTTAGGCTGTAGGTCAGTCTCCCTGATCCGGAAGCTGTTTGGTCAGCAATGAGAAACAACATGGTGCAGAGAAGCCAGTTGAATTTGCCTCGAGCCTGCTAAAACACCCATGTCCATCCATGCTATGCAGTCACATAAACCACCACCATGCCATATCTATCACAAGACCTCATCAACCAGCGTTGATCTTCACTTTCGTGACGTCCAGAGTTTCCGAATCCACCAGCACTATCTCGCGCGTAGCCGCAAACGACGGGACGGCGATGAGCCGTACCACCTGGCCGTGCGGGCCCTTGATCACCTTGGTGCCGAACTCGGGCTGGCAGCCGACGAAGTAGAGGTGCGGACACGTCTGCATGACGAACGGGTCGTCGTCTTGGAAGGGATAGCTCCCTGGAGGAAAGAATGGGGTAAGTAAGGGGCTCGGATCGGAATAGGTGAGAACGGGTGGATGGGTGACTTACATAGTGTATCAGGTGCCGTGGGTGCGGAGCACCGCCACCTGCACATAAGTTCCATCATGCCCAGGCGATCATCGCTGCCAATGTACTTGAAGATATCATCCACGTTCTGACCACCCGTCCCCAGCACCCTCCACCCGTCAAGCTCCGCCTCCCACGGATTCGTGACTGTATCAAACCAGCCGGCCTCCGAAGAGCTCGGCTGTGCCGTGTAGGCTCTTGAGTTCGGGAACATGGCCGGATGTATCGGCTGCTGCGGATAACTCGTATTCGCCGGGTCCTGCGCGCCGGGCAGTAACGTGATGGGCATCGTAGGCAGGAGCGTAGAGAGGAACTCGTCGAGAAGCTGGGATGGAAGGGCGTTATACGCGCTGCTGTCGTAGCCGTATTTCTTGTGGATGGCTTTCTTGTCGCCTGGTTGCTCGTCTGCTGGTCTGCGCTCCTCGAGGGAGATGGAGTTTCCGGCGAGGATCAGGCGGCTGATCTGGGAGAGTTCTTGTTGTGCTGAGGGGTCGAGGGCTTCGCCCAGGAGGTACTCCAGAAGTAGGTTGAGTTCGATGGCGTGGGAAGCGTCGTTACCGGAGAACCCTAGTCCGGATACTATGGCTATCTTGCCTCCGCTGCCCTTTGATTGGGAGTCGGTCATCTCCTCATCCTCATCTCTTGACTTCGACTTCTTGGTTTTGCTCGCGCCGTTTGTTGCTGGAGGTTTGGAGACAGACCATCGATCTGCTTGCGGAGGTAGATCGGGAAATTTCACATCGATCACCTCCAACTCGCCGTTGACGTTCTCGCTGCCCATAACGGCGATGATGCATCCAGTGACGAGCACGACGTCCCTGAGAACATCGCCTACCAGTCGTATTCGACCCGACTCATCCTCGAGGGTCACGGCATCTGAGCCATCCTCCGAATAGTACTTGTTATTCGATATGGGCGCTGAGATCCATCGCTGGAGAGTATTAGCCCGCATCCTCCTTGGTGGCTTAGGAGTTGCCCGTCACGTACGTCCTTAGAGACGTCCTCAAGAATATTGGGCTTCAGGGACATTTCCATATAGACAGTGCCCGAAACCCAACACAATTCACCCTGCCGAATGTCCAAGACCCGCTCGACCTGCTTAGCTGGCTCGCCTCCAACGATGGTGTCCTGCCAAGCTTCAAAGGCTATCAGATCAACAGCGGGTTTGATCTTGGTGAGCCGCAGGAAGTACATGTCCGCAAACTGCTGCTGATAGGACTTCTCCTTGTCCAGTTTGAAGGATTGCAGCGGCTTGTAGCTGGACCCGGCCCTTTCCAACTCATCCTCCGGCTTGCCCCTGGGAAGCTGTCAGTTCGAATACTCCCAGTCAACAGACGGGTGTGGGTGGTGCCACTCACGTAGGCTTCCGGAGCATGTTCCCCTGTACGTCATCGAGGGAAGACATGGTGAAGTTTTCGGGGTTCTTCAAGCTTCAATTGTCGGAATGGAAACGAGCTTTGCATGCTGGATGAAGACGATGCAATACGCGTCTAATGTGAAGACGCGCTTTTGGCGTTAATTGATTGTGGCGCTAGCCAGGTGTGGCTCAATCTCAGCTGCTAATTCAGCAAGCAGGCTGATTGGCTAGATCTCCGGGACCCCGGTATCGCGGGGTAAGGCTGACGAGGCTGTCGCATTCTCGATTTTTTTTCTACCCTTGAGGGAAATATACCAAGAAAAGGTCATATCTCAGTACTTTTTTGATGACCAAAATTTGGAAGTGATTCATTCTGCCGCAGCACTGATTCCTCCAGTTCTATTCATCCGAATCACTATAGTTGCACTCGAGTCCCATATTACTTCCGCAATTGCAGTGTCCGGGGCTACTGCAGCAGCCGTTCGAGATGGACACCCCAATGGGACAGCCTGGCATGGCTGAAGCCCAGCAAATACGAGTCAACTTCACCACATCGTCGCCAGATATCCAATTACCAGAAGGCAAAAGCCAACTTCTCGTCCCCTCAGGTAAGCAAGCATGCATACTTCCCTACCAATCCCCAATCCCCCAAAGCCGAACCATCTAACCAACACCCCCCAGATATCAAGCGTTATGGCCTCTCCCGCGTCCTCAACTCCGAGTCGATGCTCGACACGCCGTCGCCGATCCCCTTCGACTTCCTGATCAACGGCACGTTCCTGCGGACGACGCTGGACGAGTACCTCAAGGCCAACGGGCTGTCCTTCGAGACCACCGTCACCCTGCAGTACGTGCGCAGCCTGATCCCGCCCGTCTACCAGGCCAGCTTCGAGCACGACGACTGGATCAGCGACATCGACGTGCTCTCCGCGACGTCGCGCGCGGGCCTGTGGTCCGGCGACAAGCTCGCCACGGGCCAGGACCGCATCCTTTCGGCGTCGTACGACGGCCTGCTGCGCGTGTGGAACAGCTCTGGCAACGTGCTGGCCACCTCGCCGGCCGGCAGCCACAGCGCCAGCGTCAAGACGGCCAAGTTCCTGTCCTCGTCGCAGGTCGCGTCCGCGGGCCTCGACCGCACGGTGCGGGTCTGGAAGTACACCGAGTCCGAGGACCGCCTTTCGGCCGCCCTGAAGCCCACTCTCGAACTGTACGGCCACAAGGCCAGCGTCGACGCCATCGACGTCCACGGGCCGACGGGGCGCATCCTGTCCGCCTCGGCCGACGGCTGCATCGGGCTGTGGACGACCTCCAAGTCCAACGCGCCCGCCGCGCCTCCGTCCCTCCTCCCCGGCGCCGGCGCCAGCGCCTCCAAGAAGCGCAAGATCGCCTCGGCCACGACACCCACGTCGCAGCGCGGCGCCCTGTCCCTCATGCCCGTGCACGGCACCTCCCCCGCCACAGCCGTCTGCTTCGACCCCCACGACAGCACGGTCGCCTACTCGGCGTCGCAGGACCACACCGTGCGCACGCTGGACCTGACGACCGCGCGTGTCGAGCACGCCATCAACACGCTGCACCCGCTCCTCGCGCTCACCACCCTCCCGTCGGCCGCCTCGTCGGGCGGCTCCTCGGTGCTGCTCGCGGCCGGCACGGCGGCGCGGCACATCACGCTCATCGACCCGCGCGTCTCGGCCGCCACGACGTCGGTCATGACGCTGCGCGGCCACCGCAACATGGTGACGTGCCTCGCCCCCTCTCCGGACAGCGCGCACGCGCTCGTTTCGGGTTCCGCCGACGGCACCTGTCGCATCTGGGACCTGCGGTCCGTGCGCGCCGGCACCAAAGCCGAGGGCGGCGGCGGCGTCTGCGAGAGCGTTTATGTTGTTGAACGCGAGAGCCAGAAGGCTGCGGGAGTAAGAAAGGAGAAGAGCGACGTACCCGGTCGCGGCGCCAAGGTCTTTGGCGTTGCTTGGGATCGCACTTGGGGCATTGTTAGTGGAGGTGAGGATCGCATGGTGCAGGTTAATCGCGGGAGGGATCTGTTGGCTGCTACGTAGGTAGTGGGTGAATGGTGGTGATATGGGTAGGAGTAGGAGGGTGTTGTGATGGGAATGTCGATGGATGTGGAGGGGGACTGGTGGTGGTGTAGAACTCATATACCCGGATATGCTCTGCAATGCGAAATAATAGAGAACTGAAGGCAAACAGCAAGACGCCTGTGGACCGCTACTATCATCGTCTATGAAGAGGTGTGATCATTGCGAACGAGCTATGTCTTTTCATGTTGACCCAGACAGGCGAGTCGAGTGATTCAAACATCTAGACGTATGAATAAAAGAAAGGAGAGCAGGCAAGGCCGGACGACGTCGCTGGCGCCTATTCATTGCAGGATATTGGCTACAGATGCACATAGAATATATATATACTCCTATACGTACTTATGTATACTGGGTAGGCAGACAGTGTACGTACGGAACCAGCCCTCCAACCCGGTGACGTTCTTACGGCCAGCAGGCGTTCTTCCTAGTTCTCCATCTCCCTCTCCAGAAGGGGCGTACCGAACAGCCGGCCAAAGGCCACCGCAGCGCAGCCAGCCGCTCCCGGTTCTCGTAACAGATGCCCGTACTCTTGGGCTGACTATCGTCCTCGAATCCCGGGCGCATGACGTTACGGCCTCCGAGTCGTCGACAGATCCATTTCCTCATCACCATCTACATACGTCCTCTTCCGTCATCCTCGGCATCGTCGAGGTTCTCTCCATCTTCTCCATCATCCCCGACCCATTCTGCCTCATCCCCGTCCCTCAACTATAACTACACCTGACCACCAGCAACGCCAACCACGCCAGCCACCCCCGGCCACCTCGACCGAAGCGCGCTCAACTGCATCCTCGCCACGACCTCCTCGCGCAAGCGATCGCGATCGACACCCAGCAGCAATGAGCGCTCGAATTGCACGACCGTCAAGATGTAGCTGGCAATGGTCGCCGTCTTGAGGGGCGGGTTCCGCAGCAGACGCCCGACGGCCTCGGGGGTCAACCCGTAACAGTGCCACAGGTAGTAGGCCCGGAGCTGCGAGAAGACGGCGCGCGACTTCGGGTGTGCGGCCCGGTAGGTGGCCGCGCGGTCCTCGGCTGCTTCGACGCGGGAGTCTTTGGGGGCTGCTGGAGTAGCGGGGGCGGCCGGGGAGGCGGCGGCAGTGGTCTTTTTGGCTGCCTTTGTGTTGTCTGGGGTTGTTATCGTGGTTGCCGCCTTGACCAGGTCCTCGATCTGGATGCTTTCCAATACGGAGGCGACGTATTTACCAGACGGCGCGGGCACTGCTTCCGTCTTGGCCGTGTCTTCCACGGTCTCGACGGCATCGTCGACCGTGGCTAGCTCGATACCTTCTGCCTGCCGGATTGGCAGGTTTCGCTCCGCGTGGTGCACGGGTGGCGGGCAAGGAACCAATTGCTTCCTGTGGTGCTCGAGGGTCGCATAGAGATGCAACCCAGCATAGGCATCCGAAGCGGAGTCTTAAGGATGTAAGCTTCACGTGGCAAAGACAGCATACCAAGGTGTTGGCTGGGTGACTTACAGATAACCTGGTCCATATTCAGGGGCCTTGACCAGTCGCTAGACCGGACATCGGTCCCCTTGAATAGGGGCAGGTGAAGATACTGCTCGACCTGGAGTGCCAGCGGCGCCAGTCGCTTGTTGATGTTCTGATACTGGCCCTGCGAAGAGAAGGTGACGAGCTTGTACATGTGACTCAGCTCCATCAGGCCGCGAGAGTGAATATCCAGGAAGTTTCGCACCCTAGTACAGTCGCCCTTGATGGCGACGCCTACCTTCGTGATGCCCGGATCTTCCATGATAGCCCGGAACGACGGCCCAACCATCTCCTCCTCGTCCTTGAAGAGAGCGACATGGAACAGCCCGATACGGCTGGGGCTCGCCAGCTGGATCAGCGAGATGTTCTTCTTTAAGCCCTGAGTTTTCATGGCGTCCGGCACCCATTCGAGATCAAATCCGAGGACCTCCTCATCTATGAAGTATTGCTGACACACTCTTTCCATAGTGTGCTTGCTGCGACAGTAGTGCACCTTGACCTTCTGCTCGGTCCCATCGTCCGCTTTCCCTCGGTATTGAGTGTAAGACCAAAAGGACTCGGAAGACCCAGCGGGGGCCTTCTTCGCGGCATAGAACAAGTCATCTACGATCTTGAAGTCCAACGCTGGGAACGGCGGGTCATCGGTCGCCTTCTTTGGCGGCGGCTCCCTGCTCTCTTCCGAGGCTGGTGTAGCTGCATCCTGACCCGCAGGCTTGGGAGGCGCGTTTGAGCCAGCCCTTATGAAAGCCGGCATCGCATCCTCTACAAGCATAGACGGTTGCGACCGCAACTGCGCCTCGATGTCTGACATCGGCGCGGCGTCTGAGCTATGCTTTGGCGCGGCAAAAACATACCGTTCTGTAGCAGCAGCAGCAGCAGGGCTTCCATCCGGGCCGCGCGCATCATGCGCAGAAGGAGTGGGGGATCGCGGGCCAGGTGAGAACGATATTCCCCGAGTAGGATGCCATAGCTGATGTTTCGAAGGCGTAGCAGTCATTCTGGGTATCGGGGGTAGTATATACGCGCTACAGCATTTAATCCCCGTCAGCATTGAGCACGATAGCTTTGTATGAAGTAGTATACAGCTCAAGTAACTCAGGGAGAACGAACCGCGAAAAAAACCATCTACGCAGAGCATAGGAAGAGAAACAAGACGAGGACGAATGTCGTAGAGCATTGGAGGCGGCCAACTCTGAGCTCCCGAGGAAGTTCATTGGGGGTATGCGCGTGGTGTGTCGGACTCACAGCTCCGCTCCATGGTGGTGGCCACGGAACCAGAGCGTGTGTGAGCAAGTGAATGGGCAGCGAGCGAGTGGTGTGTGTGTGTGTGTGGGTGGGTGAATGGGCGAGCAGGCAGACGCGTGCTGCTTCTGCTCTGCTGTTGCTGGTCGAGGCGAGGAATGGTCGTCGATTGGCTGCCGGGACTCGAGCGAGCGATTGCGATTTCGCGTGGCTTTGCGGGCGCATGTAAACTGGCGGCTTAGTCATCTCACTAAAACACGTCCGTCGCTCGGCATCAGGTGACCTGTCTTTTGAGTTGACCCAAACAGCCAAGCCACAATCACCACCGCCTAGAGGTACATGTATCGGACAGCCAGCCAGCCAGCCATACAGGAGAGACATCTTTTCATGACCGACCATACGAGGCTGGCCAAGTAGGGGAAACGAAAATCTCCCACTCAACCCTCAATCTCCATCACATCAACCCACCACGCCAAGATGGCGTCCCAACTCCTACCTCTAGGTAAGTGCAATAAATGCCCACCCAAGCACCTACCTACCGTTCGTGCCACAACCAGCCATCCTAACAAAAAGCCACAGAACTCATCGACAAGTGTGTCGGCTCAAGAATATGGGTCGTCATGAAGGGCGACAAGGGTATGCAACTCCCTGTCCCAAAAGACCGCACTACACTCAATTAGCTGTTTCCCGGTAAACCCACTATGTCAGACTGACAATCCGTCGACTCATAGAATTCAGCGGAACCCTGCTGGGCTTCGACGACTACGTCAGTAAGTAAACTCCAGTCGAGGCTTATCCAGCCGTTGTGATGTGCGGCCGATGCTAATCAGGTTGCAGACATGGTACTCGAAGATGTGACGGAATTGTATGCGCCCCTTGAGAGATGGCAAAATCCCCGCCCCCCCCCCCCCCCCCAGATGAGCGTGGAAGCTGACGGGATGCAGTGACTACTCGGGAAATCACACGAAGCTCTCCAAGATTCTGCTGAACGGCAACAATATCTGCATGGTGTGTATCCTAATTCTTTTGTCTCTTGTGGGTGGCCTACTAACTTGATACCCTGCAGTTAATACCAGGTGGAGAAGGGCCCGTGTCTACGTGATGATCTACGGCTTGTTTGTGTTTCACTGTCACGGAAGGCTTTCACAGGGATGGCGCGAGGGCGGAAGGTGTGGCTCTTAAGGCCATATGCTAGAAGGAACTCACTCCCCTGAGATTATGATGATCTGAAGGACGAGAATGGGGCAATGATTCTTGCGATTATCACCTAACTGGTCTGATATACTCGCAAAAGTGGTAGCAAAGCCCCCTACAGAGCGCAGCTGCACCCTGAAATCAAATTCTGGCTATCCATCCTCGGCCATGATCAGTACCTGAACGCCGTCCGTGACCATGCCTATCCGATCGCCTGCCGTGAGAAATCATGCGCCGAATCAGAAAGCAGTCTATCTGCCACCGTTTTCCTGCTCTCCAGCGGCCACCATGCGACGAAGTTCGTATTCTCGAGTGAACTCCCGGCCCAGCTGTCCGTACGACGCAATCAGCTGCTTGCAAACATCGATCAAGATCTCGCGAGGGCTGATGGTACCATCCGTCTGCAGGCGGATGAGGACTTCCGGGACGTTCGGATGACCGACTGTGCGTTGTTAGATTTGCAGTATCCGATGCGAGGGGTCCCTGACCGAGGTAGAGAAGGGGTATTACCTTTGTAGCCAGCCATCAGGACGCGCGGTTCCTGCTTGAGGTGCTCGGCAAGGAGGTTCCCGAGGGTGTGGTCCTCCTTCAGCAGGATGAAGTCCGACGTGTTCGAGGTACCTGATGATCCATCAGCTTCAATTTGCACAGAGGGCGCCTATTGGGAGGAAAGAATTCCTCACCCGCGAACGGCTTCTCGGTGATCTTCTTCTCGCCATCGCCCTCGTTGACGAGGAAAAGCTCGAATCTAGGAAAGAGTCAGCCTGCATCCGTGCATCGAAATGAGAAGGAGATCGAACGGGTCATCCGGCTCGTTGAAGTGTTTATTGTTGCTCATCTTGGCAAGAAGGCTTGACTCGTTCTTGTGGGAGTTTGGCTAGGGTATTTGCGGTGCTGGTGGTGCTGAGGCCGGCAGGTGCGGAAGAACAGTGATGGATGCGTGTTGGGAAGGAGGTGGAGGTGGGAGGCAAGACGGGGTGGGCAGAAGCATCCATGGACCAGGCTGAGGCAGGTGCCTCGAGCCTCCATGAGGTTGCCACGGCAGGCCCAACCTTGAGGAGCTTGTTCGGCCTCCCAGACGGCGATGCTTAGCTCCGTCGGCGAGGACAGCCACCTCAGTCTCCAAGCACACCAAATTCCAATGCCCACCTCAACGCTTGACCATGCCAGCTGTCGATGTCGAAGCACTCCATTTCTTCAACACCTTGTGAAGGACCAAAAGACCCAAGACTGAAGCAGACGCAGATGATAGAAAATATAAAATAGAGAAGGGGATCGAAAGGGGATCACCGACCGATCTGGTGCGTTCATCCTGCCTGCCCAGCTATCGAGCTATCCAGCCACGTTACACGTATTCGACACGCGACAAGGCCTCTGCTCCAGACGCCCAGGGGTGGTTCACGAAGCCACTGGTGGGTTCGAGTCTTCGAGATAATACTGTTGGAAAACAGCCAAAAATGGGAGCCAAGTGGTGCGATGTTGAACAGCAAGTTGGTTACTTCATGAAGAAAGGATATTCCGGAAGCGACAAAGAAGAAGGCGGCTTGGAATGGTGATTGAATACGTCGTGTGCAAGGCAGAGAGAGTGAATGGTTGATCAAGCCCTTGTCAGAGTAAATGCTGGAATTCACGGCTAAACATCGGTAGACCGATGGCGGGGACAGTGTTTCTCGCACGGTACACTTACCGTGACTCACTAGGCAATCAGAAGCTCCCAAGGTCCAAGGAGCCTTCATGTTCGATGCTCGAAGAACTTGTGACCACATGTGTACAATACAAGAGGTGGCTCAAGGAGGACTGAATGCAATGTCTATTATCAAGGGAAGTCAGGTTTTGAAGTCTATATTCGACCTGGCTGGGCTCCGTTCTATAAGAAGCTGTACCAGTATGTCCGCTCTGGACAACGGTGTAAATGCCGGTGTAAACGCCCAAAACTCTATCTATGCGAAGGCCGCTATGCAAGTATTATACAATTTGAAACGACTTCGTGCTATCCAATCAGTTGAACCAGGTTGATCAGAGATTGTCGGTATCGCAGTACTTTGGAAGACTTGGACCTGAAGGACCACTGGCCCAGCTGATCACGGTCAAGCTGGTGGTATATGCCATGGCGATGAAACCAAATATGCAAAGACAAATATCGGAGATCTTTCGCGTTCGGGTTTTCGCTACACCTTTGTAGTGGAGCAACGGCTGCCAAAGAGTCAGTACGGTGTCTTTTCTCGACGAATAGGGGTGACTTACCGGGTAGATGAATACCAGGGGAATGCAGGCGAAGTTTCCGACCAGCGCAACAAACTTGTCCAGGTCGTCGGCGCCTGCCCATGCAATCAAGGCGCAAAGGAAGACGACGAAGAACCGGAACATGTTCTTCTGCCACTTGATGTACGGGTTGTATTTCCCACTCCGTGTGAAGAGTGCATTCTCCGTGATTCTGATGGCGGGGAAGATTTGCAAGGGGGTTGAGAGAAGGATGGCAAGTGAGTACAGGAACTGGACGCCATTGACGAATTTGCTATCCTGGGGCAAGTTGAGAAGGACAACGGTTTCCGTCTTCGATCCGTACGCAGCGTAAGATACCGCACCCATGGTGATGAAGAGAACCGATATGATGATCATGACGAAAAACATGACCTTGGGGAATTTGGACGGCTGCTTCATCGACTCCTGAATAGGGATGATGAGGCCGATACCCTCGAACGTGAAGATAGCTGTCCCGATGAAAAGCGTCCAGTCTTTCTGGTTGAACAGGATAATGTCTGCGAGCCCGTTGGCGTTGAGGGTGAGGACATCGTAGTAGAACAGGTAGGCTAGGCCAATGACAATGAATGCGTCTGCGATCAGCGCCGTGAAGCCAAGCTTGCCTATATCTCGGAAGAGAGAGAACGGTAGGAAGATGACCATCTGCAGCAGAATCAACCAGGCAACCTTGATGTACGTGTTGCAGTTAGAGACGGCGAGAATGAAGGCTTGCAGGTTTTCCGAGGTGAAGACGATGTATGCAGCGACGAAACCAATCTGACTGACGACGATGGAGGTCAAGATGAGCTTCCTCATCCACTCGCCGTATAGGATCCCGCCAATGTCGCCAAAAGACCCCTCGACCTTTAATCGCGTAGTTACAAGTAGCACAAAGCAATAGTAGCTGAGCGCAGCAACAAACACAAGGATCAGGTTGCTGAAGACCATGCCGCCATTGAGGTACGCCCGAGGGAGGAACAGCACTCCGGTACCCACGAACGATTTGAGAAGGAGTAACGCTGCGTTGAAAGGAGTATTCTTGCCGCTGCCGCCACGAGTCTTCCGTCTTCTCCTCCGTTTCGAGGGTGTCAATAAGGCGCTGTCTTCCATCGGCTCTCTGGAATCGACGCTGTCGTAGTCTGACTCTTCTCCAGAGGAGAAGTATTCGCCGGGCCCCAGAGCTTCATCGTCTTCCTCGAGCTCTTCACCTGCAAAATGTCCGTAGATAGACAAGAACTCCAAGAAGCTGTTGGTGAACAACTGGGGTTCATATCTCCTTCTACTGCCGCCTTGTCCCTCCTCTAGCTCCTGCGGGTTCGTTGAAGGGCTCTCCGCGGCTCTCCTGATATAGTTTCTTCTGAAGCCGCCGGGAACCTTGATCGTGTTGATGTCGAGGGTATCGGTCTCAGGCTCGTCGCGGGCGTGACTGAAGCTCTTACTGCGCTGCGTGCCGCGGCGGCCCTCTGACCCTTCTGTCCATCGGTATATGTTCCGCGTCATATCTCCGCCTTGCAGCCTGAGACTGGAGAACTCGTCGCCATCTTGCGGTGGCTGCGAGGACTCGCTCACTTGTTTGCCTTTCATCTTATCGCCGTTGCTTGTCCCTGTGGTGGACTCGGGCGTATCCGACGGTTGAACCAGATGCCGCTTGACAATTTCGGGGTCTTCGTAAGCTCCTGTACCACCACCCTGTAAGAACCTCGACCTCGCCTCGAACGAGCCATAGTTTGTTGGCGCTGTTGTTGATGGATGAAGTGACCCCGTTGCTGCTGGCGAAAGGGGCCGCGCCGGAGGAGTCCCGAACCGTGGCGGCGAGGCTCCAGTGGACAGAGCTGCAGCAAGAGCAGATACGCCTGGACCGGCCGGGCTCTGGCCCGCACCCGCCAGAGGCCCATAGTTGTCTAAACTTCCCGCATCGGTTCGACTCGGCGACGATGACCTATTAGGTGACGTCCCGAAGGCATGCGACGGAATTGGCGAAGCCAATCGAGCAGTCGCATCGGCACGGGGAACCGATGTTCCATAGTTCCGACTTCGAAAGGAAGCGGGGGGTGACGATATCGGGACTCCTTGAGGATCTCCAGCTTGCGGTGCTGTGCTGTTTTCCCGATCTGCCATTGCGCCGCGTAAATCGAGGTTATCTGCGGCTTAACGCTTCAGGGGTTTCGAATGAGTCTGGCCAGCTGAAGAGACTCAAACCAAAGGCTGCGCGAGACGTTGGAGAGGTTCAGAAGCCGTTTGCGAGCTAATGGTAGTCAGTACCAGTAGAGACAGGCGCGTAGATTGGGCGAGAGATAAAGAGTGACAGGACAAGAACAGACAAAGATAAGAGAAGACAACGCGACAGGGACAGGAACAGACACACCAGCAGCAGAGGCACTTCAGGCTACAAATAGGCAGCAAGAGGTCGGGATCAAAGTATCGACACTTGACCAGCTGTGCAAAGTCCTCGTGACAGAAGTAGTGGGCAGTATCAACACGGGACACCAGGCCCAGACGAAGTGTGCTGGGCCGAGTCAGGCAGCTGACCCATGGCTCCATGCGGTCGCAAGGCCCGATTATTGATTATCGTGAGTTCGTGTGAGTGCACTGTGTTTCACCTGTCGCAGCCCCTAAGGTGGGGATCCAAGAAGGGATAAATACAGTATTAATAACAGGAAATGCACGGTTCTCTGTTTATCTATGTAGGTACAGGTTTCTTATCTTCAATGCAGGCAGTGTCTGTGTGAAGCCGTTCATTACAACCTTTTATATACTCCAGACCCAGGGACAAAAGCGGTGTCTTCAGACAAGCACAAGTACCTGCTTTCCAAGTAAAGCCACATAGGTATTGCATCCAACCACTTCCTGCTCTCCAGCAGCATAGTCAGATGCATGTGCGTCCAAGAGAACGTGGTTATTTGATCTTCTACACCTTTCAACACCACGTCCCGGCACATTGACGGTTGTCACCATGGACGTACCTACGAACACGACATTGCCAAGAGAGGATACATACATGTGGTATGACCTGTCTACATACCTGCGCCAACTGCAGCTGCCCATTCAAGGAATCGCGAGAGACAACTTCGCAAAACACAAGATCTGTGTAGGTTCCACTGCAGAACATCAGACCATCAGCCGAATCATGACTGCCTCATTCTGGATCCAAGGTCGAGCTTCATTGGACAGCCGTTCGGCAAGCTTGGAGCCAGGAGCGATCAACATTCGTGACAACCTGACAAGTTATTACAACCTCGAGGTTCGCGTGGGGAAGGGGCGCTAATTCTTGGTTCCCTTCAGGATTTCCCGTCCCTGCAGCATCTTCGTGTCCACCTGTCGTTGTAGTATGAGTAAGGTAGGTACTTTGCCAAGTACTATCATGTAAGGTAGGCAGCTGCTGCTATACCTACCAGTCTGTGACATCAGTTCCACCGTCCCATCTACCTGCATGTGTACATTCCAGATAGCTTCACGCGGGGTTCGTGGAGGGCCTGGGGGAGACCCGCTCACCTGGCCTTTGTTTGGTACGTTTTGTCGTTTCGGATCGAGTCGAGGTCCTGGCTTCTTCACAACACTGCCTGGCTATCTGGCTATTTCAGGTCGGAGGATCAGTGTGACGTCTCCCTGCCCGCAGATCCAAGGCGAACGAGTATGAGTTAAAGTCAACCCCTGCCAACGCCCAACTCAATGTTCTACAAAGAATCTCTATCCGAGAGGGACCTATCATAACAAACTTACAGCATGGCTCCAGAGTCCAGAGGCGGCAAGATGGAAGCCCGACCAGCACCACCAAGCAAGAAAGCGAAGCTGGGCGTCGTGTCTGGCGTCTTCATTCCTAGCGTCCTGAACATCGTCTCCATTCTCATGTTCCTTCGCTTCGGCTCTATACTGGGTCGCATAGGTTTGTTTGGTATGCTCGGTCAGTATGCTGTCGTTTCCTAGCTGGATGACTGAATATCAAGTTACTGACAGTAAATCAGGTCTCCTAACTGTTGCGTATATTGTCGACCTCGCGACTACGCTCTCGTTGTCTGCTATAGCCAGCAATGGAGAGGTCAAGGGCGGCGGCGCCTACTATCTCATCTCAAGGTCTCTTGGCCCCGAATTCGGAGGCTCTATTGGCGTGCTGTTTTACCTTTCCCAGGTGCTCAATACTTCTCTCAACATCGTGGGTCTCGTAGACTGCCTCAAACTTGATATCGACTCCATGTCTGTTTATGATTATTGGGAAAGCTACGGGCTGCAGACTTCTGCCCTCGTCATCTGCACCGCACTTAGTCTTGCGGGATCTGGCATTTTCGTCAGAGCCAGCAGCGGTCTCCTCGTCATTCTCGTCATAGCTACCCTGAGCATCCCCATCTCCGCCATGATGAGAAGTCCTTTCAGAGACCCTGATATTGGCGTTGAGTTCACCGGGCTCAGTCTTCAGACCCTGCGTTCTAATCTGTACCCGCACACCTCGGGCCCTGCGTACAAAGGGGTGGACACTTTCAGGGAGCTGTTTGCCATCCTGTTCAGCTGTACTTCCGGTATCTTTGCTGGGGCGTCCATGTCGGGGGACTTGCAAAATCCTAGCAGCGCGATCCCCAAAGGCACATTGTGGGCAATGCTCGCAACTTTGGTTCTCTATCTTCTCGTCATCTTGTCGATGGCATCTAGCACTACCCATATCTCTTTCCTCCGGCATACGAACATCATCTCGACGACGAGTCTTTGGTCGCCGTTGATCCTTGCTGGAGAGTGTGCAACGACATTCTTCTCGGCCTTGATGGGCATCGTCGGCGCTGCTAAGCTGCTTCAGGCCTTGAGTCGCGATAAGATCGTGCCAGGTCTTTCTGTCTTTGGCCGCGGCACGAAACGTGGCGATGTTCCGATAGCTGCGGTGCTCGTTACTTTCGTGCTGGCTCAAATGGCCCTGTTCGCTGACCTGAACCAGATTGCAACCTTGATAGCCATGGGTTACCAGGTGAGAAATACCGTCACAGCGTGAATGCTGACTCCGTCCACCCTTGGCTAATAATGGATAGATGACGTTTTTCGTTATGAATCTAGCTTGTTTTCTGCTCAAGATTGGTTCGGCTCCCAACTTCCGACCGGCTTTCAAGTTCTTCAGCTGGCAGACCGCTTTCCTCGGCAGTGTCCTGTCGGCTGCTGCCATGTTCTTTATAGATGAAACCGAGGCAGCATCAGCTATTTGCCTACTCGTCTTCCTTTTCCTCCTCATCCACTACATGAGTCCGCCGAAGCATTGGGGAGACGTGTCCCAGAACTTGATTTACCATCAAGTCCGCAAGTACCTCCTACGCCTTAAGCCAGAGCACATCAAATTCTGGCGACCTCAAATCATACTTCTCATCAACGACGCCCGGCGGCATACTCGACTGATTCAATTTTGCAATTCGATGAAGAAGGGCTCTCTTTACATACTAGGTCATGTCATCGTCACAGACGATTTCAACTCGGGCATTCACGAAGCCAAATTACAGCAGTCTGCTTGGTATCGCTACATATCCGAGTTCTCCAGGATCAAAGCATTCGTCCAACTAACCATGTCGCCAAGTATCGAATGGGGAGTCCGGAACCTGATTCTGTCAGCCGGTCTCGGTGGCATGCGTCCTAACATCGCGGTTCTGGGATTCTACAACATGGACGATCTGAGAAGGTCACAACCTCTCGCTGGGATCCCAGAGGTCCCTATGTCCCCTCTACGAGCGGGTTTACCACCTAAGGGCGAAGGCAAACTTCCGAAGAGGCGGCGCGGAGATACGTCTGCTCGACTCCTAGAGGGCTATCTCCCAACCGACGCAATACGGACGGAAGGCATGATGTCGGTCACTAACTACTTGACGATACTAGAAGACCTCGCCTTACGACATCGGCTCAATGTCGCCATTGGGAAAGGGTTTCAAACACTGGAGACCCCGCGAAAGGACGGAAGCGGTTCCAAGAAGTACATCGACCTCTGGCCGATCCAAATGTCTGCCGAGATCACAGCTGGTGGCAGGAGTGTCTTGACGACCAACTTTGATACATGTGAGTTTCGAAGCCCTATCTCACTCTGAGTATGGACTAACTTCCCGTTGAGATACGTTAATCTTACAACTCGGGTACATCCTCCTTAGTGTTCCCGCGTGGAGGAAAACATACGCGCTGCGAGTCCTAGTTTTCGTTGAGTACAAAAGCGAAGTCACTGAGGAACAAGCCAGACTTCAGGCTTTACTCGAAAAGCTAAGGATCGAGGCCAAAATCATAGTGTTCTGGCTAGCTTCTGGGGAGTTGCAGAGTTACGAGACAATCATAAACGGAAGTGGCCACGGCTCCGACTCCGAGCATCTCATCAATGAGCTGCTGAAAGACGATGAGTGGTGGCAAGAACTTCAGCGGCTGAGGGACCGAGCCCATGAGATGTCTCGGGCGCAGGAGCTCGCCACCTTGGACGAAGTTCTCGGGGGCTCTAGACGCAAAGGAAGCCCAGATACAAAGCCTGGTGATGGTCACAAGCTCGCACATCGGTGGAGTGCGCGCGATTTGATGGATCTGTCCAAAAAGCCCACCGTCTCTGCATTTGCTAAAAGGGGTGTTAACTTTGGTATTCGCACTCACCAACTCAATTCCGCTGCATATGATGGCCAAGCGGACAGGCAACAGTACCGTTTTAGTGATGATGATGGCGCCTCTTCCTCCTCCTCGGATGCCGACTTCAATGATACTGGCAGTGTCGTCAGTGAGGGTGACGCTGAGGAACCAAGTTCATCCACCAGACCTAGCTTTCTCGCGACTTCAGGTCGGAGAAAGAGGTTGGGTGATCTGATGAGGCCGTCAGAGTCACCAAAGAGACCCGAACGGAAGCGAAGCCAACCCAGAGAAGCTACGATGACAACTCCGGCAGGTTATGGCACAATTGCCCGTGCAAACCTATCCGTTACTACCGACAGACGGCCAAGTGCAACCCGTACTTATGAGCGAGCCGAGAGCTCTCCTGGATTGTTAACCACTTTTACGGAATTCGATCAGGCTCGTGGAGCCAATTCTCCCTCAGTCAGTAAAGCATCGTCAAGGCCGGCCCTCTCGCGGCATTCATCGACAAGCCGTTTCTCGAGCAAGCCAACACCTGAGACCACGATCAGTGTTGAAGAGGGGTCCGGGCCATCAATTATGTTCACCCAGTCTGGGACCTCCACACCGAGGCTGGAACGCCCAACACTGTCTCGCAACACATCCACGCGGCGCTTCTCCAGTCGTCCTGTGCCAGAGACCAGGGTCGAGAATCAAGAAGGCTCTGGGCCGCGCCTAATGTTTGCGGAACCGGAAGCCAGTGTCTCGACGCCTCTGCTCAGGTCTCGCAGGAACTCTGTGACGCCGAAGGAAGGCCCACCAGAACTGTCTCTCAACATCCCCGAGCTGCTGGCAACCTACCGTCTCGGCTCACAGGCAGACGAGGACAACCACTCCACCTACTCGACACAGAGCTTGCCGTTGTCGTTCAACGACTTGCCCAGCCGAGCACAACACCTGATACTGAACGAGCTGATGCGTCAGAACAGCAACGACACAGCCGTTTTGCTCACGACGCTGCCGATTCCTGAGGAGGGCACTTGCAAAAGCGAAGAGGATAGTCTGAGATACCTGTCTGACATTGAAGTTCTCTGTCATGGGCTGCCTCCTGTGCTACTGGTTTTAAGCAACAACATGACAGTCACAGTGAGCCTGTGATGGAGGAGGAATACCGCATCGGGAGCTGGTTGCATCGCGGAGCCTTTGAACTTGCATGCGCATAGGAGTTATCTGAAGCCCTGGCTTACCTTACCGTCGGTAAAGAATGAATTTTACGAGTTTCCCTGAACATCCAATACCCATAAGGGGGTAATTTCAACCCTGTCGGCCTGGGAGTCCACGGCACAGTGAGTGTGCATATTAAGCATTTAGCATCGAGAACTAAGGCTAGCGAATGGAAGCTCAAGTGTTAACCCGAACGTTGAAGCCTTCCTCTTCACGACCGTCATACACGGCGGAATCCAAGGGCGTACAATTCTACGTAGGCGACACCGTCGCGCTCTGAGCAAGCTATCAAAAAAGGGGGTCAGGGTCACTCAGCCGTTTTCGGCTTGATGCTGGATGGATCCAACACAGGTTTGACGCTGAAGCGAGGTCGCGTCTAGAGTTTGTGTTGCCTGTTGCCATTATGTTGGTGTGTTCCTTTTAGGGGCCCGCCCAACAACACTTACACAAGAGAAGCCGAGCGAAGCCAGAGAACAAAGAACATTGATTGATAGTACCCACCCTTCCCCAGGGCAGCCGACCAACATTTAATCAGCATCCCATTTCCCATTATCCTCGAGCAGTGAATAAGCGCTCCCACTATTCCCGTTATACCGCACAGTCAATCAGTCAGCTCAGCTACTCTAAAGAGTCCCAACGGAACATAATGCGTTGGTCACCAGCATCCACTCACAGATGAATAACATTTCTTTGTTCCGTCTTTGTTCTCCTCCCCGCTGGCCCGTCTTGTCTTCGACACAACACAATGTAGGACAAATCCCAACAACACACAATGCACTGTTAGACCGGTGACTCTGCGATTCTATGGATGCCCGTGAATAGGAGAGAGAATGAGCTTAGCCGATCTGTTGTTGGTCTGCCAGAGAACATTGAAAGGGAGGGCCCTCATTCATGCAAGATAATATAACAAGAACCTCGCGCCTCTTTATCTAGTACAGTGCTCTCTTTGCCGCCCCTTTGGTTCCTCGATATTCCCCGAGACTTGTGATTCTGCTTCTGCTTCTCTGTTTCGACTACCGACCTTTATTCACTGACCAACTCCTATTGACCAACTACCGCATAATACCAACAACCAGACCTTTCACTGTTTCAATGACTGCTCATTGATTGAGAGTCATCGACTGACCGCATCGCCACCATACATACGTCTTTGGTGTTTGACTACCAACCAACCAACCAACCAACAATACACACCCCGACTCACACAACAAACAAACACACGCATACGCATATGGCTCGTGACGTATCCCGAATTCTCAACTACAACACTAACAACCTAACATCCACTGTTTTCTTTCATCACAGCCAGACCACAAACAGAACAAGAAACACACTCCCGGAGACAACGAGCCATCCATTCAACCACTCCTCATCGCCCAGTCCGATAGATGACACATCTGCGAAACCACAACACGGAATACGGCCGCAGCCACGCGAGCAGCAGCAGCAAAAACGGCAGTGTCGACGGCGGCAGCGGCGGCGGCGTCATCTCGCGCGTCCTGGGCAGTCTGCGCCAACCGAAACCCCCGAAGCCCTCGAAGTCCTCCAAGCCCTCCTCTACCACCATCATCACCAACTCTTCCACCTCCACCCAAAGCCGCGAGCGGCCAGCAGCAGCAAGAGCACCAGTCGCCGCCGGGAGAGAAACCTGGATCGACGAATTCCCGATCACGCACCACCCGGACCGGCCACAGCAGAACAAGCAGCTGCGCCCCGAGCTGACCGAGGACCAGTACCTGGAGCGGCTACAGCAGTTGCATGATCGGAGCAAAGGGAAGTACAAGGACGTCAAGAACCGGAAAGACGATAAGGATAGCGAGGAGAAGGCCAACGCAATGAAGCGGCCCGGGGCGATTACGGGCGGTCGAAGCGGTGCTGGCGCCAGTGCTGGTGGTTCTCACAACAGCGCCCGTAGAAGCAATAACAAAGACGACGGCAATGGCAACGGCGGAACCCAGCAAAGACACAGGTATCCAACCCTCGAGACCGGGGACATCGTCACCAAGTTCAGCTACCCGAGAAGGTCGCCCGAGTTCACCCGGACCAAGTGGCCCCGCGACGACAATGCGAACCTCATGCTCACACCCGCAGTCGCAGCATACGGTAGCGACAGCGAGAACGACAGAAAGAACAAGGGCGACATGTCGCCGAGCACCATGACGATCGAGATAGGCTTCTCGCCGCCATTCGAGGAGAACGGGTTGAACAACGACCTGTTGTTGCTGCCAGCCCCGACATATGACAAGCCGCTCCCAGGCCCTGCCCCTATATCTGTCCCCGAACTCAAGGCGCTGGCGACGGCGCCGAGGAAGGAAGACAAAAGTGCAAGAATAAAAGGGGGAAATAAGCATGGGGGCCAGGGGCATCAAGGGGCTGTCCTCGCAGCCTCAGCCTCAGCAGCCGCAACCGCCCCCAGGGCCTCGTCAGCCTTGTCGTCGCACAACGACCCCCAGGACACCACCAGGGATAAGACAAAAGGACACCACCACCACCGGCGAGCGTCGTCGCTGCCTGGGCGGCGAAAGTTCCCAGGCAATGATGATCACCCTACCGGCGCCCGCGAAGACCGTCACGAGAGGACAGCAAAGATGACCACAGGGACGAGAGCAGCATCTACATCGCGGTCGCGGTCGCGCGACATGTCCATGACCAGTCTGTACGTCGACACGGCCACGCACCCCAACTACCGCAGCGTCGACCACGACCGCGCCCTACCCGGGCTGACCCAGAGCTTCTCGTCGGAATCGGACCAGTATAGCCCAGTGACGCCCACAAGCGCCTCCACCATAACACCCCATTCCAATCCCAATCCCAGCTCTAAGAAGTCCGCACCAGCACCAACGACAACGAGACGCTGTCCAATGATGATCTGCGGCAACACCCTAACCACAGCCGCCGACATCACACAAAACCTGTGCGCCGAGTGCCGCGGCGACTACCAGCCGCGGCAGAGCACGTTCCTGTCCGACTACGACGACGACTACGCGCGGCACCTCGAGTACGAGCGCGAGCACGACGAGTTCGACCTCGAGAAGCTCAGGGCGAAGCTGGACCCGGACCCGTACCCGGATACCGACACTGACCTGCAGCCCATCATCGAGGAGGCCGAGTACCGCACGTTCGTCACGGTCGACAACGGCAGGGACCGGGGGAGAAATGGCGCTGGCGCGATAACCAGGAAGAATACGCTCCGCATCACCGAGATCAACCGGCCGCCAGCGCACACGCACTACCAGAGCAACCACAGCACCAAACATAATCCCCATAACTGCAATACATCCAACAGGATCAATCCACATAACCTCCAAAGCAAAGTCGCCGCTTCCCGCGCCGAATTCAAGCTCCTGCCAGCGCCGCCAGGCCGCTCCAAACACAACACGCCGCAAACGCAACACCCGCGCCGACACCGCAGTGGTAGTGGTCGGGGGAAGAACGTCGTCTTCCCCAAGCACCACCCGCGCTCCCCGGCAAAAGCGACGACCAGCAACAGCAACAACACCAACACCAACAGCCACAGCCACGGCCACATCAGCTACCAGCTAGCCGGGTGGAAGCCCCCCGAGGCTCGGCGGCTGCAGCAGTCGCCGGGCCCGCTAATGCTGCTCGAGGCCAAGACGTTCAACCCGGCGAATCCGGGGAAGCGGACCTCCTCCTCGGCGCGGGCCCTGCCGCGCGTATCGCCCGGGTCGCAGTCGCGGTTTAGCGAGAGTACTGGGACCCCTAGCACTGCAGCCAGGAGTTCGGGGAGGAGTTCGGGGAGGAGGAGCAGCTCTTTGTACCGTACCGTACCGCGGTCATTGAAGGTCGCGCGGCCGGCCGTGACGCCTTATAACAGCTTTAACCGAGAAGCCGAGATGAGTGATTTGGATGAGGGTGACGAGGAGGACGACCCCGACGATATATACCGCGAGATCGACAGCCTGATAAATTGCTACCTGGACCTTAGCGACGAGGAGGATGAAGTTAAACGGAATGATGAGGAGAGCGAGGTCAAGAAGGCAGCGGCCATTGCGTCGCATTTCGATGAGGACCCCGAGGAGCTCGAGATGCTGAGGATGGGCTTCTTTTGAGGAGATCCGCCGGCTCTGGCCCCCGTTTTAGTAGTCGTGTAATCCAGCAGGCGTAGGCGTGCGTCACTGCCGTCGAGGCGAATAATGAATAATACATAGTAGTAATCAGCGTACCATTGCCAGAAGTATTACACCCTTAATCGTAACCCAACTTGGGATCAGACCATATCAGTGTCAGGTTCCTATGCATGGGCCAAATCCATTCCGTGCAAGCTATCCGTTCTCACAATGCTCTCACAAATGCACTTTTCAGATCGCAAAAGCCTGTGGGTATCGTCCAACGCCAGATGTGTCCGCGCCCGCGCCGTACCATTGCCATTGCCGTTGCCATGCCATGCCGTGCCATGCGAAAGAAGGAAAGCAAATCAAGTCTTCCTCGCGCCCCTGTTGCCGACCCGCTCGGCGGCTCTTCGCTCGGCGCGCGACAAGGGCTGCTTGGCGGTCGTGCGCACGTAGGCGGGTTCGTCGTCGAGGTCCTCGTAGTGGTCCGCCGAGCCGGAAGGGTTCGCTATACCGAGAGACGCCTAGTCCTCGGTCAAAGCGCTACCGTCACGCCTATAGACCGAAAACAGACCCATTAGCTCTTCACGTCCCACGCGTATACACACAGCTGCCGTAGAGAGAGAACAAAGGGGAAGGAGGTATATGGACTTACGGGTACAAGGGGTGGCCCTCCTCTATCAGCTGGCTCTTGAGCTCCTCGGGCAGCGAGCCCGACACCTTCATAGCGTAGACGCCGGCGACGTACTCGTCGAGGCGCTGCCACTTCGCGATCCAGGACACCTTGGGGTCGGCGATGACGGTGACGCCCTCGAAGACGCCCGACGTGCAGGCCTCGATGTTGTCGGTCGAGCCCTTGAGGTCGAGGAAGGGGCAGTTGGGGCAGCCCTCGGTCTTGAAGCGCTGTAGGTAGGGTAGAAGAAGGGTCAGCGAGTGCTGTGCTGCTGGAAATGGGGAATGGCGGCGGTGCGAGGAGAGGAGATGGGCTTACGGATTGCAGCATGATGATCGAGCAGACCATGCAGGCGCGACTGTAGCGCTGCTGGCCGGGGGCGATGTAGTTGGAAGTCATGGTGGCCTGGATGGAATGGTATCTGAGCTGCGCAAAGGCTTGTCGTGATGATGCTGTCTTGATGGCCTTCAAGTTGATAGTGCCGGCGATGCCTTTGTCAACAGTCAAATGCATTCATGGTACTAGCCTTTTTATGCTTAGTGCACTGTTTACAGTGTGGAATGGAATATCCGTGAATATGCAACAAACAGTGCATTTTCATTCAGTCAAAACCTCTTACAACTTGAAAACAAGGTAGAATTATTAAACAACCAGCAGGATAAAACAAAGCTCCCGTTTGTGAAGTCATTTCCTGTTTTGTTTTCACCAAAACAGGCAAAGCAAACTCCAAAATGACACAAGCACAAGCCAACACATCCATGGCCGCCAGCACGCTCAGCGCCCCCAAGGCAAAAAAGGCCCACGAGCTCGTCACCTGCACCATCAAAGCGCCGCCCTTCTCATACGCCCACCTCGAGGTCTTCAGCAACAACACCACCTCCACCACCAACACAGATGAAATCGATCTGGACGCCCTGCAGGTTCGATCCTACTGCACGGCCGCCCTGAAGCAGTTCCTGGGCGCCACCGGCACGGCCGTACCGCTAGATATCCTCAAGGTCGATGGCCGGAGCTGCTGGTTGAGGGTACCGCGGGATGACCTGGGAGCGTTTTCGGCGGCTATCACGGCGTGGCAGGGCACTTCACAGGACGGAGTGCGTTATTCGCTGCGATTACGGGGCTGTTCGGACTGGCTAGGTGCTTTGGTAGGTCAGCAAGGCGAGGAGCGACTATGGACTGGATAAAAACTGGGGGCTTCGGATCTAAGAGGCGAAGGCAACCAAGTTATCGAGGAAAAAGGGTGCCCTCTTTGTGGTCCCATCATCAAGATTGCGGTATGGTATATATTCCCACTTCACCGCTTGTTTCCCTGGGTGGTCCCCCAAACGCCTATGCTTCCGTGACGCTCAAGCGTCATATATGCAAGAATGTCATGCCATAAACCCATTCCAGATCATATAGTCCTACAGCTCAGATCGGACCATCCTCTACATCATGCCCGACAGAGAATTGTTGGCGTACGCCTGAGGGACTGTTAGCTGACGCATCTTGCAGGATATGGAGGGCCGCGAGGTCTTACCATAGGTTTAATAGGGGGATGTGGCACGGCATCGAATTGGTTGAAGTGGAGCTTGTAGTCGGGGCCGATGTTGATGTACGCTCCTCTGTTCTCGGTTTGATCGCAGTACTTGGGTGCCGAGAAGACTGCAGGCTCGTCAGTTGGGCAAATCCTACGCTTTGGGGAGATAACCTACCTGTGATGCACTTTCCGTCATGCTCCTCCTCATAGCCGTCCATGCGGACTTCGTGGCTGCGGATGATAGCATCCAGGCCGTTCTTATCGCAGAATCGCTTGGTAACATCCGGCCCGAATTGCATACCTACACCTCTCTTGCTGGGGCCTCGGCCAGGGGCGGTTTGAGGGTCCGTCCACAGCATCTCCATCATCAGGCCAGCCTGACCAGGTTGTCTCTGAAGATGTCTGTTGAGTTTTCGGATATCATCTAGGGTTACGTTGTCGTCGGAGAACAGACCACCGTGGAGGACGAGATACTTGGAACCGATGAGTGTCGCTAAGGGCAATGCCGAGAAGCTCTCCGAGAACAGCTTGAAGACCCTACTCCCAATCAGTATGAAGAAGACTCGTACTTGCAGATAATGCTCACCGCTCATTGTACTTTGCCTTGCATTCTCCCTCGAATCCGTAGACCCTGTTCATGTCGTCCGTCTCGTGGTTGCCTCTGTTGAGGAACATACCAGAGGGACGCAGCCACTTGTAAGCATATAGTAAGAGTGCAATTTCTGTAGACCAGGAACCTCGGTCAACAAAGTCGCCGTTGAATAGGTAATAGTGGTCCTCTGAAGGTCGTCCGTTCAATCTGAAGAGTTCCATCAAGTCGAAGTATTGTCCTGCTCCAATGTCAGCATCTTGCTAATTGTATAACTGTTGCGCCATGGAGCCTACCGTGAGTATCACCACAGACCGTGAGCTTGACGTCGTCTGGTATGGTCATTTCCACCATGGTAGCTTCGTCGTAAACAATCTTCTTGACGGCAATGATGATTTGGTAGACATATTTCTTGTGTATCTTCTTGCCGTTCTTGAAGCGCTCGATCATATCATCAATGAACTCCTGTGTCATCTCGTCCTTCAGGTGTACTCCATCGTAGTCCGGCTCGACGGCCATTGAAGCAATATCAAGTCCCTCAGCGGCAGAGGGTTCGTCGCCGAGCTCGATGGCGGCGAAAAAGTTCAATTGTCGCACAATCTTCTGGCACTCGGCAAGCTTGAGTTTCGCATCTTTGCTGTTCGGATCGAGCTTCACACATTGACCGAAGTCCTTGGCGGCATCTTTCGGCTTGAGGATGGCGGCAGAGGCAACAGCACGGCGGTAGTAAGCCTGGAGCATCGGGTCAGACACGATAACAAAGCGCAATCAGCGCAGACATGACGAAATACCTTGACAAGCTTGGGGTTCAGCTCAATAGCCTTTGTGGCGTCGGCAATGGCATAACCGAAAGCCTCTGATCTGATGTTGGCCTACAGCGTCTGGTAAGTCACGCGAGCATTCCCCGACCAAGATGTGGCCCAGTTTGGTGTTGGACAAACCTGAGCTCTGTTGGTGTAGTAAGTCGGCTCCTTGTCATTCAGCTCGATAGCCTTGGTGTACAGCTCGAGGGCTTTGGGCCAGTCATGTGCAGCGAATGCCTTGTTGCCCTCATTCTTGAAGGCGGTGGCCTGCTCGACAGCAGACTCGTCTGCCATGGCGAGGGTATTGAGGGCGGTTGTGATAAGGTATAGTGTGGACTGGGCTTTCGGTGTCGGGCGTGAGATAGGGACGAAGCTCGAGAGTTCTCGGTTACTCAAGTAGTAATATTGGCGTGAAAGGGTGTTGTTGATGCTCAGGACTACACGGCCTTGAAGCTCGGAGGAGAGATTCTTGCGAAGTTTGGTCGGAGCACGGAGCTTCGACGGCCTGCTGGATGTATTCACTGCAGGGTGATTTTATGGAGGGCCCGAGGGGCATTCGATTCCCTGTCCTCGACCCGGGCCTGGTGGGGGTATATGTACCAAGACAAACCAGAACCAGATAACATCAATACACACGGTACCGCACACACTGTTTCAGGCCCCAGTCTGTAAGCGGACTCTCAGGCGCTAACAATATAATTGTAGGGTAGGGTCCGGTACCGGGTACGAAGCTCGGACTACATGTTAAACCGCTACCCTGGAGAAACGGGTCAAGCCAAGTGAACCTAACCTTAAAGTGCCGGACCTTATCTTGAGCCTCTTCACCAGACGCCGGAGCGCTTCCTGTTCTTTGAATGGCATTGTTCCATGGTACGTGCCTGAGCCTCACATACCGCTTGCCTTGGTTCGCAGAAGGGTCAACCAAATCTCTTCCCATTCTCTCCAATTTCAATGTCACTCTCTCTGATTGGATGCGACGGGAATACAGGGAAACCTCGCAGTTTGGTCACTTGCTTCTCGCCGTGAAATCGGATCGAAGCTGAGATTGAACATTTTAACCTCGTTGCCATCTACCAAGATATTGATGTTGAGATCCACGTCCAAATAGCTTGTCTACTTGAGAACCCCATCATCTTCATTTCAGACATATCTACAACGAAAACTATGTCTGAAGAGCTCAGGGATGAGGTTGAAGCCATCAACTCCATCTATGGCGAAGGCTGCTTGGTGCAGTCGAGTACAGCGGCCAATGTCTACATCCTTCAACCACCTGGCGAATCCTCATCACTCCTCGTCGAGTTTCCTTCAAGTTACCCAGCAGAGCCGCCCACTGTGATTGGTACTAACAGTACTGGTCAACATGGAAAGAAGGGCGATGCAGCGCGAGAGCTATCCCTGTTCCGCCAAGCTCTGGGAAGCGTCTATCAGCCGGGGATTGTGTGCCTCTTTGATGCCATAGAGGAGCTCGCAAGGCTACTGGAATCTCTGGCACCCGAGGACGAACCACAAGCGGACCCGACCCCTGAAGAGGCAGAGGATGTACCTGCTGATGCCGACGTTCGGGACGAGATGGATATGAAAGAGCCCCCATGGGTCTTATCGGACCCGGTGGTGGAGCTCAGGTCAACTTTCATCGCGCGGTGTGCTGCTGTGTCATCGACTGTGGAGGCTGAGGCGTTCGTCCAGCATTTACTCCTCTCAGACAAGAAAATCCGGTCAGCCACACACAACATCACGGCTTGGAGGATCAAGGGACCCAACAACACGACATTTCAGGATTGCAACGATGATGGAGAGACCGCAGCCGGAGGTCGGCTGCTACGCCTGATGCAGCTCATGGACCTGTGGGATGTAATGGTTGTGGTCACTCGTTGGTATGGCGGCCACAAACTGGGCCCACATCGATTCGCCTTGATCAACCAAGCAGCGAGAGACTCATTTGTCAAGGCAGGTCTGGTCCGTGACTCTTCCACGAAGAAAAAGGGAACTGGGAAATGAGATGTGCACGTGTACATTGTGTACAGCGGCATTTCTTCCAATGCGTGCTCAGCCAGATTGACTCGGCACCACCGTGAACACGCGCTTCCACCCCTCCAAGGAGAACCGGCGAATCTTCCTTCGGCAGACTACGAACCCTCAGAAACCCATGCCTTGGACAGGAGGTATCCATCTGCGGCTACTTCCTATTTCGGACGATCATGATCGATCAATCCTGTAGCTGACCTCGGAGTGTGACCATTTTCTCAGGCCTGCTCCACCAACTCCCGCGCTGCCAATCTCGCAACCCGTTTGCATGTATCTCACCTAGGCTTGACGTGTATTTTTCGCGTTATTTATACGCGTCGATACCAATATGCAAGTACTAAGCTGAAAGTTTCGGGCAATTAGGTACATTATGATGTTTAATTGATAGCTATGAGCATAGACATCACGGCTGAACATTCGCTCCGGAATCAGCTGACGGGAGCAGGCCCGGGCATGGCCGGCCTTCTGATTCGCTGTCGAGAAAATGGTCACCTGGAGTTCACTCATGCCGCAGCCTGCAGCCAGGCTTGCTCCGCCTCTCCTCAATCTTTCCCAAGCGGCTCATTCCGCTGCTGTTTTCTAAAGCTTCCAGCCTCGCCGTGATACTCACCACGAGCGTATTGTAGCAGCTACTGGGCGATCATGGAGAAATCTAGCCCTGGAGAGCCGACAACGCCGTATGCTCTTGGCGAATGCTACTGCGAGGTGTGCAAAATATTCAGGCTGAACGAGGCTGACTGGGAGAACGTGCGCCACAACAAGCTCCAAGCTGCCTCCCGTGACATAGCCCGACAGGCTGAACTTGGTTGCAAGACATGCAAGCTACTCGGCGATGCCATGGAGACGGTGTTCACCATGTATCCGCCGGCATTCCCGAAAAACGACGCTCTCTTGGAACGCGAGCCTGCATACTACCGACCGAACGCAGCATTCAGAATTGACGATGGCCGCACAGAAAGGTATCACGAGGCCTTTGAGATCTATTCCGAGCTTGGTACGTGGCATTCGTGTTCTCCAGCTCTCTTCATATGTACCTAACTAGCGGGTTAGGCAGCGACAGCCCGTGCAGAGCCATTGCATCGAAGTCCAGACTGCCGACAAGGCTCGACCATGCCATATGTCTGGGTAGAAAACGGTCTTGGATGAAAGACTGTGAGAGCAATCACCCTCACTGTCGGCAGAATTGCAAGCCAAAGTTGCCGAAGCGTGTACTCGAGATATTTGGCGGCGGACGTAGCCCTGGTGTTCGTTTACACTGTAGTGCCCCTGGAGAGCGCTGTGAGTATCTCACCTTGAGCCATTGTTGGGGTGACCCGGCCACGGTTCGGAAAACAACGCAGGCGACATTACAAGCATATCAAGTGGCAATACCGGACGAAATGTTATCTCTCACATTCCGACACGCAGTTTGGGTGACACGACAATTGGGTTTCCGGTACCTCTGGATAGATGCTCTTTGCATAGTACAAGACGATCTGCACGACTGGGCTACTACTCTGGGTACTATGGGAGACATCTACGGTGAAGCAAGCCTTAACATTGCGGCAGCGTCGTCCACCAACGGCGATGGAGGCTGTCTGTATGAGCGCATCGGCGGGAAAGAGCTACCACTGCCTACAGATCCTTCGCTCGGATGTGACTTGTTTGTGCGCTGCCGCCCAGAGCACACTTTTGCGAACTCGTTAAATGGCTGGCGTGCCGGAATTACTTGGGTTGCACACCACCCACTCTCCTATCGGAAATGGTGCTTCCAAGAGCGCATAGCGAGCCGGCAAACTCTGTTCTACACCAAGGGCGAGATGGGCTGGGAATGCCGAACGGTTGTGAAATGTGAGTGCGAGCAGGTTCTTCTAGGCTCTCGTGGGAACATGTATTCTTCAGACTGCTTCTCTACGAAATGCAGGCTTGTCCAAGCGACGGACCCTGCGTCTCTGTTAGTAAAGTCGGAGAAGGAAGGAGAACTCGAGCTGCTGGATATCTGGATGCAGCTTGTGATGGACTACAGTATCCGCCAAATCACGCACGACAGTGACATCTTCCCTGCTATGTCGGCAGTGGCTAGGATGTTCGAGGGAAAGGGGCTTGGAAACTACCATGCCGGTATGTGGTCTGCATATCTCCCACGACTTCTCTGCTGGCACAGTGAAGATTTGATCACCGACCAACGCGGCAAGCGGATACATCCACTACGTACCTGGTCATGGGCATCTGTTGAAGGCAAAGTCATATATACAAAAGTAACAAAAGCAGAGTGGGATCAGAAGACCGAGCCGGTATCATCTGTGCGCAAACACAGCGTCGTTTGCCAGACCATAGACGGTCATGCTGGTCGCCTCAGTGGTGGTGTGCTGGAGCTGTCATCACCAGCCGTCAGGACTAGCATGACAACTATTGTTGGCACGTCCTGGTTGGAATATGGATACCAGGTACAGTTTGAGCACTGGAACGAGGAATTTGTCTGCCAATTCGATGCGTATGACGACTACAAGGATGTCAAGGGCCTTGCAGTATGGCTGCTTTACATACTTCATGCGGCCTACGACGAAGAGATCTACCTCTTGGCAAGGTCGACCGGAGATGGAACAGGAAGCTATCGACGTATTGCGCTTGTTTCCCACCAGAGATGATCTAAACCTGCAGCGATCGAGCACCAGCGCTTGCTAAAGAGGAAGACATTTCGAATTGTCTGATCACGAGCAAAAGCGGGCCTTGCCCACACAATAGAGGCATAAGAGGGTTGCCTTGTTCTCATACACATTATTCAGGACGGTACTTATCGACGTATTGCGCTGGCTAGTGAAGGAGCGTAGTCTCCGTCGAACGGCGCTCAACGTCCGTAGAAGAGAAAGGCATTCCGGATGGTGTGATGAATACCGCGTGTCCGAGAGTCGAAAGAATATGTTAATTTCTGATGTAAACATCAAAAGTCAGCCGTGAGACCATGCAATCCCCTTCCGCTTCGTCACGCCTGTCACTGACCCTGTCCCTCCTAATGCGTTTCTCGTCAAAACTCAGTCGTTCAGACCAAGGCCATTCATCCATTCCTGGCTGTCCTTCTCTACACTCATTCCGGCCAGTAAACACTCCCAGCCGTCTCATTAACATACTGACGTATAGTATACCTCTATATTTCCCGACAAATATGAAGAGCTTATTCGGACCCCGAAGTCTCTTATACCTCCTCTACTTGCATCCTAGACGCCCGCTCCCTCTCAAAGCAATAAGGTCGCATTTAGGAGTCCTACTAAGTCGGATTCCTATTCTTTCGGCCTTGAGCCTTCCGACGCCCTACAAACAGCGAGGCCGCGGATGGCAATGGCAGCGGATATTCGCAAGGAGTCGCGACTTTGAGTAGTTGTCACTCATGACACACTCAAAGCCGACGAGTCAACGAACAGAATATTGCAATATGAAGTATACGGACAATGGAGTCCCTACCACCAGGGCTGTGATGACTCCATTGTGACAGCGTTCGGGTTTCAGGGGGGGGCTATGGATGACATCTCGATGAGCGAATAGGCAACCGCTCGTCACCACCAAAGATAGGTTGGCCAAGGATATAGCGGAATGACAGCCAAGCCCGCGAGGTCTATGACGATGGCAAGGAGATAAATCAAGAGCACGCGGTACTAGGAAAGCGTAAGCAAGGTCGGTAGAAGGTAGCAAGAGCCGTATCTGGCCCAGACCTGCGTCAACATCACAGTGCACGACCACAGGAAGAGCGAAGAAGACTCAGATGCATAGCAATGCAGTCGACCAAGACAGGCATGTGGCGGAATAGTTTCGAGTCGAATATTGAACTTGGCTCGCAGACGAAGCTCAAGCAGTGTACGACATTATACACCTGTCTATGTTGGGGGTTCCAACTCGTACCAGGCGCGGAGAGAATGATAAGTCAAACAAACATTGAATCTCCATCCCACCACATGCACATAATCAATCCACAATACTTTAGGCACCTATCAAGACATATATAATGACAGCTTTCTTCGGATCTGGTGTCAAGTGATCGTTACCTGCTCGTAGGTATCCTTGTGGCTCCTCAACCCATTTTCCAGCCACAATGACGGATGGGTCACGGACCAGGATACAAGGTACCCTGGAGCCCAACGGGTACCCGTTTGTACCTGATTTGTACCCAACTGGGATGATAGCTACTTCTGGGATGGGGACACCACCCATCCCTTCTTTCAATCAAGCAACTTCCAGAATACAGACCAATAGCCACCATTCGTGACCCTGGTCCTTATTCTGGATACCGCTACCACAAGGCACATCCTGACTGTCCTCATCCCTTTAGTTAAAAATGGTCTGGTACTTGCATAAAACCCCAACATCAACCCCAGACAACAAGCCTCGGTTCCCCACGCTCCATGACCGAGTATCCTTGCAGCCATGCACGTCGTCCCTCATCGCCAGCACCGCATCATACAGGACATATCTACCCGTATATATCTAGAAGAAAAATAATACCACGAAATCATACTCATAAACAACCACCATATCCACGGAACAAGAACCCCATTGTGACAAGACGAATGTCCTGAATCCTATACGTAGATCGTGAGATAAGTGCCAGATATTTACCGTACATATAAAATGGTCGGCCAGCTACCACTCCAAGACCTCAAAGTCCTCGAGTTCGCCGGCCTCGCCCCCGGTAAATACCCATTCCATTTCATCCAAGCAACAATGCGAGAAACTCATCACTAACCGCGACCCCAGGCCCCTTCGCCGGCATGCTCCTAGCCGACGCCGGCGCCTCAGTCCTGCGCATCGACCGCGCGATCCCGGGGCAGACACATCAAACACATCCAAAGGACAGCAGCACATCAAACCCAAACCCCCATAGCCCGTCATCACCACCACCACCACCGCCGCCCACCCCCGACATGCTAGCCCGGCACAAATCCAGCATAGCAGTAGACCTCAAGTCCCCCCGCGGCACCTCCCTAATCAGAACCCTAGCGCGTGAAGCCGACGTGCTAATCGACCCCTTCCGCCCAGGCGTCCTCGAGAAGCTCGGCCTCGGACCAAGCGTGTTATGTGCTGAAAATGCAAACCCGCGCCTCATCTACGCCCGCATGACGGGCTTCCGCCGCGACGGCCGCTACGCCGCCATGGCGGGCCACGACATAAACTACCTAGCCGTATCGGGCGTATTATCCCTCCTCGGCACCGCGGACCCAAGTGAACCGCCGCGGCCGCCTTGGAATATCCTGGCTGATTTCGCTGGTGGTGGTGCTGTGCTGGTCCAGGGGATTATGATGGCCCTGCTGGCGCGCGATCGCCCGGGTGGTAATGGTGGTAGGGGTCAGGTCGTCGAGGCCAACATGGTAGACGGATCCTCCTACCTAGCCACCTTCCCACGCATGGCACTAAAAACGCCCCTAGGCGCCGGTCCGCGCGGGACTAACCTCCTGGATGGCGGCGCGCCGTTCTATTCCGCCTACACCACGCGCGACAACAAATACGTCGCCGTCGGCGCGCTAGAACCGCAGTTTTTCGCTCTGCTGATCAAGGGGTTGGGACTGGAGGGGCATGGGTGGGAGGCGAAGCAAAATGATCGGGCTTGTTGGGCGGAGATGCGGAGGGTGTTTGCGGCGGGTTTTGCGGGGAGGACAAGGGGGGAGTGGGAGGGCGTGTTTGATGGGACGGATGCTTGTGTTACGCCGGTGTTGGGGTATGGGGAGTTGGAAAAGGGGCAGCGGTTGGGGGAGGGAAGGGAGGGAAGAAGGGAGGGCGATCAGAGGCCGATCGTAGGGTTGCGGGATACGCCCTGTCTCGCCGTCGACGAGCGGGTTTCGGATCCGAGCATGCAGGGCAGGGGCGCTGGGGTGCCGGGCGGTGGGTATGTGCCGAGTCCGCTGGCGCCGGGCGAGGGCGGCGAGGAGGTGTTGAGACGGTGGGTTGGGTGGAATAGGGGGACGGAGTTTGATGTTGAGGGAGGGGGGTTGGTGTTGAAGGAGAAGGAGAAGGAGAAGTCGAAGCTGTGAGGTGAGGTTAGAAGTGAGAGGTTTGAAGTGTCCTTGAGACTGATTTCCACTGCGAGATTATTATACCCTCCGTTGTTTATTAAACATTATGGGCTCTGTGTGCCTTCGTCCCGTGTATCAATCCTTCGCTTATCCCGGCTACCTTCCAGCACCTGGCTGTTCCTTTTAGTCGCCGCCGGTGCCTTTTCCTTTCCCTTCCAAACCTCGTCTTCCCCTATCCTATCCATCTCTAGAGCCGTCTGCGGATCTTCTCAGGCCGGCTTGCACATACACACCCACGATCCCCGTTCGTGCCAACAGACCCCAAAGGCTAAAATAAATCAGTAAGAATATCCGACACAGCCCTTGGCTATCAACCCACCATGAAACACCCATTACCCTCCTCGCTTCTCTCGAACACATTGTATAAATCTGCTAGGTCGGAGTCGGTGGTGGATTCGGTGGAGGAGACGGCGAAGGATGGTCTCTGGAATAATTTCTCATTGCTGAAGCTTGTTGGACATCGATCCGCACAGTAGGTAGGTAGGTCTTGACTTCTTCAGGGCGTCTTCCTTGGTATCTGCCAGGCGGGAGATAGATAATATCTGTCGGGGATGCCGGCGGCCAAGCGTCGATGTGTTGTGTCTCTTCAAGAAGATAGGTGTACGGAGTTCTCATAACGGGAACCAGATTAGCCAAGTCGAAAGAACGAAGAAGACTAGAAGACAGACTTATAGATATACATCTAAAGCCAGCCTCCATTAAATCCACAGGCATTCATGTATCTATCTATCTATCCCTCCCTCCAGATCACACCGATCCCATCCCATCCCGTCCCAATCAGCCTCCTCCTGCATCTTTCCCCCTCCCCCCTCACCACCCAAGAAATCAAGAAATTAACAGAATGCCAGCACAATCTCGCTACCTCAGCCCGCCCTCAATCTGGCGTTCCAATATTGACCGACATATGTACGCAGCCTGCCTGGATACCCTACCACCCAGCCGTATCCGACCTCACCGGATCTCCCCACCCAATCAGGCACCTGAGGGGTATCAGCCTCTCCTGCGAGCTTCCTTGGGCGTCATATCAAAAGCGACTGACTGCATGTTTTAAAGGCCCACCGCGGTTAGACACGATCCGATATACGAGCAGAGGGTGAGCCATCAAGGTTCTTACTTCTTAGCCACGCCCCCACGCATAGGTGGGTAGGCAGACGACTTGGCACGAAGCATCGACCAGGACAGTTCAGGGATTTGGGTCAAGACATGCGTAATACGTTCTTCGTAACATTATTTCAGACTCGGCGCATTCTCATGACGCTCTTCTACCGACACGTGTCTAACGGGGGGCGGGTTGGGTATGATTTGTGTGTGACCAGAGGTGCTCCTCGGAACCGGGGGCAAAGAGAAAAATCGACAACACCCGACCCCGTACTACCTGTACCGTGCTAAGGTACCTACACATATCGTACGGACGGCGATTTCTCCAATGCCGGCCGACACATTCCCTTGCTTTCGGCTAGCTGCTGCCTCTGTAATAATCTGACAGGAGGCGGGTGGCTTGTGGGATTGATTTCATTCCTGACAGCATCACTGTACCTGGCTGACGATCTCACTAGCCTTGCCGAGCGACTCTACCATTTGTTGGCATTCCTTCCGCCGGCGGACGGTGTAGTCGCTCTCCTTCAACAGTTCGTCCAAGGTCTCACTTCGGTACATGTTTTCCAGCAGCTCCTTCTGCATCTCGTCTTTCGTGAGCCTGACAGACAAGTTAGTATCTCATTGAACTCCGTGCATCATCTCGACTTACTGGACAAGGTTCAGCATGATAGCCTTGGGCACCATGTCGATCATGGTTCTTTTCACGATGTTGAAGTACGAAGAGATGAGTAGCTCTGCAATGGACGGTTAGAGGCAGTATATTACACCATGACTTGATGAGCAACTCACTGATGACTTCCACCTCGATATTCTCCCGCTCAGAGAGCGTGCCCGAGGCCTTAAGCATTGGAGGGGGAGCCTCCATAGCTGCAGCTCTCTTCTTGTTCTTGGCAGCAAAGAAACTCCCGAAGAAGCCCGAGTTGTTGTCTAGGTTACTATCCATGGAGGGACTAGCAGCACGGACCGGGGTGCCCGCGTCAGGCAACGGCTTGCCGGTCTTGGGGTTAACTTGGACAGGCTTTGCGCCGTTGTAACGCTCGTTGACAATAGCCATCGCTCTGTGGCCGTTGAGGAAGTCGGGGTGACCCGTGTTGACATAGCAAGCCTCCATAGCAACAAGATCCCTCACGAGCTTGTTGGAGGGTTCCATGGCCTTCTTGAAGAAGTTGATGACGGTTCCGTGCATCTTCTCCTTCAGCGATGGATATCTTCGGTAAAGTGTCTTGGAAAGAAGCTGCGTCAAGATACGCACTAGCTCATCGTAGACGAGCGAGACACACTTCAAGCTGGGCTCCTCGAGTCTCTTGATCTCCTTCTTCACGATGACTTCGAATGCCGTGGTGCCCACGAAGAGTGCTGGAGAAGAACCCGACGAGTTGTACAGAATGGTCCGGATATCGACATCTTTGACCATGTCAAAGGGGTCGACTGCCTTGACACCGTTAGAATACAGTTCGTGGAACACGAAACTGATTCTGGCACCACCAGACAGCTCTGTGCTCGACAACTCGCCGTTGTTTCCGTCCAATACCGATTGCCACTCTTTCGTAAATTCCGTGATGATACCGAGGACGATGTTTGCGCTGTTACCCAGCATGGACGGGCCTAGACTATCCAGTTCGGCTGTGTACTTCTGTAACGAGCTGGAAATTCGTGCCTTGATGTCCGGCAAGGTCTGTTTGATGTGCATCATCAGGATCAGGTTGAGCTTCCTTGCCAAATACGGGGTACCGCAGTACGAGCTTTTGTTCCGGTACGCCTTGTGGTTCTCGAAGAAGTTCTTCTCGGCCTCGAGAGACTGCGAAATGGGCTTCTTGTTGTCGATGTCGCGTTGCCCTCTGTTGACGACTGGTACGTACCCCAACCGCAGCGGGATAATGCGACCAGCCAGAATGTCCACAACGTCCGTACCTTCGTCCATCAAGTCTACCTTGGTCAGAACACCGATCGTCCTCTGACCCTCCGGGTCAACCTCGCGGGCAAGCTTTAAGCCATCAGAGTTGGCCAGATCTTGGTTGGCTGAAGTGACAGCCAGAATGATGGCGTTTGACTTTCCGATGTATTTCAAAACCATATCTTTGATCTGCCTCTCAATGTCGCGAGGTTGGTCGCCAACGGGTACCTTGGTCAGTCCCGGCAGATCGACCAGTGTCAAGGTCAGGACGTTGGGCGAGTAGACTCGTAGGTTGATAGGGGCAGGAGAGATGCCGGCATTTCGGCCGACCTTGGCTTCTGTTTCCCGGCTGATCTCGTCTCTAATCTTATTAAAGTCGAAGAACTTCTGGCCGGGGATATGCAGAAACTCGCCCCACTCGTCCGGATTCGCAGCCGAGTCGGTTGTGTTGCCGGAGACATCGTCGCTGTCTCCGTTCGTTTGCGACGTCGCAGGTCGGTTGATAAGCTGGAGGACGAGCGGCCGTCTCGTGACGATACCTGATCCTCGAGGGAGGCTTAAGTCGCATATTGTTAGCTAATTTCGGACGGTCTAGTCGAAGTGAGTGAGAGAGGGACAACTCACAAGTCTCGGCCAACGATGTTCTCGAGAACGGAACTCTTTCCGCTGGACTGACTGCCGACGACGGCTATCTGTGGCAAATCGATAGGGTTGTTCACACCAACCGTCGAAAAGACATCTTGGAGCTTGTTGACGAGCCTGGGTACCTGGGTTAGCTACGGTGCTGCGTATAGCTTGGGGGCGGTGGGTATCAGGGACAAAGGTGTCGCAACAACGTACTTGATGAGGGCGGGATCCGAGATACCACCCTGCGTCGTCAACGTCTCGTTCATCTTCGGTGGTTCGCGCTCGGCTGGTGCTTCGAGACAATTCGGAATACAGTTGCTTTCGTGGGCTCGATAATGGCAGGTCGAGGGGGTGGTGTAGGAGTAGCTGGTAGCTGGTGCGAGCTTGGGAGTCAGGTCGTGTGACTTCGCCTGCGACTGGATGTTTCAAGTTCTTTCGTAAACAAAGGCAAGAGCGGCTTAGTTACAACGCAGCGCAACTCACGTTGGTCTCGTGTGGTATGGTGATAGTAGGTAATGGGGGAGGGAGCGTATAGTGGTGTTGTGGGACATGTATTATTTGGTGAACCGCAAGGCCAGGCTAGAATCAGGAGCGCCTGACTGGAATCCCAGCAGCGCAACGACACGCAACGACAGGGGCTGCGGGTGGCACTTATTACGTCTTGGCCTCAATGCTTGGTGCTGGCAGTCTGGCAGCTGGAGACCCGGTGCCAGCCATGACTACATGTGGGGCACATGCAGCGCTGCGTTTAAGCCACGTATGGCGGTGGCTGAGCCCAACCAAACATCGATCTTTCAGTCCCAATGGCTACCGGTGTTATCCAGGTGCCTAAAAGGGGGCTTTCGTCAGTCGTCAGCTTGAAAGCCTGCTGACGACGACAATCTGTTGAACTACAGAACCTTGATAGGTTATATTGATATCTGCGATGCAGTCTGCGAAAACACATAAGCATGATTGCGTGTACAGACAGACGGTACACAAGGTCTACATGGGCTGGCTATGTATGTAGTTCAGAGTTGTTCCCTGCGTGCTCCTATTAAAAGCAAGAGTACAAGACTTGCAAATCAAGGATGATTCTCCGTCCTACAAATCAGGACTCTGCGTTCTCACCCAATCAATGTAATGATGAAGAAAAGGTCCATGAGTCGAAGTTTGATTTATAATCGCTATAGACGTACATGCCTATCACCACACATTCCAGCAAACTAAGCCGCTGTTCTCACGCAGCCACCCTGTATCTCACGCAGCCACCCTGTATATCACGCTTCCATGCCCAACACGCACACTGTAGCCGCGTGGCTCTTGGGGCATGCGGCTCTATACAACTACCGATGAGGCATGTTCGGTGTGTCCGTCCTTCATGAAAAGTGTCATGGTACCACAAACCGAATTCGCCGAGCCAATGCAAAGTGGTGTATCACGAAATCAAAGCCCAAAGTGTCTAAATATATAGTACCGGTTCCATCACATGGAACGTCTCAATTGCGGCTACCCTCACTGTGGGCGGTGCATGGTCTCCATATGAGCACGTCGCCAGTCCTCGTTGGACCATCTAAACAATATTAGCGAGTTGGCTCCAAGATTAAGCTTCGGTATCAAGGGTTAACGTACATCTTTACCTTGCCATCGTCACCACACGAGGCGAAAAGACACGGGTTCGTAGGGCACCAGGATGTTGAGTTGCATCTGGGGCTGTGGCCGACAAGCCTCTCCACCGGTTGGGCTGTGACTTTGTGCCAGATGTTAATGTAGCCATCTAATATCGGTATTAGTTTGGGAATTTCTTGCTTGGAGGCACCACTAACCTTCACTCCCACTAATAATGAAGCTCTCATCAGCCCCTCCGAATGCACTGCGGATCATAAAATCACCACCCTTGTGGCCCGTGTATGTCTGGACCGGCTCCCGAAGGACGAGGTCGATCAGTTGCGCGATGCCATTCTTCTGATTTACGAGTAGGTGCCGCGAGTTCTGGCTGATAGAAACAGAGGTTAATCGAACTTTGAGATCGATCTTGTACTCAAAGTCCCGAGTACCGAAGTTGTAGACGTGTATGTGGTTCTCGTGGTCCATAGCCACCAGCCAACGCCCGTCTGGGGAGAGGGCCAGTTCTTCGACCCTATGAGGGCTAGCCCAATCGTATATCTTTTCCCCAGAGAGGTTCCATTGCACCAAGCTACGGTTCTTGTCCAGTGAACCTGTGATAAATGAACGGTTGTCGTGGGCCCATACACAACTACTAACTGGCTCTCCGAACCGTTCCAGTCTCTGGAGACATGCGCCCGTCTATACTGATGTCAGTTGATGCGATCTCAGTTCCAGTCATCTTTCGACTCACAGTGGCATCCCATAACCGTGCGTGGCGGTCTTGACAGCAGGTTACAAGCATGGAATCATCCCAGCTCCAAGCGACGTTACCGACCCCAGATTCATGATCTTTTAGAGAATGCAGGACCCTGAATGACGGTACATCCCATATGATGACTTGCTTATCGCTGCCACAGCTGGCTAACTTCGTCCCATCATGAGAGAAGACAACCTGCCATACTTCACCTGAGTGCTCGTCAAGCTCCACGACATCCTCAGTGGGGAATTTGTGCCTATCACAAATATGATCCGAGTATAGTGACGGCGACGCGGCATCCGAATGCCATAAGCACCCCCCAATCTGGTCGTCTTTGACTTGGCGCAGCAAAATAGCCAAACGGTGCTCGGGGAGCATCACGGAGGGTGATACGCATTCTGTGCATGAATCAGTACTTGCGCCGCCATCCGCAACATGGCTAGGTGACCTCCTGACTCACTTGATAGCTCTGACAATAATATCTGTCTTGAACGCCCATCCGCGCCATCCCAATGGGCCTTTGACCTCAGATCCTCGGTGGACTGACACATTATGAGGCTGGAGAGGAAATGAAGTTTCTGCTTATCCTGGTACAAAGGCGTGAGCTCCGTTCTTAGCACCATCAGGGCCCGGCCAGTTTCTCTTTGTTCCAGTAATTCCAGAAATTTCTGTTGCCGTATCCAGAAGCGCATGACATTCCGGTCCGCACCGGGGGCCAGCACTAGTCCGTTGCCGTTCTGATCCTCGACATCACCGGATATAGCCGCCCCAAAGAGGAATTGCTCTGCCTCGGCCCAGGCTCCGTCGAGGATGGCGTTTCTGAAAGAGGCCACGGTAGGGCTTTCGAGTTTGAATCCACTATCCTGACTCACATTCTGTGCGGCAGAATGGTACCCCATGTCTGACAGAGTTTGTATGAGCAGGCGGGTGACCTCCTCCCGATCGTGGCCATAGTACTCGTCCGGCGGTCGAGATTTAGACAACCCATTCCGGGCTACTACCGACTTGTGTGTTCCATTTGCAGCTCCTGTACCCGAAGGTGGTTGACGTGATTTCCCATTGGCGTGAGCTTTGGATGTGCCGTTAGTCGTATTCCTGGCGTCTTCGTCTGCCAACATGGTACTCTCTGCACGCCTGCGTTTTCTTCTAGGGGAGTCTAAAGGGGTGTTCTGCAAAGCAGATGCTTCCAAGGGCGGAGCTCTCGAGCTGGCGGCGTCGTTGTCGTCGTTATCGTCGTCCGAGGCTCGTCTGCGTCTACCCAGGACTTGGCGTTGCACAGGGGACGTCACGTTAACCTGCTGCGTATCGGTAGAGGTGGCGGCGTCGGATTGCGGATTGGTCGGTCGTTGGGGAGGTCTGCTAGTGCTGTTTCGGGCTGAGAAGACGGTCCTGGAGATACTCCTAGGTTGTTGCGTCGTGGAACGATGGTCGGAGGTGGATGGGGTTGTTGAAGGTGTACGGGGGTGTTGGTCTGCCACTGCGACCTTGTTTACTGCGGGCTAGCCTTGAGACTCCCGCAGTGTTGGATGAGGTATAGAAACCTTGAAGTGGGAGAGCGGACGAGGCCGGAGGCGAACGTTGGAAGCTTGTAGGGCAGCTCGATAGACTGATGATGACCGGATGAGATGGCTGACCTCATGTCCAGGCGGGCCATATGAACCTAACGTGGTTATAAACCTCGAGCTAAGCACCGTTCGGGAGAGTATGGTGGTAGGCAAGAAGGTTAGACCATGCCCTGCTTCGGCCCTATCGTATGAAGGAATACTCGAGAAAACAGATCAAGGTAAGGCAGACTTGGTGTTGTTTGAACGTGAAGGTATGCCAGTGGCTCAGGTCGGTCGAGGTGGAGGCCGGCCTTGATGGAACAATCGGAGGTTGAATGAGTGACGGGACAGAGTGGAATGCAGTGGCAGCAGCAGTTCGGCGGTACCTACCAAGGGTACATGGGCAGCATGGATGCCCCTGCCGAGATACCTGGCACAACGCCCGAGATATGCCTGGCAGTGCTGCGATACAGGGCCACGTCAGGTAGCGGCGCTAGTCTACCGGGCGGGGGGTACTTCGACTGGTGGGAGCCAACCAGCGGAGCTGTGGTGACACCCCCATGATGGCTATCGCCTGGAGCTCCCTAGCGCCTTCTCAAACAGTCAAACTTCCGTCAGGTGCAGTCAATGGTCATCCAATTCACCAAGGTTGAAGGTTGAGCCTCCCGACTGCCCCCGTACCAAAGGCAACATCTTGTAGGACTGTACAAAACTGTCTGGTATCAATATGCTACACCGATCAAAGACACGCGCTTGTGGGCGGGCCAGTCTCCTCCTTCCAAGGCCCTTGGGCGTCTTCATCTCCTTGCCCTAACCTTAGAGGCAGTCCGTTGCATCCCCATTGCGGAGGGGCAACTCCAGGACTCACACCCACCCAGCTCTACGATAACGATAACGATAACGATAAGGACTTGCAGCACCCCCCATCAGACACGACTGTGAGCCTGTGACCACGCCCATGGCCTCGTGACCACATCATGTTGGGAGGTTGGGAAGTCCCTCCCGAGTCTGTGTCAGTGATTACTACAACTCAGGTCTGGGTCTGGACCCCTATATCAGATATCATGGAGAATGGTTCGAGACTTCAAGTTAAGGTACATTAGGGAACAATCTCGGAGTAAGCAACATAGAGTGTGAATCCGGGCGAGTTTCAGCTTGATCCGGGGGGAATAATGGCTTTGTTCATCCCAATGAACAGCAGTCCACAGAATCACTTGCGTAACCACCAGAGCTTGATCACGATTTCAGGGGCAGTTTGCTAGGACAGATATTACACCGCTTCTCCGTCCACCTCGAAGGATTTCGTTGTTCGCTTGCCGTAACCATAATGAGTGTAGTCGAGGGGCCTATCCTGTATGGTGGCTTCTTGCATTCATTGCTTCGCATCTCGCACTCGCTCAAATAAAGTGGATACCGCGGAACAATTGAGCACTCAGCTCACTCAGAAACGGCACCAAGAGGAGAATACATATACTGCAGGTACCTTGAGAACCTCTACTTACCAAAACAAAGACTAGACACCTCAGTATTTCAAAATTTACAAGCCGGTTGAGGGCAACAGTTGTTTCAACTACGATACTTTCAGCAGCCCTGCTACCGGTAATATTCCATCTGCTGACGAGAGCTCTTGGCTACTTCACATCAACGACCAATACCTCGAACTACACATTGGCTGAGATCAGATATCCAGAATACAGCGAGCAGCTATTCCGGGTGACAGTTACTGAAGAACACGAGACGACATCTTACCTTGGTCTTGGTAGAGAGCAGAAATCAGCCGGTGGCATAGCAAACAGCGCTGATATCCCCTGACTGCACTTGTATGAAAGAAACGCATCTCGATTTGCGACGTAAATTCTATTACCGGTACAGCAGGGAGTCGAAAGAGAGAGACACCCCCACAGCCAGAAGACGCCTCCAAGAATCAGGAGTCAAGAGTCCTGATTGCGGCACAGTCAGCGTCAGCCAAAAAAAAAAAGAACTCCTCATCAACAAGCCTCACCACCATCTCGAAGAAAATTTCACCTCCAATCACCAGGAGCGTCGAACACGCAACATTCGAAAATTACTCTGAATAAATAATAGACAATCAACACCAAGGCACCAGCAACCAACACGAGAATGTCGCGCTACTTTCCCCACGCCCCCTACGCCGAAGACCAACCCCTAGCCAAAACAATCCTGACAACACACGTTCTAACCCGCGCCGTGACAACGGGCTCCCTGATCGGCAGCGGCATCTTCGCCACGCGCTCTCTGGTCCATTTCATCCGCCGCCCTCCATCTTCCCCATCTCCATCTCCATCTCCATCTCCAACTCCATCTTCTCCATCTACCCACCTTCCCACCAGGGCCAGCACCAGCACGCTATGGACCGTAGGAATAGTCTCCCTAGCCCTAGCCGGCCGCATGTGGGGACGCGAAAAAATCGAGTGGCATGACCGCTCGTGGCGGCTGCTAGAAAATAAAGGGCAGCTGGAGACGGACGATTGGACGTACGGGGGGATGGTTGGCGGTGTGATAATAACAGCAGCGGCGGTAGGAGCGGTGGGGAGACCCGGGCCGGTGGGTGTGGTGGGTTTGCTGGGTGCGGCTGGGTTGGGGAGTGTAGGGGGTATGCTGGGGTATATGGGATGGCGGTATGGGGTGAATAAGGGGAAGTTTCCTGGGGAGTGACACTGTGAAGGAAAGGGGCTGGCTGGGATTATGTTGGATTGTGTTGGGTTGTGTTTTCTTTGAGCGGTGCTGGTCAGAAGTGTTCCTAAGCGTGTGTGTTCTTTCGGCTTTTGGTGTGTGTATGAACTCCTCTCATGGCTGTCCATCTATCAAAAACACTTGACTCATCTCGACCCGAGACCTTTCCACAAGAGACATGCCCTTCTATATGTAATGGCAATAACGCTTCAAGGTAGGCGAAGGTGTTGAAAAACAACTTGATAAGTATTGCTACAAGTGATGTATTCATCACCCATAAACACAGCAATCCAATCCCTGGTTAAACAAGAGTCATAGCCGAGATCCGATGTACTCGAATAAGCAGTATCTAAAAGCCCTCCATCTATCCTATAGCTTCTCTTTAGGTCCTACCAGCTCCTCAACCTTAGCAAACTGGTAGTAATAATCCAGACTCTGCGGGTTCAGCAGCGTCCCACTGGGTTTGATGATCTGGCCAGAGACGATCTGCTTAACCGGCAGCTCGACCTTCTTCAGATTGACCGTTGTCTAGCACAGTCCACAGTCAGCAAAGCCCATCCTCCCTCCTCAAACACACAACTATATTCCTAGGTGGTATGTAGGTACTCACAGGTATCTCCGGCGTCTCAAAAACATACTTCGGCACATGCCTCTTAGTAGTCTCCCTTCCAATCGCCTCCTTCACCCTCCTAACAAGCTTCCGATCAAACCTATGTCCCGGCCGCATCAGCAAGAACAGCATAACACTCTCGTCACTATCCTGCGGCCGCCGCTGGCCCACGCAGATGGCGTCAGCAACCTGCTCGACAAAGTTGCGCTCCAGCACCGAGTAGATCTCGGCGGACCCGAAGCGCACGCCGCTGGGGTTGAGCACGCCGTCGGCGCGGCCCAGGAAGGTTATGTTTTTCGTCGTCGGGTGGAAGACGCAGAAGTCGCCGTGCGCCCATACGTGCTCGTAGCGCGCGAAGTACGCTGCGTGGTATTTTGATCCTGGCGCCGCGAAGGGCCCCGTCTTGTCGCCCCAGAGGAAGGCCGGGACGTTGGGGAAGGAGGCCGTCGCGACGAGCTCGCCCGGCGTGCCGTCGGTGACTTCTTTGCCGAGGCCGGGGGGCAGGAGGGAGTCGTAGAGCGCGATGGGGATGCCGAGGGCGGCGCCTTGGATGCCGCCGACGTAGACGGGGGTTAGTTGGTTTCCTGTGGCGAAACATCCGGCCTGGGAAGTGAGTTAGCGGTCAGGGGTAATGATTCTCATCGGAAAAGAATCCTTTAACGTACGATATCTGTCCCTCCCGAAACGTTGGCCAGATGGACATTGGCCGGAAACCCCTTGTCGTAAACCCACTCGAATAACTGGTCTGAAAGCACCATTCCCGTCGACGTGACAAGACGCAGACTGGACAAGTCAGTGATCTCCCTGGGAGAGATACCAGTCTTGGAGATCTCGTGGAGCCACCGGGGGCTGGTCCCTAGTTTGGTCACCTTCTGATCGCCCAGTAGCTTGATGAACGTCTTCAAGTCCGGCTGGAAGGGCGATCCGTCGTAGAGCACGACTCTCGCCCCTATCAGCAGCTGTCCGACATTCGCCAGATACATAATCCAGCCCGTGGTTGTGTACTGGAGCGACACAACATCTGACTTGCCGTCCTCGTGAAGACGGCACTCCTTGATGTAGTTCAGCAGGACACCGCCAACTGAATGCACGATGGCTTTTGGGATGCCAGTTGTGCCTGACGAGTAGCAGATGAGGAATGGCTCGTGGAAGGCGAGCCTTTCGATGGGTGGAGGAGAAGAAGATCGCTTGTCGAGGAACGACTGAAGAGTCTGTGTCCTCGGGATGCTGCTTATGTCCAAAGCCTCCTTGAACCGACGAATCGAGACCATGCCGGAGAATTGGTCACAACCCTTCATTCCAGCCACTACTTCGCCCATCTTCTGACGCAAATCCCATTCCCGTCCGTTGTATAATGCTGCATCGTCCATGAATATATACTGTCCATGTTAAGCAAAACGCCTCGTTAGTGGTGGAAAGGAGGGACACGAACCTTGGGGTTGATCTGGATAGTCCGCTGCAATATCCCCTGAACGCCCATATCCGTCGACGAGCTACTGAACATGGCGCCCAACCAGGAAGTAGCATTGAAGAGGACCAGCGTCTCGACACTATTCGCACCAACAACAACTATGCGGTCCCCACGTCTAACACCACCGGCGTAGAGAGCAGCAGCATAGCTAGCCGACAGTTCCCGGAGCGTCGCCCACGTCACATCCCGCACCTCGGTCACGCCCTCGCGGACTTCAGTCAGGGCAACCTTGCTGTCCTCCTTGCCGACCGTGCCACGGTGCTGTGTGGGATCAGCGGCGCTGCGACTCCAGATCAGGTTCTCGACGTAGCTGAGGGAGACACCCTCGTACCAGCGCGGGATGGCGTCGACGGGTTTGCTCTCGTCCACCACCTTCGTGTACGAGCCCGTGTGGATGAGATCTAGATACTGGAAGAGTTCGTCGTAGAAGTCGGAACGCTTGTCGACAGAGAACCTGTAGAGGTCTTGGTACGTCTGATATATGTCAGTCATAAGCACCTTTGCATGTGTCCCTTGCATGTGTGGTCACACTCACCTTGAGATCTAAGTGGTACTTCTTGTTGATGCGTTGCATAAACTGCCACACTTGCGTCGTCGTGGGATTGGGGTGTTCCCAGAGTTTCCGGGGAATGGCAGCCATCTTCTGTGTAAGGCAAGCGAAGAGATACAGTAGGCCGTCTGCCCCCGCGAGTTCTATGTGGTCTTTCGCCGGGAATCCTCGACTGAAGCTGACTGGTGGCTCCTGCCTATACTCGACACAATTCCACCTGCACGACTGGCTCGACAAGCAAAGACAACCAACACTTCAGTGAATCTATGTAAGACCAGGCTTGTCTACCTAGGTTTGTCAGATGGCCGTGCAAGTCTGACACTTACTAATATGCAGTGAGGGAGTCGGGTGAGTATGAGGAGATGGATCCCCGCACTTCCCCAACCACTCCGCATGTTCCGACTTCAATCGTACACCTCACCGTCTTCGATTTGTACTGGTTTGTTGGAAAAGAGCTGGCCATAATTAGGACTTGTTGTTCCTGGGTTCCGGTCTCTGGACTGTGCCGTGGCGTTCAAACAGAGCATATGCTAGAATCTTTTGGTGAGCAGCGCTGCCTTTCGTTAGTGCTACATCCGATACTGAAATCTCCAGTCCTTGATGCTCTCGCCAGCATCGCACATGGTAGCGGCGACTTGGTTGAGAGCTCCGCCTACTGAGATACTCACTCCAGGCTCCATTTCCTCGACGAAGTCGACCAGCTCCTCATAGAGCTTCACCAAGAAGTACTCCCCATGAGCCGACTCAACAGCCGCCGCCGCCGCCACCAGGTTGCGCAAGCCCATCTTTACCGTCCTCCCCAGCAGGAGCAGACAGCCCGCCATGAACCATGGGAGCGGGTATATCGCGTCGCGGAAGAGCTAGGACCGAGGGTTATTCATCTCCCCAGCGCGCTCCTGTGCTATCAAAGCCTCCAGGAGCCGCTCACGCTGTAAGCGTTCATGTCTTCGACGGGCCATGCCATGCATTGAAATACATACTGGAGCCCAGAATGACCAGATTGGGCGTGGTATTCAACCTGGTCGCGCTTCGAGATGCTTGCCGGCAGGATCACGTAGCGACAGACAAGTATCAGAATCTTGTGACTCATACCTGGAGTAAAATATGCAGAATTTGACGATAAAGCAGCCACACTGCAAACTCTAACCCAGCCTATCGGCTATCGCTCACACATGGACAGCCGTGCAAGGCATATATAGCACTCCAATGTGTTGATTTGGTAGCCGGGTTGGTACGGTCTAGCGAAATATTCTTACAAAGTATTCTTAAAGGTATTCTTAGGCACAGCGGTTCGATTCCTCTAGCGGCTGAAATCTTTCTTCTTTTGTACCTTCCTCCCTTGCCCTCTGCCCCCTTTTTTTGGTTCGTTCCTGCCACCGCACACCAGACTTTCTCGCAGTTTAGGCTGTTATAATCGTGCAGAAGTCAACCAAGAAGGCGATATCATATTGGAGGTGGTCTGGCGCTCGTAGCCCTTGGGAACCCGATATTCGCCAATGGCATGCCCAGCGTCCTCGACGACGATGTCCAGGCGGTTGAGCCAGTCTGCACGCTGGCACAACTCCTTGACGCGTTCGAAAGAACCTGAATCCACCTGCCAGACCTCGACGAGTCCTTGTCTCCCGGAAGACACATGGATGTCGACCTTTGCGGCTTCCCCTTCTCAAAATATCGACATCCCAAGAGATGAGTACGCTGGTCTGGGAGGAGCGGATGGCGAAGACTCGGGTGATGGGGATGAGGAGCTTGTCAAGGAGATGATAGATGATGCGGCTGGCAACGACAATGATGAGGGCAAGCTTGCTGGGCTCTTCGCGTAAGTCACTGATTGAACTGACTGTGTGTGCCATGGACCAGGCGCTGACTGTCACAGGGATTACTTGTCATGCGTTCAGGCCTGCAAATGATCGCGGAGCTTCGAGGCCCAGACGGTCGGTGCCCCGGTGATTATGATCGTCTCGCCAGTGCCGTCAGTGTACTGTTTGGTATAGCGATGGCATGCATGGGGATAGGTTCTCGCATAAGGGTACTTTACGAAATTAGTTGGTTCTGGTCGGCAGAATGGCTGGCACTCATGGCTCAGGGTACTTGCAGCACATACCGACGTGGGAATACCGCAGCGGACTGCGGGTGCACATCTTCTTCGGGCTTCACGCCAATACCAGTCTCTGCGTTGTCAAGCTGCTCGGCCTGCCATTTCCGGACGTCTCGGTGGTAACTACGAATCCTATACCACAGGCCGCTGCAACAAACCAGGCATGGGGGAAAGGGACGGTGCGGGTGCCAGTGCTGATTGTTGCCTTAGGAACCACACACACAGGATCCTGGCTCAACCAGGTAACCCAGGGAGATGGGGAGATATATCTAAATGTGAGAAAAATTCAGCGTCAGACGTTCCCGTGCCTATTCTGCAGGGTAGTCGTGGTAAAAGTAATCCCCAAGATAACCGAAGGGGGTTTAAATTCCGGCAGTAGGAGCCGAGCTTGTCTTTACCTACTGTTCTTTTTGCAATCCAGTACAATTTCTGGAGGTCTGGAGTTCAATGACATCTGTGCTCTCTTTTATTTTCATGTTGGGAGCTAATCTCCATTTCCCACTGAAGTATGTTTGCCTCCTCCCTCCGTATTAACCCCCGGGCCCCATCCTTTGCAACTTCACGGCTTCATGTCGCCAGGCAGAGGCCTGCACGAGGTGTTTTCCCTGAGAAACAAGGTAATAGGCCCTCTTTCCAGATCCCGCGAGCGTCTCGCTCCATGACTGCCCTCTTCGCCTACGAGCACGATTCGCCATTGCGGCGGCTCGAACACGAAAACAACCCTCGACATATTCAGCCCGTTTACTTTAAATCCGGGCAAAATCCAATGTCGCCGGTTTGTAGGACTGTTCTCGTAGCCTCTGAGTTACAATAGGCCCTGACCCTGCTGTCGCCTGTAAACAATTCCGCTCGAGGGGGGAAACCCGGTACGGCCACGGGTCTCGCAGATGCGCGCCGGCATCGCACCGATCTCTACCCGCAATGTCACCGACCAGGGTTTCTAGTCTCTTCCCGGTACCTCGGTACCTTTTCGACTCTTTACAGAAGTTTCGACTCGCGTATGATGTTGTCGTTGCTTGCTTGCTGGGAACTTTTCGCTGGCGACTCAGGTCCCACGACACCGTAGTCGGGCCTCGTGAGTTCAGGAGGTCGGTTTTTTTTGGAACCCACGTCACGCGCATCGGCAGATCCGGTCACGTATGTCCAGTTTGGCCGCGTCTCTCCGGTCGCGATAATGTGCAGTGCTGCAGTAAGCATGTCACAATGTCCCGGTCCCGGTCCCGGTCTCGCTCCAAAGCAGGCCGAATCGGTATACCCGCCGAGCTACGTCAATTGGCGGGATGGACCTCCTTTTTCATATTAGCCGCCATGCAGAGCTCCCGAGTCCCGTCACCCCCACAAGCGTGCCAACCCCAAAGACCCCTCATGTCCTCACATGGAGATGCATGGGGATGAAAGGACCCCACACCCAATATGAGAGGGACGGGTATGTTGAGGCGACTGTCGGTTGTTGATAGAGTAGTCTATCTATCATACACCAGATAGTACAGGTCGTCTTCTCACTCTTCTGAATCACAAGTCGGACATCTCCTTCACCTACCTCGAAAAACCTGGAGCCAGTGTGTTAGTTATTAAGAGGACCATTACACCACAATGGAGGTCAAAACCGGCCTCATCCTAGGCTACAACGGGGTCCACCCCTTCTCCAAAGTCAACATCACCGACCGCGCCTCCGTCCAGGAACTCCTACGGACCCTCCTCGACCCCCTCGAGCCGTTCTTCTCGCCGCTGAAAGCCAGAGTGAAATGCCCCGGTGCCACAGCCGTCAGGTTCGACCAGACTGCCTCGGAGGTCGAGGGCATCTGTCGACCGCTCTGGGGCCTGGCGTGTCTCCTGGCCGGAGGGGGCGACTACAATGGCACCGAGTGGTGGATCCAGGGAATCAAGGCGGGGACTGATCCCGAGAGCCCTGAGTACTGGGGATATCCGCGTGACAATGATCAGAGAATGGTGGAGATGTGCCCCCTCGGTAAGTTAAGGAGGTCCATTGATGCTATGAGTCCAGCTTAACTGACGAGTAACTAGGCTATGCGTTGGCCGTGGCGCCTGTTATCTGGCAGTCGTTGAACGAGAAGGAGAGAGGGAATGTCGAAAATTGGCTAGGCAACTCGATCAACGAGAAGAAGTAAGACGACCAAACGACTCCCTGAACTGTCGAGAGACTGATAAGTGCCCTGTCCAGTATGCCCAACACCAATTGGCTCTGGTTCCGCGTTTTCGCCAACCTCGGACTGAAGAAACAAGGAGGGAAGTTCTCCCAAGAGAGGCTAGATCGTGACATCGAACATCTGAACACCTTCTATCGCGGAGATGGGTGGTCGAACGACGGTCCGGAGGGCATCCATCGTATGTACTCAAGTGCTGCCTAGGAGTGAACTGTCCGAATGCTGACGAAAATTTGCGATAGAGATGGACTATTATTCGTCGAGTTTTGCTATTCAATTCCTGCAGCTACTGTACGCGAAGTTAGCCGGTGAGGACGAGCCAGAGCGTGCTGCAGAGTTCAAGAAGCGCGCTCAGGTGGTCGCTCTTGACCTGATCCACTACTACGACAATGAAGGTATGTACATACCCTCCCGACGCCTCTCTCCTGAAATCTAACACCGAATAGGTCGTTCCATCCCGTTCGGTCGAAGTGTAGGCTACCGTTTCGCCATGGTCTCTTTCTGGGGTGCCATGGCGTACGCCGGAGTCGAGCTCCCAGAGCCCCTTACATGGGGAATGGTGAAGGGCGTGGTACTACGCCATCTGCGATGGTGGCAGACCCAGCCCGACATATGGAGTCCAAGCGGAACTCTGACGATTGGGTATACGTTCCCGAATATGTATGTGAGTAGAAACATATCCCAATGCTGTTATACAAAGCATTTCGCTAACACTGTATAGTTGGCCGAGAATTACAACAGTCCGGGGAGTCCAGTGAGTCATGCCTCGATATTCTGACCATGCTCAGATCTAATGGTGTCACAGTACTGGGCATGTCTGGCATTCATCTGCCTCGCTGTGCCCGCAGATCACCCCTTCTGGACATCCGAAGAACAGCCCCTGGGAGATGCCCTCCCAAAGATAAAGGAATTAAAACAGCCGGGTCACATCATGAGGTGGGCATCCAAACCCGTGCCCTATGCTCTCCTACCCCCAACAATGGCTGACCCCCAACCCCCAGCTATCTCGGCGGCCACTGCATGCTCCTCTCATCAGGCCAAGCCTGCAGCTACCCCATGAAAGGCACGCACGCCAAATACGGCTCCTTCGCCTACAGCAGCGCCTACGGCTACAGCGTGCCGCCGGGCCTCTTCACGCTCGAGCAGTACGCGCTCGCCTCGCAGCTCGGGCTCTCGGACGACGGCGGCGAGTTCTGGAAGGCGCGGCGGGTATCCGAGTACGCGGGCCTCGAGCACCGTCCCCACGATGATGACCCCAACGGCAAGGGCAAGGGAAAGAGCACGACGCCCGTGCTCGTCTCGGTCTGGAAGCCATTCCCCGACGTCACCGTGCGCACGACGCTCGTCCCGCCCGCGGAAGAGACGCCCAACTGGCACCTGCGCGCGCACCGCATCGACGCCGCGGGCCGCGCCGTCATGACGGCCGACGGCGCCTTCGCGATCTCCAACGAGCGCCGCGCCGACGGGCGCTACCTCGACGCGTGGGACGCCACCAAATGCGAGGGCACGTCCCCGCGCATCATCGGCAACTACGACCTCGCGACCCCAGAAGGGTGGGCGGGCGGCCGGCAGGGCGCCTTCGCCGTGTCCAAGGGCGCGGTGGGGATTCGGGCACTCGAGGACATAGAGGGAAAGAAGAAGGTGGGCAGGTCGGCGATGCTGGTCAATGCGGACCCGAACTCGAATATCGTCGAGAGCCGCACCTTGATCCCGACGCTGCAGCATACGGTTGGCAAGGGCGAGGTGGTGTGGTATGTTTCGGCCATCTATGCGAAGCCGTCGGGCGAGGGCGTGGCGCCCGAGTCGTACCTGGATGGCTGGGAGAAGGTGCCCGAGATCCCGGCGTGGTTGAGGGCTGAGATGGAGGAGTGATGTGGGCTGGATAGGGGATTGTGTGACAAATTGGATACATACTGGAGTGTTTGTTTGACTTCTTTCGCTGTCGTTTCACTTGACTAGGAGCCACTGATCAATTCATCTCGAGATGACACACTGACAAGGAAGCTTCTATGTACACGGGAAATCGAGTATAGGGAGTTATGAAACAAAGGGGTTCACAGCTTTTCGCTCTGTGCGGAGAATCAAGACTATAAAAGACAAAAGGACCAAAATTTTTTTTGGTCAGCCGCTAGGGGAATCGACCCGCTGTGCCTAAGGATATAGAATAAGAATACTCCGCTATTCGCTAGGCCGTACCAACCCGGCTACCAGACTGACCTGATAAATTCGTATATATATCCTATGCCGTAGGGTGAGGAATAGGGGGCTGGGCTTTAAGCTTTGTGGCGGCTTGGAAACTTTGCCTAGACTGAGTCTACTCATGTGAGCTTAGCTTGCAAAGTCATGTACGGATGTGGATGGCTGGCTGGCTGGCTGGCTGATGGATGGATTGACGGATGGTACGAATCGCCGATGTTGAATGCTTCTTTTCATTGCCCCTTCCTAGTATGACCTGCCGGATTCATGTACCTAACGCCGTTGAGCCATGCATGCAATACTCTTAAACTGTCCAAATCAGACCGAATGTTCTAATGAAGGTCGCCCAAGGTCATCTTTATTGGTTCATGTCTGGACTCCAGGGTCCAATTCCTCCATATCCGCGCCATCGAGCGAGCACAACTAGGGCTGGGCGAAATCGTGGAGGAATCTGACTAATTTCTCAGCACCCGCAAGCGGTATACAGTTGTAATTGCTTGCTCTTATGCCGCCAACGGACCGGTGACCTTTGAGCCCGGTGAGGCCGAATGATGTTCCTAACTTGAGGAAGTATGCCTCGGCTTTGTCGGTATCGTTGTCCTGTGACACGAGTCAGCGATTAACAGGAGATGGTCCAGGCGGGCTTGGTTGGGTGAACAGTCAACAGTAAAGACGCAGGGTCGCATAGATAGCTGGGGCAATATGGTGGCACTAACCTTGGTTACACGGAAACAGATGTTCATTCTTGAGCGTGCTGATTTGTCAGGTACGATCTTGTAGATATCAGGGTGTGCCTCAAGCGCTCCGTATATGAGTGCTGCTTTCTTGTCCGCGATTGCCTGTTGACCGTCGACTTTGTCAGGGAACGTTTTGAGCAGCTTCTTGAGTACCTGGCCTGCTATGTAGACACTATGGGACCATGTCAGCAAAATGGTAGCGTATTGAGGTTACACCAGGACTTACTCAAAGATGCTAAGAGTATTGTACAAGCTGTTGTTCTTTGCGATGGTCTCATACGAGAAGACAACCGGCGGAATGGGGAGACCAAGCTTTCTCATCAAGCTCGGTGACGGCTGCGGGCATGCTGGTGGCAGAAGGCTCTTCTTGATGACAACGACCGTAACGCCAGTGGAACCGAGGTTCTTCTGTGCGCCGAAGAAAATGACAGAGAAGTTCTTGACGGGTATCCTTCTCGACAGGATGTTGGAAGACATGTCTGCAACGACTATGGGCCCAGTGCCATCAGCTTTGGGAGCCAGCACATCAGGAAACTTTGGGAACTCGACGCCGTCCACCGTCTCGTTGTCGCAGTAGTACACCATGGCAGGGTTCTTGGACAGCTTCCAGGTGCTCTCTTCAGGTATCTTGCCGAACTTGCCATCGTTTATCGGCCGAGAGTCGGTGGCTATGTTGGTGTGCTCGGGACCCAACAAACGACCAGCTTCCTGATAGGCTTTCAGAGACCAACTGCCAGTCACTAGGTAGTCCAGCTTCAGCTCGCTCTCGACGGCTTTCTTGAGTGCCGACACAAGCTCTTCCTGGTTTGCGTCTTCCTCGCTCTTGACCCCTAACTGCTCCAATATCTCTGCCTTCTTCCTTGTCACCCATGCACCGACGAGGTTGTAGGCGGTAGCGGAAAACTCGCCGCTTCCGCCGCCCTGCATGAATAGGATGTCGTAGTCATCGGGAATATCGAGGTATGACGCCAGATCGGCCTTGGCGTTGTTGATGATGTCGGTGGCATGCTGGGATCGATGCGAGTGCTCAGCGATGCCCAAGCCGGTGTGGTCATAGTCCAGCAGAGCTTTTGCGGCGTTCTCGAGTACGTCGGTTGGCAGCAAGGCGGGGCCGGCGCCGAAGTACGTCACCTCTTCTCTGGAGGGCATCTTGCAAGTCGGCCGGGATAAGCGACAAATACGTAACGTTATGGGTGATCAACTAGCCAAAGCAAGCAAGTAAATCTGCAGAATGACAAAAGACTGAAGAACAGAATACGCGACGCGAAGGAGTCATTCAGGTCGTCATGTCGATGAGCGGAGGGGCTGCATTGTCGCGAAAATGCAGGTGCCCAATTGGGAGAATGGCTAGCAAGACCCCTCCTCCCCGACGTCGGATGCAGAAAAGAACAAAGGCTGCAGGTGCTCGTTCGCTCTTGCTCATAATTCACAGCACCAAGCTCTCATGTTGGCTCCAGGTACCTTACCGGCAGCCCGGCGATGGTCGAGCTTGCTGATTCTCTACATATTTTCAAATATTATCACCCAGTGAGTAGCTGTGCCGTCTTGAGGAATGCCTTCTGTTTCCGAAGCCAGGTCTGTGTTTAACAGCCAGCCCGCCAACCTGCCGCTTACCCGGGAATACTACCGTAGCATCACCAGCATGACGCGACTCCAGGATTCCCCAGATTCCGCTAATAAGAATGGCCCTTGAAAGAAGAAACCGACAGGCTCCTCCTGCAGCGTGGGGTACGTGACCGCTCGAAACCCTCAAGTTTCAACCATGATGTGTGCGACACAGGACGTCGTAGGTATCGCCGCGCATCAGTCTGACAGCGTTGTTGCACTGCATCTGTCATATCCGAGATGGCATCCGAGATCTCGACGGATGGCACTGCGGCCGTGTCGTAGATCTCGAAGATCTCAAAAGGCTTTGCCTGGCTTGACTGGCTTGCCTGGCTGCCTTGCCTGGCTGCCATGCTCTCATCTTACTCAGATTAGTAGACGCTGTCGTGCTGTTTCCGGTCACAGCAACCAAGCGGTTCCCGCCTATTCTGACCATTCATCGCCGTTGTCAACCGCTTCCCTTCGGACCTTCTCAAGCTCTTCATACCCACTCGGGCAGCTGAATGTGCGAATGGGTTAACTATGACCCTACACTCCAACCATTTATGCATGAACTCCCGGGGCGCTGATTGGAGCCGACGAGCAGACGAGGTAAGGCCATGTTACCCAAAATCCTCGCGACGAGGCAAACTCAGTGACAGAACGGGATGGACTGGCAGTGCAGGAGAGTAATACCGCGAGATATTGCAATGCGCTCTTGCCGTCGAAGTAATATTCGAGTTGCCTTAATGTGCCATGGACCGCAGACAAAACCGTCGAAAGCGCCTGCCTCGTCAATGAATGTCACGAGTCCGACGGCTGCGTGTTCATGCAATGTGCGAGACGAAAGACAACGACGACGAAGACGACGATCGAGCAGCGCTCTTGCTATTAACCCACAGTTGGACAGCAGGTCTGATATCTGCGGCCGCCGCTGTCGCTACTGGATGTCAGACCTTGATATTGTCTGATTTGGAATTTGCCGCCCCTGCTGCCGTGTTTCCAGCGAAAGATAGGAGAAAGAAATGTCCGAGAGGAAGCAGGCCGGGGCCGAGCCAACATCGGGCCCAGCACGACACACCCATAATGGCCATTCCGTGCCTGCGGCGTCTTTCCGTGCGTGAACTTATTTATTACCTTTTCCAGAGCTAAGCCACTTTACCTTGCCCTTACCTGCCCTGTCTTTTGTCTTACATATCACTTCTTCCTACAACCTACAACCCCGGGAGAACACGAAACCCCCGTCATCAAAAACACCCAAATACCTGCCTCAATTGCGCATTCATATCCACGGCTTTGCGCTGTCTGAGATGACCATTGCCGTGCCCGTGCTCGTGGCCGTATGCCGCTCCGACGCCGACAGCCCGACTAATGAATAGCGTAGCGACGCACAACTCCCCACGAACATGGTTCCTGACGTCTTCGCTCACCCCGCTCGCCGTGCGCCTGATACGACAATTGCTCACCCACGGTGACTACGTCGTCGCCTGCCTGCCGCCGCAGGAGATCGACCATGACGACCGCAGCGCCGAGTTCCGCGAGCTTGTAAACGAGTGCAAGAGCAATCGCAAGGACCGTGAGGGGTGGAAGGATCGCATACGCGCCATACGCTGCGATGGCCGCATAATGAGCCAATGCGGTGCTGCCGTGGCAGAGGCCAAGCATGCATTTGGCCGCATAGACATCCTGCTGTGCTGTACATCTGAAGGTACGCAAGCCTCGGAGTTACTTATTGCCCATATATCCTCTGCGCTGGTGCAACATGCTTACCAGGTGTACTTGCGAAACAGCCATTGTCGGGACAGTCGAGGAGCTATCTACATCCCCCGCAACGCAGAACCTGGTGCGCGACCAGTTCGAGACCATATTCTTCTCCCAGGTGAACTTCATCAAGGCCTCGCTTCCGACGCTACGCGCCCAACATACCGGTCACATTCTGCTCCTTTCGAGCATTGGGGGTCACATAGGCACTCCCGGAATGCCGATATATACGGCTGCGACCTGGGCTCTGGAGGGCTTCTGTGATTCGCTGGCGTACGAGGTCGCTCCGTTCAACGTCAAGGTGACGATTGTGCAGCCTCACAAGGAGATCCAGTCCCTTACGAACAAGATTGTCTTCTCACCGCCACTGCCGCATTACGATAGCGAGAACAACCCAGCGCCGAGCGTCCGGGATATGCTCACCAATGTACTCAACCTGAACCCAGAGACGGCCATTGACTCCGCGGAGACGGAAATCCTGCAAAGATACCCCAAGCTTCCACCGGCGTCAGTGGACCGGCTGGTTGCCGAGACAGTCCATGCCTTGACGGCGATTGGCGGTCACGAAAACCCTCCTGCGCGCCATATTGTGGGCTTTGAGGGAGCAGAGGCCGTGAAAGAGAAGTTGAAGACAGTCACTGAAGAGCTGGAAGACTTTGTTGAGGCGAGTGTAGCTGTCGACATCTTCGAGAGCGAACTGAAGAATGAGGCAAGACAAGGCAAGGCGAGGATGGACGAGACAGGTGGCCCGTCAAGCGCCTCTGGCTCCTGAAGTTTCTGTCGCTTAAATATCTGTTGGACTGTACTGGGGAGTAGGCTCAGGTGGACCGTGATGTATTAATTTAGTGTGGAGTCAGTAGGACACCGGTGTGCGTGTATGGATTACGGGAGAGGACACCCCCGAGTTAAAGAGACCGAATTGTAGCACATGACCATATGACGCGATGCATGGCTACGCAAAGTGTTGAACCTCTTAATCAGTACACTTACCACAGTAAATTTATAAAACTACCCTCCGATCCGTAAAAACCTACCCTCCAAATCAGCCAATCACAGCACGTGCATCTAGCGCTCAGCCCCCCTAAAGCTCAACACCACCACCTATCACCACCATCACCACCACCACTGCGATCGAAAGGACGCATTCACAGATGGGGGGCTCGTACCGCCCCAAACCCCCGGCTAACCCTAACCACTAACCCTAACCCTAATCCTAATCTTAACCACGTGGATACCTGGTAAAATCATGTTAAGTACTTCTAGTTAGGTGGAAAACGCACGCAAATTGAAGTACTTGCGATGTGGTAGGCGGTGCGCAGCCAATTAAATCGTCGGGATGGCTTCTGAATGCGGTCAAGAGGGTAGGTTTTTACGGATCGGAAGGGGTTATCTGGTTGATTGCGTAGAAACCCCATCTAACGTCTAAAAGTTGAAAAGCGTAGGGGGCGTGAACAAGCCCCTGAATGCCGCCCGCCGGGTGGGCCCTGTCCAGCTCACTGGGTGCCCGCTGATTGGCTGAGGTGCTGGCGCCTTGGCCATGGGCGCACGAGGCTCACCTGCAGACTGCAGTGGATTGAGTTTCACGAGTTCGGCATGCTTCAAGTTCCATCCCGCTAGTGAACTCGCAAGCTTCTATAATCAACATTCAGCATTTTCCCGAAGAGCGCAAAGCTGCATCTCGCGGGCTTCCTAGGTATTGCGAGCACGAAGACGCTTCCCAACAGCAAATTCGGTGCCCCCGCAACGGCTCCCAGCCTCGCAACGGAACGAACAACGACTTGCGACCTATCGATACCTTCTCCCTCCCTCTCTCGAGCAGACCATGCAAGTGCCATGTCATGTAGGCGAGCACCAAACTCCATGATAGGATGAGCTTGGATTCCATGCTACCCATCGCTCCGGCGAGGGTAAGAGCTCTTGTCCTGCCCATCGGCCAGATAAAACAGGAGCGCTTCTCGACTTTCCTCCAGAGGCTCAACCAGGAACATGTCGTTCAACTTCGCGACATCAGCGTCGATGGCCGGCCGAATCGAAGTAAGACGCAGTGGCACGAGTCCTTCTACTTGAATAGCATCGGAGCTGACGCTTTCGAAACATAGACATGTTCTCTCCCCTCGCATTCCCCGACGGCGCCATGTTCTACGACCTGATCACCTACGTCCCGCCCCCGTCGCACCTCGCTTTGACCCCGTTCGACTCCTTTCGCGAACCTCTCGCCGTCATCGCAATCGCCGACGGTGCAGAACTTGAAAATGTGGCCTTCAGCAAGAGGCAGTCAGCCAACGGCTACGCCTCGACAATGACCGAGAGGAATATTCGCACGCTGTATCAGGAGCTGGAAGAGTTGAGGGACATGTATCCCAAGGTGCTCACGCACCAAGTGCTGATATTCGACTATATGGCGCCGGACGAATCTGCCATCTCACTGCCCGAAGGTATCAAGACCATTCCCACACTCGAGCAATCAAAAAGGACTACAATGAAGACCATCATGTGCGATATATCATCCCTCTTGCTGGCAGAGATGACCACTCTTGCCAAGTGCTTTGAAGCCATGACAGCTATCGACTCTCCTGGCCAGGCGCCTACTCGCCCGGGAATGAACGGTGCCAGCAATTGGACATCAGACGATGCGAACCCAGCAGCGAGGCGGAACTCGCAGTTCTCCATGTCTACCGTGACTAGGTCGGCATCAACAAGCGGGGCTGCGGATAGGAGCCAGGCCCGCATGTCGATGCCAGTGCCGTTCAAGTCACTTCCGTTTGGCTCCAACAGTTCGGCACCCTCCGCGCGGCCAACGACCCCTGTTCGGAGCGGGCTGTCCGGCCCGCCCACCACGTTTGATGACATTGCGCACGCGAACGGGAGTCACTCGAACGTGACAAGCCCTGAGCGCAGACCACCTTCTCGTCCAGGAAGCTCCGAGGGCATCAAATCGTCCAAGCAAGACAAAGTCTCGGTGCAAGGTTTTGGGCCCGGTGGACTGAATGAGAGGTGGAGGAATAAGGGCAAGGGGCGAGTGCAGATTCTCGTAGGATCTTTATACCTACAGGCTGGACGCTGGACCGATGCGCTGAGAGAGCTGATCGAGGGTGCAAGTGTCGCAAAGTCTATCAATGATCACTTATGGCACGGCAAAGCTCTTGAGCTGATCACCACGAATCTCATACTGCTTGCCTGGGCGGGCATCGAGTTTCGAGTCCCCACCATCTGCCTCTCTCCCAATGAGAAGACGCCTTCCAGCATATCCAAAGCGCCCGATGCCGAAGAGGCAGACCCCTTCCAACCTAGGCACCTACGTGAGCTACAGGCTATTCTCCCAGAACTTTCCGAGAGAATAATAGGGCTATATTCGAGGATATCAGGCGAGCAGCTACCGCCGTTACCACTCTCAGAGACTGCCATAAGGTTCTGCAATATGCTCACAGCCCTTCATTTGTGTGAAGGCAAGCTTGACAAACAATCGTTGAACATCATGGTTTTTGGCAAGTTCCCCGACAAGGTTATGACTACATCACCCCGTCTTACTATTACGCCACCGCGAGGACAGATCACCAACCTTTTGTTTAAGGCGTTTCCTTCGTCTGCGCCCGAGATGCTCACTACGGTGGACCGTGCCATGATCCTCAGTGGTATTGCCGCTGTTCTTGGGACCTTGGGGTACCACAGAAAGAAAGCTATGGTGATACGGGAACTAGTTTCGGTATTGATTGGAGGACTGGTCGAGGCGAGGACCAGAGGCGCTGCAGAAGTAGGCATACACCCCGCAGCCGGTCTGGTCGCACTCAATGCTGTCAACAGGCATGGCAATGGAGCAGGGGCTCTTGAACTTGGTGAAGGTGACATTGAGCATGGTATTGACGCTTTTCTGGGATTGTTATGCAAAACCTATGGCGTCGTCAGCTTCGACGATCCCTCTAAACAGTACACGGCCGACTCGCCCCCAGCCAGTGACACAGATGAGAGTGTCATTTCAAGAATCCAGGGCCAGTCCTCAGCTAGACAGTTTGGGATGACGAATGTCAAGCTCAATATCCTTCGGGCTTGCATCCATTTCTCCGAGGCGTTACCAGACTTTAATGGAGTGCTGAAATTCTCGAGCGATCTTCTGCGTACTGCCGGAAGTGGCGTCGCACCGGGTCCGCGACGGGAAGATGCAGCTCCCATAATCTCAAGAGATGAACAGGTCCGGCTATCTACAAATATCTCCAAGACTTCGAGCATATCGCAAAGATTAGGACTGGGACACTTAGCCGCGGAATACTGGGACGAATTTTTAATACGAGGCATCACACTGGACCCCCTGCCGTCTACAAGGACGCCGATACCGCACTCCAAGAACGTCTTACCGGGTGTGACAACCGCGCGTACTTCCCAAGACGTCAACCCTTTTATCTATAATCCGTTTTTGAGAGCGCCGGACAAGGCAGCAGTCGAAAAGACACTTGTTACTGGAGAGGCGGCTGTGTTCAAAGTCATACTCCAGAACCCATTCGAGATCGACGTGGACATTGAGAGCATCAAGCTAGACACCGAAGGGGCCGACTTCGAGTCTGCAGTCATAGGCACCGTCATAGGGCCTTATCGCACCCAGATACTGAAGCTTTCCGGTACACCCAAGGCTGCAGGCTCGTTGAAAATCACTGGAGCCATTGTACGAGTGCGAGGATGTCGCGAGAGGAGGTTTCCCATCTTCTCGCAGGCTTGGGCACCCGACACTGAGGAAAAGATCAAAGGCATTGGCCTAGCCGCGTTGGAACAAACCGAGGTCCTGTCTCCTCCAGGACCAGCGTTGAAACCTGACAGCATTGGGTTGAGCGTGATATCGGCTCAGCCTGTCGTCATTGTCAAGTCAACGAGTCTTCCACTATCCTCTGTCATGATCTTGGAAGGAGAGCAACATACATTCTCCGTCACATTGCAAAATCTCTCACCAACTACGCCAGCAGATCTTCTGCTCTTCTCCTTCCAAGATTCCACACAAGGCCCGCTGCAAAGTGCCCTCACGAACAGAGAAGCTACCTCTGCCGAACTATACGAATACGAGTGGGTGCTTGCTATGAAACAAGCTCTACGACTACGCAAGATCGATGACTCCAAGAGATACATTGCTCCTGGCGCAACGGCAACTTTTGAATTCGAGATACTTGGGAAACCTGGGCTCACGAACGGGGCAATTCAGATCGACTATGCGTACCTTGGTGTGCCTCCGTCTGAGATCAGCAGCCAGTTTCATACTCGTCAGGTCTGTCTAGACCTTGCCATCACAGTAAATGCCAGTGTAGAGCTGGCGAGGGTGGATGTGTTGCCCATGCAGACCAAGGTGCCGAATCCGATCTGGCATCGTTCTGGCTCACAGGGGGCGGATGCTGAGCCTGCCGGGCCAGACAAATATTGCCTGCTTTTGATGGACCTCCGCAACGCCTGGCCAAGTGCTATACAAGTTTCTCTTGAAGCCGGACGAGGCATCACAGTCGAGGAATACATCCTTCCTGGAAACACCAACAGAGTTGTCTTCCCGATACCCAGGATATATCTCGACGACCCACACGCCTCAATCCCAGCACTGAATCCCTCTCGTCAACGGCAATTCGTGGTCAGCAGCAGCAAAATCACGCCAGAGATTGAGAGAGGGAACCGAGAAGCCTTTTGGTATCGCGAAAAGATCCTCGAGTCCCTGTCGGGTACGTGGAAAACACTATCCGGTCCTGCAAGAGAGGGTACGATTGATCTACGAGGAATCCGCCTAGCACCTCGTATGATCGAAGCTATTAAAATCGACGAGATCGGAATTGATGTCTCTGTCGAGAGCCGAAAGCCGGACGACTCGACCACCCACAGCAATGGCATGTACGTTGACGAATTTGCACAGATCAAGGTCCTGATCACGAATCGGATGGATGAACCGATCCATCCAACCGTCAGAATAATGCCGTCATTGTGTCACCGACCTGCGAATGTGGCTCTAGACTTCACTCGGAAGTTCACCTGGAACGGGACCCTGCAACAGACGCTGCCCCTGGTAGCAGCCAAGTCCAGCACGGAGTTCCTGCTGGGCGCGACTGCGCTCTGTCGCGGCGAGTTCGAGATCGCGGCCTCGGTCGAGGAGACGCAGCTCTGGAAGCCGCCGGCTGCTGCACACGGCAGGGGCAGGCCGAGATCCGAAACGCAGACCATGATGGATGCGGTGCTGGGCGCGAAGCAGAGGCGCATATGGCATTCGAGACGGCCGTGCTTTGTCACTGTACGAGATAGACCGGAGGGGTAATGATGTTGGCCTTGTGTCTGTGTGTGATATGTGTGTGTGTGTGTGTGTGGATGGAAGCTTGAGTCAGGCATATGTGTACAATACCCTACAGAGCGAGAGAGAAATCAAGACGAGGAGGCATGAAGAGACAGTCCGTCGTCTGATCTACTATTGTCTGATTGTGAGGCTGTTTTAGTATGCTCTGTCTGGCAAGCATCGACTGACTCCCTGTCACATGTGATCAGTTCTCGGGACGGTTTGTAAGGATGTAACATAACCACCCACGAGTTCCGCGGCCAGATCGTGTTGCACATATCGACTGGGGACCACACCGGGTACGTAAGGTCTGGATGACCATGTGAAACCAGATAGCGTCAGCGGATAGAGATGGAGGCAAACATGTGTGTGTGTGTGCGTTTTTGTGTGTGTTTGTGTGTGTGTGCCTGATGAGATGAGTTGAGCTTACCCACTTAGGCGGTCTGGTTGTTGAGAGGGCATGGCGCTTCGTTTTACTTAGCTACCTTAGTCAATGGGGATCTCGGGTACACGATGGGCGGTGGGTATAAGTAATACGAGGAAGTAGCAAACTAAACTGCGTGATCACATCAAGTTTCCATTCGACGTATGGTCCTTACGTGAGTGAATAATGGGAAGACAATAGGAATGTGTCCATCCATGTAAGACCCTTTCGCCTCCTGCCGGGCATCACTGCTGCTAAGCCCATCCCTTTCCTTTCCTTTACTTTCCTTGCACAGTCGGATTGTCTTCTCTGCCAAAGTCTCTCTACTGCACTCTTGACCGCGGCCCAGTAGAGCACCAGCTCCCAGCAAACCAGCAAGAACTCCGGCTCAAGACCCCCTCAAGACACGACCACAACCAACACGAAATCCACGATGCATCTCTCCACCATCCTCCCCGCTCTAGCAGCCCTCCTCCCGACCTCCACCGCCTCCGCCATCCGCCAAGTCACGTCAGCCTCAGACCCCGAGCCCGCGCCCCCAAAAGTCCTCTCGGCCTACCTCCACCCCCGCCCCTCGGCCCAAAATCTGTGCGGCCTGAGCTCCTTCACGGACCTGACCAACGACGATACGTCGCCGCCGTGGAGCGACTGCGCTGCCATTAGTGTTTTTGCGGCGGAGAATAATGGGTCGTGGCTGGTATGTAACCTACCTCAGCCCGCCGCAGCCCGAGTCCCCCTTTTGGTTTACTTACCCTAGACTCTTTGTTTCCTATATATAGCCGTATGCTGGGAGTGATATATTTTCTCTCCATTGGACTTCATGTCTCCACGCGGAATAAGGAGTGCTTGATGTGTCTGCGAGGAGTACTTGCTCACTCCGATTTATCTACGTTGTAGTGGACCAAAGCCGAACTGGGCATCTCCACGTCCACCATCGTCCTCCTTCCCCCTGCCAACGGCACACACCCCACCCCCACAGGCAAGATCGTAACCCGAGACGACGGCAACTTCAACTTCACGTCCCGCGGCTGCGTCCTGCTGCTCCGGTACGACGGCCCGGAATCAGACGCCCACGACGGGGTCGGAAAGCGCGCAGCCATCCCACCTCCCACAGAGGTCGCCGTGGGCAATCGGGACGTCGCGTATGTCTTGGGCCGCGTCATAGCGTCCGGGATCCGCGGCGAGAGGGCCGAGGGGATGGGGAATTTCTCTTGTCGGGTGCCTGTTCCGGGTCCGGATGAGATTATACAAGAGAATTACAACGGGACGGACACGGTTATACAGGAGAATACTGGGACTGGGAATGGAACGGTGACGGTGGGAATTAGTTGGTGGCTGAGAGCCGCAGAGGGTTTGGATGCGGTAAATGATGCGCCTTCGTAGACGCTGGAGGACGTGTTGAGATGTACCGGATTATGGAGGGAAGGGGTTCGTACTCGCTCTGAGGTTAGATCCTTGGGAAGCGATTCCAGACAGGGAAAACACAAAAACCAAAAATTTCATACTCAGTTAAATTGGTGATCATTTCTCTTGAGACGCTGCTCATTACAGCCGTGTCCCGAGTAATATGTCGCTTCAAGTCGCACCCATGATTTCGTCCGCCTTAGGCTTCACTTCAACATCATCTGCGTGGTTCTCCTCGGCCTCGATGGCCGCGTCTGGTCCGATTCCCTCCTCGCCATTGGCATTGCCATTCGTACGGGCCTCGTGCTCCTGACCATTCATCTGGTCATGCTCTTGCTCTTGCGCCTGGTCCTTTTCCTGCTCAAGCTTTTCCTCAAGTTTCTGCTCGAGCTTTTCTTCAAGCTTCTGCTCGAGTTTTTCCTCAAACTCAACCTCGGGCTCGACCTTTCCCTCTACTTCAACCTCGGGCTCTACTTCGGGCTCAGCCTGCGACTCCTCCGCCTTGCCCGGCAGCGGCATCTCCCAGTCCTCCTCGAACCGCGCAGCGAGGAACTCGTCGTACAGCCCGAGCCGTCGCTTCTGGTGGGCCTGCTGGGCCTGGTGTATCCACTCGGGGTCGTGGCGGCCCAGGCGGAGGCTCTCCTGGTAGCGGGCGACGTCGTGGCGGAAGTGGTTGTTGTTGCGCAGGGCGGCGATGTCGGGACGCGCGGCGTCGGTGCCGGCGTCGAGGATCTCGTCCTGGCCTGGGAACTTGGCCAGCACTTGCTGCTTCTCCTCGGCGCTGAGGATGCCCCAAGCTTTGGGGCTGCAGAGGAGATCCTGGATCGTGTTAGAGTGGAAGCTTTTAATAGAAAGGTTGTGGAACAGAGGTTGGGTATCACTTACTCGAAGATTCGTCTTGACGAGGGGTGAGTTCGGGTTCGTGAGCATCTCATCCAGATTGTCCCACTTCGACCGGCTCTTGCGGGCGCCGGGCGCCTGTGTCTGCTTCACAATTATCTTCGGCTTTTTCAATACCGGTTCAGCTTCGGCCAGCTCGTCCTCGTCATCACCAGCGGCGGTCGTCAAGTCGAATTCCTGCTTCTTCATTGGGGTGCCTCTGGTTAGTCGTGACTTCCCGGCGCTGCCATCCTTGGTGCTGCTGGCCTCTGATCTGGGAGTCTGGACAGTGATTGCATCAGCAGGTTGATCCTGAGATACGTGGTTGTTCGCCGTGTCCTCGTGTGATTCCCGCTTCGGGTGAGATGGGTATGCAGTGATTTCATCCCGCACCTCAGCGTCGATCGCTCCGCCGCGAGCCTTGGTAGCGCATAGCTCATCGAGGGACTCGTCACTATCTACGAGATCGGAGAGTCTTCGAGCCCGAGTCGATCTTCTCGTGGCTTGGAGAGAGCGGGAGGCGGGTGTGGTCGACTGCTTGCTCTTGCCATTGGCGGTGGGCGTGTTAGGTTTCTTGCGAGGAGGCATCTTGACAGAAGAAAATGGGCATTGCCGAAGATGGTGGTCAAGAGTTTCGAGTATTTGAGACGCAGTATTTACATTTCATAGAAGGTAGTGAGAGAAAGGTGGTGGATGTCAAACGGTAACGTTGAAACAAACAAAGAAGTCGCCTGAGGTAAAATAAGGTATTGACTTATTGCTTGAATCACTTAAACGCTGAATAAGAATCCAACCCCGTATCGATAACAGCAGCAAGCAGCTGCAAGTCAGAGGTAGCTACTATGAGCTCATGAGCTGTCAGTTATTAACCTGACAATCATGATGAGTTATGGTGAGAAGACCGAGATGCAGACATAGTTGAGGCTGTGAGAGAGAGACAAGTGTCAAAGTGACACCCCAAAAGAGGAAGTACGCTAGACTCCATCAACGGCTAGTCGGTCGGCCCACACCAATGAAGATCCATTGTCGGAGGAGGCCCCTGCGTCCCCTGCATCCCCTGACGTTGTTACTCTTCCTTGCCAAGATCTAAAGTTCTGGCCAGGTCTGAAGTCTGATCTGGCACATCTTCACCAAAGACATCTCGCCAAAGACATCCCGCAACCACGAACACGCCTGACCTCACTGACAACTATAGCCCAACGATCTTTACAAGACCTAGAGAGCGACCATTGTCAACTGCCTCTACTACTACTTCACTGTTGCTCAAAGACAGCCGTACCCTGCCGTGCCGATCCGGGGACCCTTCAGATTGCTTTCTAGACACGTACACCACTCTGGTCTTTGTCTACACACAGACGACCCCGTGTCTCCCGACGAGACTGGGCCCCTCACTTTTATTACCGCCAGTTCCGCGACAGGACTTCACAACACCATGATCAGATCAACACAAATAGCCCGCTTGGGCGATGGTGCGTGCAATGACGTTATGCCTCTTCAAACACAGGGCGCCCCAGCTGACCGTAAACCCAGGCTTGATGCTATGCGCCTCCGTCGACGATGAACAAGTATGCGATACGATTGAGTCGAGTCCAGTCCGACCAGAGCGGTGTAAGCTGACACTCCTGCGCCCGTAGACAGAATCCTCCCTAGCCGAAGTCAAGTCCCAGATCAAGCTGATCCTGCGGCGACTGAACCGCAATGCCGAGCAACAAGCCAGCATCGAGAGCGGCAACTTCACACTACAGTAAGGGACCTCATACCCCCATCCCCTTGGCCTTGCCGACCCCCTATACCTCAGTTCGCGTCCCTCAACTTCCAAGACCCAGTCATCGCTAACCACGCTTGCCCCAACCTTAGCTACCTAATCGCCAACGACATAGTCTACCTCTGCATCTGCGAGCGCTCCTACCCGCGCAAGCTGGCCTTCACCTACCTCTCGGACCTTTCCACCGAGTTCGCCAACTCGTACTCGCAAGCGCAGCTCAGCAGCCCAACACTACGACCATACGCCTTCATGGAGTTCGACACCTTCATCAACCGCACCAAGGCGACGTACGCCGACGCGCGCGCCACCCAGAACCTCGACAAGCTCAACGACGAGCTGCGCGACGTGACCAAGGTCATGACCAAGAACATCGAGGATTTGCTGTACCGGGGCGATAGTCTGGACCGCATGGGCGAGATGAGCTCGCGGCTGCGCGACGATAGTCGCAAGTACCGCAAGGCGGCTGTCAAGATCAACTGGGATTTGCTGGTTAAGCAGTATGCGCCCATCGGGGTGTTTGTGCTGATTGTGCTGGTGTTCTTTTGGTGGCGGTTCTTGTGAGCACAGACATGGATGGGGGTGGGTCAGGATAGGGGTATAGGAACACAGGGGGACCCCACGTGAGGAGATATACCTGCCTGCGTCTATAATAACGAACAGGAAGAAGCACAGTAGGGAGAATCCCCACAAGCAAGCAGGAAAGCAGGCGTGCGAGCTTCAATTGTATTATATGAATTCTATGTCAGACATAGATAGGGGCTCTCAAACGCCTTATGGCCCTGGATCAAGCCAGGCCATGATCTTGCATCGATAGGCTTGGTAGACTGGCCGTCTGGTTCAGCCAGGCTCAAATAGCCATATACATCTTTAAGGTGTGTATCTTTTCATCAGACAGACCGCCTTCTTTCCCTCAGTCTAATAAATAGTCCGGGACGCCATGCTCATCGAATTCCAAAAATTTCCCAATCTCTTCTCTTCTAAACGCCCGTCCGCTTACTTGCTGGCCTCACTGTTTACACACAAAGTCAAATCCTCCATGTCACCCATGAACCAACTACGAACAAGTTCACATGACGACGCACTTCGAAGCGCTCGGCACCAGTGAAGTATGGTTCCACTCGAGGTGTTCCTGGAAGTGTCGCACGTCCTCGAATCCGCGCTCGTCCTGCGTGTAGCGCACGCGCTCCATGCCGTCGTCGCCCGGCTCCTCGTAATAATAGTCGTCGCAGTAGGGACACAAGATCCGCGCCTGCCACTCGCCCGGCTCGGGCGGCAGGTGGTTCGCGATGGCCAGGGGGGCAAAGACGACCATTTTCTCTTCGTTGGCGGTGGTGGTGCTCATACTGAAATCGCGCGCTTGCCAGTTCTCTGCTGTTGTCGTGGTGGGGGCTGCTGATAGGGGCTCGCCTAGGACGACACCGGAGGAGGTGTTGTTGTTGTTGTGTGGTTCGGTGAGAGCTACGGCGCGCGTGCTCGGCATCGACCGCAGGTCCTCCCATACTAGGAACCCGTCGCAGTAGTCGCACACGAAGGCGATGTCGCGCTCGCCGAAGCGCTCGAACTTGCCTGTCGCGTTGCACGAGGCGATCTCCTCCATTTCCGCTCGGCCCCTGTGCTGTTGCTGCTGTGTCTGCTGCCATTGTTGTTGGTAGTGGTGCTGGTGCTGGTGTAGTGATTGGCTTTGTTGGCTTTGTTGGGGGTGTTGGTCTTGTGGATGTGTTTGCTGGGCGTGCTCGGCTGACGTCGGCCGCTGCTGCGCTCGGAATACTTGCAGCGCTCCTAGACACCGCGTGTGTGCTTCCGCCTCGTTGTGTATACGCCGCGCTGCGCGGCATTGGGCGCCGTGCAGGTCCTGCCGTAGTGTGAGGGTGTCGCGGGAGAGGTCCGCGACGGTGATGTCGCCTGAGCGCACCCAGTCTTTGAGGGCCTGCGCATGCAGTTCAAAACGTGTGCAGAGGGTTCGGAGGTCGAGGAGGGATTCGCCTATGGGTCGGAACTTGAAGTTAGAACAATGCCTGTCTGTCTTGCTGATCGTGCAGTGCTATGTGTTGGCGTCTTCTGCTCGCCCACTGGGGCTGGATGCGTCTCGAGACGTGTACTCTTCCCAACGGGAGATAGCACCCACCGGGTTTGGCCCATATCTGCGCACAGAAGTATAATAAAAGGGAGGCAGACTCACTCTTGCGATCCTCCTCGTAGTAGAACCTCCCATTGACCAGCGTCGGCAGCTCCTGGAAGTCCTTCTTGGCCTCGTCGAGCGTCTCCTCCAGCAGGCGCAGCAGCTCGAACTCGTCGGGCCCCCACGCCCGCTTGTCGGCGAACATCATGATGCGCAGGCCATCGTTCAGCGAGTTTGCGATCACGGCCAGGAGCGAGCCCACGGTCTCATGGCTCATGGCCAGGTCGAGGACGAGGTCGAAGAAAGAAAGCGAATGAATGGCTCGGTTGTTTGTGTGGTTGACCGTCCGGCGGCTGCGTGCACTCGCTTCTATCTATCTTTCTGTCTATCCAGTGTCTGGCCAGCTAGCTGTCTGGCTGACGTCGGGGGTGGGGGCGGAAACTCGGCTTGCTGGAAACGGCGAAGACGGGTATGGATTGCGGGCTGCCGCACTCGCTGGCTGACACTTCCTTTGCTACTCGCTTCGACGAATGGTTTTAATGCGGCATTGAATACGTAAGAAGACTCGATATTGAGATCTTCTTTGTTCGTTTCATCTGTTTCATTCGTTCATCTGTTTCGTATTCGGATCTGCTCGTTACTCGAAAGCCTTAGGTAATGACAGGAGTGATCGTCGTCGGGACCATCCATGTATTTTTAGCTCCTAGCCTGCCTGGCCGTTTGACGAGGATGCTGGGATGATGCTGCTGCAGGGGCCACGATAAGATAGCCCGGAAAGCGGCTTACAACGGACAGAGACACGCAAGCTCTCACGTCCGCAACATGCTGGCGCCTGGACACGCGCGGGGATGAAGACTTGTTCATTCGAACAGTCCCTTTGAGCAACTTTGATAAAAACAGAGAGACGAGGCACACAGGATGAGTGTCATTGCCGAAGCTGTGTGATGTTTGGAACGGAAGCTGAGACCTTCATATTTTGGTGACGTGAGGCCGTGGATGAAGCCCGGGGATAAGAGAGTGCAGTGCTAACGCCGGAATAAGCAGCCTCCTGGGCATAATTTATTCCACTTAGTTGCCTCTATAACAATCGCTGATTCCAGATAATTATGCGTGGAATCACTGTAACCGATCATTGCTAGCAGGCATACTTCACTTGATTCAGTCTTCATAGAAAGGGGGTTCCTGGGTACCTTTCCCATTCAGCTAAATCATCGCAATGCTTCCTATGACGTGAAGTACTATAAAGCCGCCTCTACCAATGCAACAGACATTCGCAGGCTAAGTGTGAGCCCGAGGCCTAGGTTTTTCAGAAACCATCCGAGTCCGATGAGTATGATGAGTCATCTTCCGAGTCATCTTCCGAGTCATCTTCCGACCCTAAGGAGTCTGACTTTGACTCATTGGCAACCCAGGCTTCCTCAATGAAGTCGTCTCCCCGGACACTTCCATCCTTCGTCAAATCGCACGCTTGGCCACCAGACGCGAATGTGCGGCTTGCCCGTACGTCGCTTTTCAGCAAAAATTGTCTGCGGTTGCTGACGGGGACAAGCTCACCCAAGGGTCGGAGACTATACCCAGCGCTTACTGAACCTCGATGAAGCAGCACACAAAGCTGCCGTACACCGATGGGAAGCCCTGTCTATCCAAAAGGCCATATAGACTCGTCGACCATCTTCTTCATAACGTTGATCATCTCCTCAGGTGTCAGCTTGCTCCACCCGTTCCATTTTGGGAGGCTCTCCAGGATCGTCTCTATCTTCAGGAAGCGTAGGTTGAGCTTGTCTTGGACAGACTTAACCATGGGCAGCCACTTTGTATACAGGTCCCCATGAAAGAGCTGAACCTTCAGCGATCGTATATATTTGATGTTCTTCAGGAATATCATTACTTCACCGGTTCGCTTTTGGCCAGGAAAGCACTCAGTCAGGTGAAAGTGATTTTTGGCGAAGAACACGACCCGGGGTTCGGCGCTGAAGGTCCTGCTCACAAGGAGCAACCGTGTCGGGGGTCGCCAACTGTTGCACATGGGCGATTACGCGGCATGGAAGATGCTGCAAAGGCAACCTGTGAACTCATCATGAACCGCCGGGTTTTGTCGGCAAGGGGTGAATTGACATGCGTAGTGATGGCAGGTATAACAGTGGCCTCCGACTTCTCCTACCCGGAGTCTGTCGTTCTCATGGCGGCAAACTTTGCAGTACCCTGAGCCGGGCGTGGTGGAGATTCCACATTCTTGGTGAGCCCCCGGATGGCAGGTGGTGTACGGTGGTTTGCAGGCTGTCTGGCAAGTGAGCTCCGGCAGTCGAAATCCTTCCTTTGGAACCCGTTGGATGTGACTCAATGGCGAAACGAGGTCGGTGTACTCGAGAACTTTCAGGCGGAGTTCTGGTGGTAGGTCGGGGTATCGGAAAGGTTCTGAGGGATGCCAGCGAGAAGACTCACCCATGGCCCGTAACGCAACATCACGAGCTAGTTCAGAAAGCTGAACGTCGGGCTTGGGGCCAAGTCTGATACTGCAACTGGCTAGTATTGGAAATTGGTCATCCCGAAGTGGTGCCACTACGAGCTCTGCTGTGCTTTCATCCTCGACATCAAAAATCAGACTGAGGTCTAGCTGATGAGCCGTGACGTGGCAGCTCAAATGACGCGCTGTCAAATCCCATTCCGAGAGCAACGCGACATCCCGGGCGGAGTTGCTGTGGAGTGCCTTGGATGATCGGTAGCTAGAACTGCAATAATGCGAAGAGAGTTCATCGACAGCGTGTAGGTGAACCTTGAGGGATGTCATAGACGATAAAGAGGAGGCAGATAGGCTCCGCAACGACTTCAACCTGTGGACTACGAAGCGGTTGGTTGAACAGATGATGTGTGAAACCTCGACGTGAATCTTTCTGCAAGTAAGCAGGAGGTTGATCGAACTATACAGGTTTGGGTTATCAGGATTTAAGTAGTTGGCGTCGAGATATAGCTCGGTATCGCTGACCAAGCCGGCAAAGTAATATATCTTCTGTCTGATCTGGGTTGTGAGTCCGAGGAGGCCGGCGGTGGTTACAGACGACGAATCGTAAGCCGCGGCACCCATCTGCGCGACTCCGGACTGGTCATCAGGTGCTTCCATCGTTACTGCAGGTGCTCGTCGCTGCTCCATGGGATTGTTGGTTGGGTGCTGAATGTGGTCGAGCTGGTCGAGGAACGTTATTGAAGAAGCAGCAATTGGGTGACTGTTTCAGTGGGTTGTGTCTGAAGTACTCGTTTAGTCCAGGTGATTATGCCAATGTTTGGTGACGTGATTGTCAATACGTGAAGGAGCGAGGGAGGGAAGGCACGATACTCACCGTAGGTAGTTTCTGAGTTGACCACGCAGCGGATTTGGCTGTTGCCTCTGAACTGCCCTGGAAAGGGTGGGCGATGTCAGGGGACGACTGAGTTGCAGGCTGGTCAATCGCTAGAGCGAAAGGTGGGAGGTGGGAGGTGCAGATTATGGTGGTGGTCACTGGGTGCCTTTTGTTAGGTACGCGGGTAGGTGAAGAGGTGTGTAGTTACCTTGGTGAATCAGTACCTCAGGTCAGCTTTCGGTTCAGACGGCAGCGAGGTTGTTGCTTGAGGAGGGTTGGTCAGGAAGCAGGAGTTATGCAGGACAGTGCAGGCGAGTATGATGCTTGCTCCTGCTGCGGGAGACCGTGGCCTGAGGAAGATGTGGAAAGAAGGAGAACCCAATTTGTAACAAATCTCAGAGCACTCAGGCGCCTGGGTGGCCGACCGGGATATGTTAGGAGGAAGACCTGTCGAGTACCGAGTGAAAAATGGGATGGGTCGGTAAAATTTGGTGTCTGCGGCGATTTGCTGTTGCGTATCCGTTGCTGGTAAGAGCTGATGCCTTTCAAGGCAGGACCGACTCAGATGCCACGGAAACCTACAATGTACCAAGGTACTTATTACAAGTTCTACATTCACAAAGCCATCAGAGCAAATAAGGAGAAAAGCGTAAAGGCACGATGATTGCTGCACACTTCCACTATATTTTATACCTAGACACGCTGACTCCTGAGTCATCATAGTCAGCTAGAAACCGACGCCAGCTTACTCAATCTCGCTATCCTCCTCAACCCATCCGCGTCCTGCAGCGACGACTTCCTCGATCCATTCGACTTGATCGTTGCTCTCCTCTGTTGTCAGAATACCAGCCTGAGGAGCAATTTTGCGGCCTACCTGCGACCAATCATCATTAAAAGTATTAATATGGAAACCCCATGACAATAGCTCAAACTCAGGCTCGTCCCTTTGCCGCAAGTGATAGTTGACAGAAATGCCAGCCACGCAGTTAGTGTCATAAGCGATGTCTAGTGCGGGTTGTCGTGTGCCGCAGGGGGTTCCGTCGCTCCTTAGAGGCCAAAGATACCGGTTCACCTGTGCCCTGAGTGCGTCCAGCCCCTCTATCGTTCCAACGTCAGGAACATCCTCGATTCCCGGAAGGTAGCATTCGTTCCATCCCCAGTGCGGACCAGGCGTTACGGTCAACACCAGTAATTTGAGATTCAGCTCCATTTCCCGGATGAGTTTGAGAGTGTCCGGCCATTGTCCGAAGCAGGGCCATTCTCCGAAGCAGCAGTCGTTTTCTTTGGATCCCGGCTACGGGAGCTCGATCGCTATGGAGCAGAGATGGTGCAGTGAGGTCTTTGGGACGATTTCGGTCAAGAATACCGTTGCTGTATCACTGTAGGGGCGGACGAACGGACTGTCCTCATCGTCGCTGACTTCGTCGGTAGAACAGGGATATGCGGTATACTCCAGATCGGGGTAGGTGTCGCCGTTGACTTCGTCGGTAAGAGAATGGTCCGCGGTGAGTTCCAGACCGGAGTTGGTGTCGCCGTTGACTTCGTTGGTAAGAGGATGGTCCCCGGTGAATTCCAGATCCGAGTACGTGTTGCCGTGATAAATCGGAGCGGGAGTACAGGTATGGACGTGACTGCAGTCCGGCACATGCCACTCGCAAAAGCGGCTGCACGTCGGCTGGAATGGCTTCCCCATCGAATCGATCAGGTAGAACATACCTATCTCGAAGTGGTTTTTGCTGAAGGAAACTGCATGGACATCTTCGAGAAAGGCCTTGCTTACTAGGAAAGCGCAGTTGGCGCCTGCCAGTGGTCGAAAAGTTTCATGGGGTTGCTGGCTTCTTCATAACCTTCGTCCCATACGTTCTGAATCTTCGCGTATCTACCCATCCCGTAATCTGCGCGATACCGCTCTTCTAGGTTCCAACAGACTCGCTTGAATGGTGTTACGAGGTCCGTATATCCAAGTATCTCCTGCCGAAGTTCTGTCGGAAGATGCATGTATTGGAGTGCCTGGCGTGGGGACTCTGACCGTAGGGGAAACATCTTCTGTCGCAGGTTGGTAGGTACCTCAGTAGAGTAATGACTTTGTGGTTGAAAGGTTTCTTGGGTGATGGGGACTGAAAGGTCTTGAGGTGAGATGGTAGAGGAGTAGGAATTTGGACAGCGTGAAACCTGCTGAGTCGCCAGTGGAAGATTTTATGTTGAGATAGCAGGCGGGGACGAACATTCAGGTGAATGGAGAGTGGGAATTGAATGGAGGGTGGAAAGGCATTGTGCAGATACCACGTAGGTACCCACCATTGTCAAAGCTTACCACACGGTGGCTATATGTCCTGGTAAGGTCGACTTGAGTGACTGACCTATTTGACCATTCACCGTGCCCGCATTCGTCCGGACGGTCCGGATGGTCCAAGGGGGGTTCTTGCGTATTGTGTTAGGTTATATACGGTGTGCAGCCCGATTATATGGTTGCCATCCAGTGGAATATGATCAACTGCTTCTAATGCTCGCAACCCCCTCACCTCTTGCAGTCACGCCCTCTTGAACACGGACCTCTTTCTCGCGCATCCCAGACAAGGTGGCACCGACAACATGGTGCCTATAAGACGGCATCTTTCTAATGGAGTGTATGCCGCTGATGAAGTGCCTCGCACAGCTGGGGGATGACCTGTCCAGCACTTAACCGTCCAGCACTTAACAGTCCAGCCAGGCTCACCGTCGTGGCGGGCCAAGGCTGGTGATATGTGCTTTTCAATCCACGACCAATATCATCCTGGAATTTATATATAAGAAGGGAACAAGATCGTCAGAAGATCGTAACCCCGGAGCAGGGTACCTTCAATCACCTGTGGGCTGTCAGCGCGGCTCGGGACACTGTCAGGCCGGGGGGACTTTTACGAGCCGGTCGGTGTGTTCCCCCCGGAGGAAGCTGCGATCGCTAAGGATAAGAAGTATGGCCAGCAGCTCTGGGAGTGCACTGAGAGGGAGCTGGAGAAGTGGATGGCGTAGTTCAACCAGCAGGATACTGTCCACATGGAGCTTCTAGAAGCTAGGTTGTGGAAGTATCCAGAAGAACTCAATCGACGGTATCGATTGTTTGTTTCTTACCCATTATGTATGTGGCTACCTGTCTAAGCAATACATACTTCAGTCATCACTATATCCAAACGTTGTGCCTTTTAAAACCCTAGGTAAGATTTGGCTCAGTTAGATTGTATGCTTGTTCAGAGCACGATGCACGAATAAACGTAGTGGCAGCACTCTGATTGATTTCGCACACAACCAAACCTAGCAGGTGATTGTTCACTTCTCACGTTGTTTAACGTTAATGTAGCTTACCTTCCTATTAGATTACGTGCCCTGTTGTTTTCTCATGAATCAGAAAAGGGTGCATTCTACAGCTTCAGAACAAGCACCTCGGAGTTTGACTCAGGCCAAGCATATTTAACACGCGGATACAGCCAAACCACAGATCAACAACCCTACGCTCTTCTTCGCATAAAAGCCTACTCCATCGCACCTTGAACTCCTGTCCTCCGAGTTTGACCAGGGCGTAGATGTAAAGATACCCAAGGGTTACTCTCTGACATCTGCCATGCCGAGCATCGAGACGCGGACAAAGACGCGGTCGGTGAACTTGAGATCGTTGACGAGACCCGTGCTCACGGCGCCCGGGTGGTAGCGGCGCGCCAGCTCGCGCGTACAGCATGTTGGCCAGTTTGCTGTTCCCGTAGCGGATCCAGCGGCCCAGCACGGCGGATTTCATGGTGGTCCTGAGCCGGCCGAAATCGTCAAGGTTTCCACCGCGCCAGCCGAGGCTCGTGGTGTAGATGACGCGCACGTCCGAGCCGGGCAGGTCGGCGGTGTGCGAGAGCAGGGGCAGCAGCTTCTTGGTCAGGAGCGCGTGGCCCAGGTGGTTCGTCGCGAAGTGCACCTCGTAGCCGTCGGCCGACAGACCCGCTGGCTTGGCCATGATGCTGGCATTGGCAAGGAACAAGTCGAGACGATCGCATCCGGCAAGGATCTGGTTTGCGGCGTCCTTGACGGACGCGAGATCGGCCAGGTCGCACGGTACAAAGGTGACGGCGACACTGGGCGCAGCGGTTTTGATGCGCTGCGTGGTTGTGGCCGCGGACTTGGCGTTGCGGCCGGTGAGCAGGATGCGGCCCGGGTTGTGTTTGGCTAGCTCGACCGCAATCTCTGCGCCGATGCCGCCAGTGCCTGCGTGCAGCGGGGCCGGTCAGATCGGGAACGAGCTGGAAAAGGGGCAAGGTGGATCCTGGATCGCCAGGGTTAGGGTGAGGGTTATACTTACCGCCAGTCACCAGCAGCACCCGGCCAGGCCGGTCCGGGATCGTCGACTTATCGAACTTGATGTCGGACATGCTTATCAGTGTGTTGGCCCAACGTCCAAGGATATATGCGTCTTGTGCACTGGGTGGGCGGTCGAAGTTCTCGCCGGGGGTAACGTAGTGGTGGTGATGAGAAAAGTGGGAAAAGCAGAGCTCGAACCTGTAGCCCGGCAGTGGCGGGGACCGTGATGACCTTGAACTGCCCGAGTCCTGCAGAGACGCGCCGGACACTGGGGCGGACTCCTCCTACACCCCGACCCGACGTTGGGTGCAAGACCAACGTACCGGTATGGACGTGGGCAGTCGGCGTTGGTAAAGAAACTGGGAAGTGAGAATGAGAAGGCGCAGTGCGATCCTAACAACCAACCAACCTACCTATCAACCAACCAGCCAACCGACCAACCAACCAACCGACCAACCAGCAAATCGACCAGCCAACCCGCATACATCCAAGTGAAAGTATCCACAGGGGTTTACAGTAATGTATGCGGTTCATGACAAGAATAAAGTGCGGAATGTAGCCCTATCTTCCTAATGAGATATTCTCGTACTGCGCCCCCAACAACCCCAAGGTGGAACCGGGACATCTCCTTACCTACATTAATAATATCCAGGGAGTTTGCAATATTACAAATCGCAACGCTTCGCCCTCAGATGCACAGTCTTCATGTTGTCAAATATCATGGATGACTCCGATATACTCATGTCTCCCACGTGAATAGCGTGGGGCAAATGGAATGCGAAAGAAACAGGGAAAACACCCACAGATCAGCGGAGGGGGACGAGTGCCCTGATAATTCCAACAGTCAATGAGAACAAATTGCAATTTCAACTGGCAACAAGATCATGGATACCCAACAGCCAAAGCCTTGCTGCTTGGGAAAGCGCGGGTCTCACACATGAACCTCCCAAGGCGCCCGCCACGTACCTCGCCGCAACTGCGCATTCCCGTCCAGCCTGACCTAACCTTGACTCCTCCGAAGATGCCCCGTCCACCATGTGACACACTTGAAATTGGCCCACCTGACCAGCCGACGCAGTGACTGCAATTGCCGAACCCATTGGTGTAGGAGCAGGAGCTCTTCGCAAATCTCAGCCCTTTGATCCTTTCGCCAGCCTCTTTGGACGGCCTTGCCTAGACTTCAACCCCCCCTGGTTTTGCGCTCCTGACGGCCGCTGGCCTCTTTGAGAGCTTGTCGACCTTGTAGAGTGGCTCTGCTTCACCTCGTCCTAGCAGCATCCCATACTCGGGCAACTGACCTGCGAGCCTTCGGCTTGCCCGCTCCTTCTTGTAGGTCTTGCGCTGCCTGTTGCGGGGTTGGGGTTCTGTTCGTATGTTGCTGTCGAGGTTAGAAGGTCCACGGCCTCGATCGGGTGGCAACGCCTGCGTATGTGCCTCCTTGACGATTCGACCGCCGCGAGTCTGGCGTAAAGGGCTCTTCGTTCGTCGAGGTGAAACCCGCGGTTGTGCTGCCACCTCGCTAGCTGAAGCATCGCCTATGGGGCTGGGCAGGGCTTCTCGCTGCTGCTGGCCAGAAAGGCGAGCATGGGTATTCTTGTACCATATGTTACTTGCATCTTCCTCCTCCTGAGTGGCCGAGAAACCAAAAGGGCCTGAACCCTTGGGTGGAAGCCCTCTATAGATTCGAATCCATGCGGCATTCCAAGTCAACGTCCAACTATCCTCTGCGGCTCTTTCGTCTGGGGTGACTGGCTTATGAAACTCGCCTGAACCTTTTGGCGCAGGGTTCTTCCGTTTCCATTCATCCATGGCAGCTTCGGCATCATACATAGCGTTGATCTCCTCATGCGTCCAGCCTTTCTTCGGCAGATCAATGTGATCTTGAAAGCGGCGCCGTTCAAGAGAGAACCGAACAGGATCTACGTAGCGATAGCTTTCCATGGCCTCGCGTCTCTCGCGGTCTTGCCTGTCGCCAGGCTCATTCTCCCTCCTCGTCCTAGCCCCATCTATGAGGGACTCGTTGAGGAAAATCTTTTCGAATTCATACCTCTCCTCGTCATAGTTGAAACCCTTCCGGTCGTACTCCGGTCGTTCCCATGGATCGTCGGGGAGAGGCGTCGGCTCGCGAGGTTCGGGGGTTGGGTCGTACGTATCGTACCCGCTGAGGTCGGTTTCGCTGTCGCCGCTGCCCTTTGAAGGTGTTGGAGATGTGTGCATCTCGATGCCTAAGTCCTTGGAAAGTCGAGCCCACAAGCGCTTCCACCCCGGATCATGTATCCCGCCAGCTCGAAGTCCCGGCTCGAACGGTCGCCTCTCCACCTTGTGTTCCATTACTCTTAGGGCTTTCTGGCGTTCCTTGTAGACTGGATCATACCGATATATGTCCCTTTCCTCGAGCATGGTATTTCGTGATTGGTACCACTCTTCGCCAAAACGCTCTCGGCCCCAGGCCGCATAGGCGTCAGCATCATAGGGCGGCTCCGATTCGGGGGGTCCAGGGCATTCGCGCATAGGGATCGTAGGTGTCGGGATCGTAGGTGTTTGGTACTAGCATCTGATCGCCCTGTACGATTGCGTACAGCTCTTCGCCATGATGCCTTCGATATCAGGCCTCATAGATTTCGGAAAGTCGTCCGCTGGCATCATAGGGCTCCGGCGTCGGCGTCCGTAATGTCTCGTCCCTGACATTGTTGGGTTCGTGACTGCCGCTGAGGCTATCGCCGTTGGGTAGAGGAGGAACATTGTCGGAGGTGGCTTCGATAGAAGGATGAAGCGTTGACGCGAGGTTGCGTGCACGGTTTGCGCGCGTGTGTGGAGCCATCGAGATGGCCAATGGGCTAAGCCTTACAGCCCTACTCTAGCAAGGGGTTAAGTGGGACGCAGCATGGGTACGCTAATATGTCTAGGTTGCGACGTTGCTGGCGAGTCTGCGAGTCTGCGAGTTTGGGTACGTCGGGAGCGATGGTGAGTGAGAATTGGAATCGATGATGAAGGTTGACGGGCGGCGGTTTTCTAGTTGAGAACTCGAGAGGAAGGAACATTGAAGTTGGTGCTGTTTGCGGACATGATCGCGCAACGCAACGCAACTGCCAACGGGGTTGGGTGTTACAACTTACAACATTCCACAGCGTGTCACGATGTACGATGTTGGATGCTCCTTCCAACCAGTTCCCCTTTCCCTTTGTGCCCTCTCCCGTCTCGCGTCGTTTGCCAACAGGTCTGCCAACAGCGAGGTCTTTTCTTTCACAGCACAGGTTGGCAACGGGTCTTGTGCCTCATCTCACAGGTCTGCCCAACAGATGGGTAAAACACTCAAGGCTGGCCTTCGTGGCCAGCCACCTTCTTGCCCTTGCCCTTGCTCTTTCTCATCAAACGTGCTTTCTCCAAGATGGAGGAATCTCTCAAAACGGTGTTTTATCTTACTCCCTTCAACGATAACAAATATGCCGCAGCCATCATTTCGAGACTCCGCAAATCGCGGCCGACGAGTACGCAGCGTGCCCAACTTTGACTCGGACCAGCCGGCCTTGAGAATCGGGCTCGACCAGCAGCTCACAGAGCCGCCATACCTCGTACAGTTCGGCCGCCGCGAACACAACGATGTCATCCTCGATCACCGCTTCTAGGAACGACCAGTGCTATTTCGACTTCAACAAAGACACCGGAGAGCTACTTCTACACAACATATCAGAGAAAATGACACGGAACTCTGCGATATCATTACCGTGACTGGTAAAAACGGCACAAAAAAGGAGACGGCAGGGGCTCCGCAGATATGGAAGACCCCTAGGCAGTGCGTCGTGGCACTGAGCCCTGACCCGTATCGCAACCCAGGCGGTCCTGCTGTTGAACGTCAGTGGTTCTTCAAAGTGCGCGACGCCGAGTTTCGCTTGATACCGCGAAGAACGCAGAGCCCAGATGAAGCGAAATCCATCACCGATGAGAGGCGTGCATTTGCGGCCCTACCCGACCCAAATCTGACACTCGAAGGAACCATGCAGCGAATCTTCACCCTAGGCTTGCAGGCTCTCCAATTTGAAGGATTGACAACCACCTACAAGTCCGCATCAACCATCACTATCAACCCCCACAATACGCGGTTCAGGACCCCACTCGAGCCTGCCGAGGAAGATCAGATCCGATTTACGAGGGTGAAACCGCTTGGGAGAGGGGGGCAAGGTGAAGTGCACAAGGTTGTTGATACGTATACCGGTGTATATCATGCTTGCAAAGTCGTTGCCGTGAAGGCAGAGGTACCCTACAGGGGGATCCATTCCGAGAGGGCTTTCAGGGCAATAGTTGAAAGAGAGGTGAACTTGGTTCAGGAGCTGCGACACATAAGCTCCATACTTCTTCCGTCTACTGTTGCCTTATGCTGACCACATTAGGCTCATATCGTCCCGTATACACACATCCAGGGATTCAAGATTGGCCGGGATATTGAAATATTCATGCCTATTTATGAAGGGAACCTTAACGACTTGCTGCAGCGGCTGCTACATAAAGCACTAGACACGGTGTTGGAAAAGACCGGCGTCATGCTTTCCTAGGTGTTGGACGCGCTAGACTTTGTGCACACTCGCGATCCGCCAATTATCCATCGAGACATCAAGCCTTCGAATATCCTCTATCTCGGCGACCAGTTCTTGACCGATTTTGGGATCGCCAAGGTCGTCGATACGTCACACACAGTCATCGGAACTACATGGTACATGGCGCCTGAAGTTCTGGAGAACAGGGAGCAGACGCCGAAGGTTGACATATGGGGACTAGGCCTGACCGTCGTGGAGTGTTTGGTGGGATTCCCACCTGAAGAACGCAGGCGAGAATTGCGAAGGCGGGCGCAGTGGTATGAGCACCTCCAGGGGTGTCTAAACCAGCACCAACATGCACGTCCCTTCGCGTCCATGCTCGCCGTTGACACCGAACGACGCCCAACGGCCGCGATCTTCTCAGCCTACAAAGCCCACCGACTAATGCCACCTTGACTTCTGGAGTATCGTCAGGTGCGAGCCAGGCAGCCGGGACATCAGCGAAATACTCCGCTGCACCTACACCCATGGATTGGACTCAAAGGGTAGCCACGGCGACCCTTCAAGGAGATCCTCAGCACTCGCAGTCAAACTCGGTGGCAATTCCGTCGCCAAACATGCCTCCTGGTCGAACGGCGCAGCCGGGAGCCAGGCGTGGAGGGTCTAAGTCTGTGAGGACTCTCAAGTCTGCGAGGTCTCGAGACGGAAGGTCGCAGAGAGGTCACAAGGGTGATGGATTATCCCAGAACGGGCGTCCTGGACCCTCTTCCGCAGGGATACGAAAACGGCGGTCGGGCAGAAAGCAACGGCCGAAAAGCATACGCAGGGAAGATGAGGTTCAAGCATTAGAAAACCCGTCTGCGTAGTGACAGGACGACCAGCGGGAAAGTCTCGCGTTTCAAGGCGGTGACTCACAGGGGCGGAACGATGTAAGCTCATGGGCCGTACCAACAGAAATGGGACGTGACACTACTGGTGGGATATATCCCCCCGGGGCACTCCCATTTTTGAAGTCGAAAAGTTCAAACGGGAACACAGAGGGTAGCTACACTCCCCGGCCAGAAGTCTCCGAGCCCACTTTTTAAGCAGCCCTCAACGCCTACACCCTCCAACTTTCAGCATTCACAACGCACCCATTTCTCACTGTAATAATATGGAAAAAAGTTGTATTGTGTAGGTCATTTAATAGTGTGTGTACCAGCCACCTACTCTTTTTACTGCGGCGATTCGATGAGAACGCGTACGTCCTCAGGATCGATCTCTGACCACGCCCTTTTAATTAACTCTCTGGCATATGCCTTATGAGTAATATTAGCCTTCAAATTAGCGAAACCAGGCTCGATTCTCTATATCTGCTTCTTCAGAAGTGCCTAAACGTGCTCGATCGGGTTCAAATCAGGGCTGTGAATAGGCCAGTCGATCGTCCAGATGCCGTGCTCCTCTAGCCACTCTGGAGTGCCTCCAAATCGATGGATGTGAGCATTATATTGCATAAAAGGATCCCCAGCCTCGTAGAACAGAAGGAGCCCTTCCTCGAGGACATCTTGGTATGAAGCTGAAGATACTCCTCCGCGAGGAGCATCCTTATCGGGCTCGCAAAAAATGATTTTGCCTAGACCACCTTCTCTGCCGCGTAACCAAATCAAAGCCCAATACATAATGGAGATACAGGCTCTCCCATGGCTCTGAGGGTTCATAAGATCCTGCCTGTAACGTTCAGAAGAGAGGCGGATCACCCAATCGCCCGGATTATCGGGTGAATTCTGGACCATGACTTCGTCTGAGAAGAGCGTTCGCATCAGCTCCTCCAGAGCCTCTGGAGAGTCGTATTTATTGCAAAAAGCGAGCCTCTCTCGTGCATCATCTTCCATAAGCTCGATCTGCTTCACCCCCTTCTATTTGTGAAGCCCATGAGCACAAAAAACGCGCTTAATAGTGGTATAGGAATAGAGGACCCTGCTCTCCTTTTTGAGCTTTTTGTAGGTAATCTTAGGGTACTTTTGTGTTATTTTAACTAGCTGAGCTTTTTTATGTTTATTTAGAGTCTTTGTGGCTCCCTCTCAAGGTCGAGAGACCGTGGTGTTATGCTCTCTAGCAGTGTTGATAATATCGGTCACGATTTGAGGCCAATCCAGATGGAACGTGCTCGCGACATCGTCGCGCCTTGTGCCTGCCGCCCTGGCAGCCATAATAGCTGTACGAGCTTCGGAAGTAAATTCCTGGTTTGGCCCGCGATTTGCGGTCAGAATTGTACTAACTTTTTATAAATCCATCGTTTTAGTGTTGAGTAAATAAAATATGAAAAAGGAAGGGGGTCGCGAGCGCGTAGACACGTTCTGAAACTAGCGTGGTGGATGCTCGGAGACTTTTGGAGGGTCAGTGTACCATAGCGAGATTAAGACCCTCTTCTACGGCGGACCACAGACCGCCTTGATCTATCAGTGCTCCCAGAAGCCTACGGACCTCCGTGAAGTCCCTTACACGTCCCGAAGCTTGGTCTTGGATGATGGTTTTGTTGGAGATTGGCGAGTGGCGGCCGTTCAATAGAGCATTCCTGGATGAAAAGCTGGGTTGCGGAGTAGGAAACTAGATAGGGGGCAGCTCGTCGGATTGGAAGGGGGCTACAACTGCCGAGATTTTTAAGTACAGCTTCGGGCTTTTCGAAGGGTTCTAGGAAGGATTGCTGGCAGGTTCTGTTTGGTCTATTGCTTTAAACGGGTACGCATATTGTGTTTGTAAGCGTGTTTATCTAGCATCACCTTTCCCTGTCAGACTTTAATTCTTAACAATAAAGCTCTCCCTAAGCAACTCATCTTTTGGCAGACAATTCTGGTTCCTTATTCCTAGCTAAGCTACTAGAAAGCAAAAGCCCATTACCCCTAAACGAAGCCTGTTCACCAACCCGGAAAGCTCACCCAGGCCTCCTCGATCCATTCACCCTTCTTGTCCGGTGCCCCCTCTAGGTCATCGTTGCGGGGAAGCACCACATCAGGTGAGATCCTAGTCATTCCGAGCTTATGGGATTCTTTATGTGTTTCCGCCGACATCAACTCTGATCTGCGACGCAGATGGTAGAACACTGTTAGGTTGGAAGTGACACCAGGGTGGAATTCGAAGGTGACTCGCTTGAGGTTGACATTGAGCTGCCGTACGCCAAACGGAGCTCCGTCGCTGTCGAACGGCCAGGATTTCTGGGCTACGAACGCTCTCAGCGAGACGATGGCCTTAGCCGTGAATAAATCCTCCCACAACCTCAGGCCTGGGATATTGATTGTATCCGCTTGTGAATCTAGGTTTGTAACTGTAGCTCCGTTCGCCCACATTTCGCTCGAGATCATCCGCGGTCTGGACTTTCTCGATACGTCCAATTGGAGGAGTTTCAGGTTCAGGCCTTGTGTCTGGAAATACTCGAGGGTGCTTGGCCAAACCGGAGTCATTCGCGATACCCAGTCTCAGACAGCGGATGTGTTGTATTGTGGTCGATGGCATGAATTTGGTCAGATACTTAGACGAATCTTCCTCCTCAGTGGCGTCGTTGATTTTGTCCAGGTACCACTCAGGCGGATGTGGGGAACCAAAATGAACTGTCAGGTCTCCGACCGAATCATTCAACGGAACGATTATGTTGTTCTGACCAAAGAAGACGACGTGGGCTTCTTCGGCGAAGGCCTTGCTGACGAGGAACAGAGCAGTGGGAGCCTGCCAGCAACTGCAGTGCGGTGAGTAAGCGTTACGCACTCTGTTGCAGTATTAACCCCTGACATTGCCGTAAGCAACAAATTTGCAAGCCGAACGCTGGCCGGCAAGGGGCGGCGGTCCGGTGGAGAACAAATCCTCGACAGCAAGGGGAGCCTGTTCCGTAGGGTTCTTGATCGTAGTAATGGCATAACCACTGGAGTCGGACCAGAAGACTTCCTTCACGGGCAATACGAGATCGGTGTAACTTAGAATTCTCAGGCGGAGTTCGCTGGGGAGGTCGTTGTACCGGTGGAAGGGCAATGCAGGCCGATTACTGATGACCTGGAGGGCCGCATCGCGGGCCAAGCCTCCAAGATTATGTTTGGATTTTCTGTTGAAACTGATGCTGCAGCTGGTCAGTTTGGGTAACTTGCGCAGAGGCGCCAGCACAGCCTTCGCCTTCTTCGGGATCTTCCTTTTGGATTTCAGTTCCGGTTGGAGGGGGCGTGTTCCGACATGCTTGTTAACGAAGTCTGTAGCAGAGTCCCAGTCCGTGAATACGAATTAGCCTCCAGGTGGGAGGGTGCTGGTGAGTGATGGACTTGCGCTGGTGGCCACGGTAATGCTGAAGTCGGCGTTGGGTATATTCGGAGATGTCACGAGATAGGGTCCATGTTCTCCGTGTTGGCGAACAACGTGGTGTATCTTTGCAGCGCAGTCCGCGTACGGCGGGTGTCCTGCATGGTAACAGTTGGGGGATTCGTATCTGCAGTGGTCGTGCACCAACGGGGCAACCGTGTTGGAACCCGCCATGGTGATATGGAGGTGAGATGTCGACTTGGAGAGGTGACAGGATATTAGTCGGGAAAGGTGAGCTTCTGCTAGCCCGTCTAGGTAGAACGCGTCAGAGATGACAGGCACACCGATGAGTAAATGTGAGGAAGGGTGGAATTTGACGTGTGCGCGGTCGAGTGTGCTGTGATGCCTCATGTAGAAGGCAGTCGGCCGAAAAGAGAATTCGCGTGTTTAGCCAGAACCGCCGACTATCGTAGGGCGACTGAGTGAAACACCCCTCGGAAGGCTGCTGATACAACGGTAAGTTATCATCCACGACCTGACGGGGACCAGCGGAGGAAGATCGGGTGAGTTGGGAAGAGAGATGGAAAAGAGTGGTGGGAATGGATGGAATGTGTACGTATTGATGTTGTGTGCACGTGCACCTGGTATCAAGGACGTGCCTGCCTGGGGTGAATACCTGAGTACCTTCCTCCTCAAGTACCTGATCAGCGGCTGTACTCTTGTGAAGCACTGGGCAGTATACCACTGTCAACGAGAAGAAGAGGGCGCAGTCTCTGTTGTCGAGATAATCAGGCTGCTCCCAGGTTGAGGGTGCAGATGGGTGGGTGCAGCTTCACCAATCTTTGACATGTACGTACCTATGTACGCATGCCAGTTTTGGTGAGGCTGGGTTGAAATGTAGTAGAAGTCGAGGTGCAAGGTGCTGGTATCAGTTCTCTGGCACAAAATTTTTATGGCCTCCCAGACGCGAAAGTGGCACCTCGGGTACTCACAGCAACTGATGCCCGGGGAATCGCTTCCTAGGCAACGAGATCAGAGCACCACAAACCAAAGTTTTCCATCGTACTCTTCCGTGACGAAGCCAATCATTGCAGAGGGAGTGCCAACCATATATAATTGCGTGCTGGTGTACATCTATGCACGATACCCACTACCTCTAATAACCTAGGATACCCGTATATAATGGATTGGCCCCCAAGGCAGCCACTCCTCACTCACTTCCTCTTCTTCGTGGCGCCCGTGGCGTCGGTACCACTAGCCTTAACATCGCCCAGCATCTCCTGCGCTCCCGTAACATCAATCTTGGGCATGGACTTGGCCTGCGCCTTGGCCTTGCCCTCCTTCGGCGGTTCTGGCTCGTCGTCTTCACCACCCTGGCCGAACTCGTTGACGCGCGTGTAGTCGATCTTGTAGGCCCAGCGTTGGTATATGTAGACGAAGAAGATTAGGTCGTCTCGGAAGGTGGCGAGGCGGTGCAGGAAGGGCATCTTGATGGTGAAGGCGAAGAGGTCGTCGATGAAGGTGTTCACAAACTTGTACATCATGGCCTTTCCGGGCATGTGTGCGACAGACTTGAGTCGGTAGTTGATGTAAAGCGAGGGTACCATCATCAGGAAACCATACGCGTAGACGGAACCGACCAATGTGGTGATGACGAAGGAGTACCACGACTTGTGCGAGTCGTAGATCAGAGAGTAGATCGCATAGGCGATCAAGAGAGGCACGCCAGCAATGTACATGTACTTGAAGGCGATCTCGTCATACTCCTTGGTCTTCTCCTCAGTCTCGCTAAGCTTGTACTTGTCTTCGAAGGCGACCCGGTAGGGTATAAGTGAGCCTGGTGGCGCTGGACGAAGGCGGACATTGACCACCGTGGTGATCTTCCAAAATTCGATCAGGATACCCACACCTTGCGAGCCAAGAATCATCCAGCTTGTGTTCTGAGAGTTGTCGACCAGGTACAAGAAGATGACAGCTTGCATGAAGACGTTTGCGAGAATCGAGCGCACAGAAATACCCACGTTGTCCTTCTTCTTCCGATAGTGGGCAATGTCGGAACCAAAGGAGAGCATCTCAAGAAGCAAGTGAACAACACTCACGATGGCTGTTACGCCAAGCAGATAGGGGTTAGTGTCCAAGAAGATCTCCTTGATGAGTTCAATTTCGCTACCGTCTCCGCCGCCTGGGATAGAACCACCAAAGGCAGCCTGGTGAGCTTGCATCTTGGAGTTGTAATCGACTGACGCCATGATGTTGAACTGCCAGCTCTTCATGTTACCCAGATCAAGCCTCATCGGAAGGGACTTGACTGTATCGTTCAAAAGGGTCATGTGACTCCTCAATTGCCAAAAGGTGTTGACGTATAAGACCGGATCTTGATAGGGGTCAGCCGCTGCCACTACAGTTCATTTCAGGGGGCGCAACATACAGTACCAAGAATTTTGACCAGAACCATCACGAGCACCCGTCGGCTACTAGCTGTCAGTATATGCAGTTTCCACAGGTCACATCGGCTTTTGCTAGGCTTACCTCCAGGTGTAGGAACTGACGAGCAGCCGGCTGCATCTGAGGGAAGCTCAAGACACCCGTGTCAGGAATGAATGCAAGGCTCGTGTTGGGGTGATAGTAGTTGGCAATGACCGGTCCAGTAGGTTGCTCCTCAGGCTCCTCCGCTTCCAGGTCAGCCTTGCCTTCTAGCAAATTCCGAGTCTTTGCTTCCTTCTTCTTGGGGATGTACTGGGTCAGGGGGTGTACGAAGTGGACGGCGGTAGCAGGATCGAAGTTTGGCTCTTTCGGATCCAGGTTGGCACCCGTGAGTCCGATGTAGAACTGGCCCCAAAGTGTCCCGTTATTTTGTACAGATGTAGGCACGTCGAAGGTGGTCTCGGCGACTCGGCTGTCACTCGTGTTGCCCAGCTTGAAACCCGTCTCTTTCAAAGCTACCAGCTCCTTCGGCACACTGGCAATTTTCACAGATACGAAAGTGTTTGAGAGAATAACAACGATATCAACGGTGCTATCGGTGGGCCAAATGGGGGCAATGCGCTGCGGGATCGGGCTGTAACTTGCGCCTTCGTCGAGATGGTTCGGTCGCAGTTGGAAAGCAGGGATGTCGCCGTTGTTAGCAGGCACCGGAACGACCTGACCAGCTGCATCTTTAGTCGTGGCCGTCTGTGATTTGTTGCCGCCGGTGAACTGCTTCATCACAAACTGCATGCCGAAATATAGGAGCAGACCCTGAGCGACCTTGTACATCATCGACTGCTGTGTTCCGGGGACATAATGTCAGCTTCAGCCCATAAAGTGACATTCGACTCCAGCACTACGCGTGACTTACGCCTTGCTGCTCTCCGCGGCCATCGCCAGCGGCAGCTGTAGCTGCTTCCGGCATGATGGTGACGATAGTGCTGAGTTGTCAGAGGCGGGGAAGAGAGTTGACTCGAGGACAACTGTGCAGCTAGCTTCCTGCCAGTCTTTCAATGCAGGCCGGATAGACTGACGTCTTACACTGTAGAGCGTCAGACAAGAGAGACGGATTGTGCTTGTTGACAATGCGCCGTTGCCCGTAGTCGAAGGATGCGGTCCCGAGGTCAACCAGCATTGGGTTTTCAGGGAGTTGGAGTTGACCATCGACCCGGTCCCCGGAGCTAGGAGCTAGGCGGGCGTTCCGCCCCGACTGGCCCCGGCTGGCCAACTGCCACTTCGGACTTATCGGGATAATGCTTTTTACTCTTATTTATGTGCACTATATGAGTTAAATGCATGTTAATTAAACAAACAGCTCTTATGCATGTAAAGGCCACCCCCCTTCAAGATAAGGACCGGAAGAGCCCCATGATAAGATGCGCCCGTCCCGAGACAGCAAGGCAGCAGAGACGGACCCGACACTCCATTTCATTGGACTGTCCAACCTCACCGCTCACATCTTCTTGCGCGACGGGAGGATGCTCCAATGACTTCGACTGACGATGTTTGTCTGGATCCCAGTCGTGGCTATTGCAAAAGAACCTGAGCCACTTTTCGCAAGGCTGGATGCATATGAACCCAGTTCTGATCTTATCAAACCTACTTAATAATGGCTTTACACCATTCCGCCCGGAACTCTACTAGCAATCTGACCCGGGATGGTCCCATCTGTCTCTGGAAGTGAGCTCTGAGCGACGTCACTCGCTGATTAACACGTTCCCAACACTGCCCCGCCACAGCGTGCCAGCTAGCCAACTGCGGGTGCTACCTGTGCTATCTGTGGTGCTGACCGTCTACACGTGGACCCGTCTACTTCGTTGAGTCTTCGTGTGCCTTCGTGTGCCTTCGTGTGCCATTGTGACTCGATAGACCTGTTGACTCTCTTCCAGCTTCTTCAGCTTCTCATACGTCCATACCATTCTCGTCTACTGTCTCAGGACTGTCACCCAATGCCTATGATTCGCACCTGATCTCGCACACGCACGCTCTCTCTGTTCAACAGTCGACCCCTCTTTCCACACTCTATTTCTAAGACATCGCGTTCCAGATCTCTGCCGCCCAGACAGCCCAGACCGCTTCTTGCTCTTGCTCTTGCCCCCAACGCTCTCCTCTACATACTACTACCTAGACACATGCGCGATACAGACAGACAGGCAACAGACCGAAAAACAGACACGATGGAGTCCGGCGGCGCATCCCCAATGCCCTCTTCGGCCGCCACGCCCCGAACCTCGACCCCATCGACCCTCGGCCCGAACGCAGAGTCACAACGGACCAAGATATGCGTATACTGCGGCTCGTCGTCCGGCAAGGGCACCAAGCATATACAAGCAGCACGAGATCTGGGAAAGCTGATGGCTGAGAAAAACATCGCACTAGGTAGGCACACCGCCTCCCTCCAAGGCTCTCATCCGAACTTCCGGGTGCGCACGTGCGCATGCCCGTACTCTACGTTCTTCCCGCATTCCTGTATCTGACTCTTGCGCTTTCGTCTAGTCTACGGGGGTGGCACAGTCGGCCTCATGGGCGAGGTAGCAAAGACGATAGTATCGATATCAGGGCCGGACTCCGTACACGGCATCATCCCCGAGGCACTGGTCAAGTGGGAGCGCAATGACACGTACGGCGCCACCAGGGACGCGAACGGGTACCACGTGCCAGAGGCGAGCATATACGGCCGGACCACGGTGGTGAAGGACATGCACACGCGCAAGCAGATGATGGCGCAGGAGGTGCTCAAGGGTGGGCCCGGGTCCGGCTTCATCGCGCTGAGCGGCGGCTACGGCACCATGGAGGAGCTGCTTGAGACGGCGACGTGGAACCAGCTCGGCATCCACAACAAGGGCGTCTGCGTGCTGAACGTCGACGGCTTCTACGACGGCCTGCTGGACTGGATCAAGAAGTCGGTCGATGAGGACTTTGTCAGGGGTGCCAACGCCAATATCCTGGTGACGGCCACCGATGCCGAGGGCGCTATACGGGCACTGCGCGAGTACAAGGTCTCGGATGCGCGGTACGGGCTGAACTGGGATAACCAATGATGTGGGGCTACGTAAATGCTGCACATATAGTTAAACATAGATGATAAGTTCGGCATTCACGTCGGGTTAAATACCGGCATAGAATCGATCATAAAGCAGTTTCTTAACGCCGATATTGAACAGGATTGGGCTGAGATTATAGGCTAGGTCATTCATAAAGAGTCCTGCTATTTGCACCTTGTCTCCACCCCCATCTCCCCAGGCAGCTGGCAGCGGGCTAACCACCAAGCTTACTGCTTAGCATTAGATCGAGGTTGTCGGTGCAGTTGTCGGTGCAGTTGTCCGCGCAGTTGTTTGTGTCGCACCGTTGAGCTGTGGTGCTGGTACTGTCGGTCGCATCCCGGATGCTGGCACTGGATCATGGTAGTTGACGAGCGCTGGGTGCTGGTCGCCTTCTTCTCTATTTGGCTGTGGGATTTCTTGTTGGACGACATGGTTCTGCGGGGAGGGCATAGGTGACAGTAAACTAGAGTGAACTCGAGGAGTTGGGAATGGAGTACCTTAGGTTCGTCGGTCGAAGTGAGGTGAGGTTGACGAGGTGAAATGGATAGATCTTGATGATGAGCGGTGGTTGACGAGTAGAGGTTGGTGGTGGCACGTGAAGTTGATGGGAGATCAGGCTTGTGGTATATATGCTGTCTCGAGTTTGTATGATGTGCAGGAAAGAAGGAAAGGAAATTGGGAGGTTGTGATAGAGGAACGAGGACGAAAAAGAATGTATGAAGCGTTGCTGTGGTTATAGGTGGGCTCTCGCCAGAAATGAAATAGACGACGATGAAGAATGGCACGCAGCCGTGGTTAGATAGGCATATTATGGTGAGGAACGTCTCGGGAGGTGGTGTTTTTGAGACGAGTTTGTCGGCTACACTGACCCGCCATAAGTCTCCGAGCATCCCCGCATTTACACCAAAATGCCCTACCTTTACGCTTTTATAACTTAAAACTTAAAGCTTTCTAAAATGATATTATAAGGAACTTATATTTGAAAATGCTGAATTTTTCGTAAATAATTTCTAAATATTTATTTTCTTAGCGACTAAAATAGTAAGAAATAGATATATAAAAGTAAAGTTTAAAATCTTAAATCTTAAATCTTAACAAAGCTATAAGAAATGTTTAAAAAGTCGTATAGGTTGTAATAAAGTTATATAATATTAAATAACATGTAATATACGTATAAGATGAAAAACCTTATGTGATAGGTTTTTTTAAAATTAACTATGTTAGAAAGTTATATTTATCGATAATTTAATCTTTAATAAAGTAATATTTACGACCTTTATCTTTAAGATGTCAAAGTTTTTAAATAAGCCATTTTAATATTCCGGTAAATTTAACTATATGTACTATAAGTACTTAAGTTATATCTATTTTACTCGATTTATCACGATCGCATAAAGTTGGGGTGTTTTGGTGTAAAACAGGGATGCTCGGAGGCTTATGGACAGAGAGTGTAGCTATGAACAAATAAAATAAATTCTCAAAAAATGGAGAAAACAAGGCCAATCTCCCAAAATTATTCCAGAATCTTAGATGAGATGTGGGTGTCGTCGAGGACTAGATCTTTTGACCCCAATATTGAATGGAAGATCTTTTATATATCAAGGTAGTGATCACCGAGGAAGGCAAAACAGACTGGCTTATTAGGTGGTGAGCCTTAATAACTAGGTTAGGATGGTCGTTGTGCATGAGGGATGGCACACAGCTGTTTGCCACTAAAAGAAATCGTCGTATATGTATGACGACCTGTCAATGAAATGAACGTGTTTATAATGATACATCTATCTGGGTGATCTTGGGATAAACAGACCCTCGAGGGTTCAGACCAAAAAACGTTGACCAGTTCCCCTCGATTGCTTTTAGAGCTAATGAGTGTATTCTTTCGTAACGCCGTCCTCGCTCAGTAGGAAGGCCAGATCCAGGTTCTTGAAGGTCGGGTTCTACGGTGAATATACCCTAGAATTCTCAGCGCCCAGACTTTTGGAGCGGACTGCCACTAGCAAAGTTGCAAACCGGTCTTTTCACAGAGGAAAAACCTTGCCTGTAACTGGTAGCAAATCGTTTCGTTTTTGACCTTCGCCGAGATGTCGTCAAGCTTTTCCTCTTTCGCCTTTACAGCCGCAGCCATGGCTGAAGGGGTGTGCTCAAAGCACTCAATATGACTAAGGGGGGGATCCTTGCTTGGGTGATGCACTGAACTTGGAGGTAATTCGAATCGATGTGTTGGTATGGCAAAAACTCCAGACAAAGGGGAAGGCTCACCGCCCTTGACTAAACCACTCGGCACATTATACTCGTCTTCTCTAAAATTCGATAGATACTGGTTTGGCCTGGCGTCCTGGCACTAGGCGATCTAGTACTCATCCAATGCATTGATCGCTAGCAATATTTTCGTAGTATCTGAAGAATTCTTTTAGACGCGTAGCTTTCTGCTAGAACTGTTACAGTTCAAGTGTGAGCTCGTCCTCTGGTTGGCTAGACGCTGTTCTCAAAGTCCGGATCGAGTTCTCCATTTCCTTCTTTTTGTCGACTATATTTCCGCACACGGCCTTGTGGTTTTCTGGGTGTACGAACTCCATGGCGTCTGTATCATGCGACTTTGACGTTGTTCCTAAAGATTGGATGGATATGATACTTCTGCTAGGTAGAACGACAGGTGTTGCGGTATTAGTTTTAGGGTAACCTCTTCAATTGTCGTCTCTTACGATCCTTTTCCTCAGATGCGTGGATTTCATACAGTGGGTCAGCACAAATACTGAACACCCCACTCTTATAAAAGAACCCTCCTCATTATAACCATATTCAAAGCTTTGCATGAGAGAGAAAAAATACGGGATAAAGATAAATATATAAAGTTTTAAAGGCGTAATAAAGTTAATTTTTAAGGAGTATTCTAACTTGAATTATTATAGAGATTTTAATAAAACTATGTAAAAGTAGCTATTTTATACTTATTCTTACATCTTTTAATATAATCGATATATTTAAATGTCCTTTTAATTAAAACTTAAATATTCTACTTTTCAAAACATAGCTTAGTTAGTTTTTCTGTACTTATATTTTTAAACTGTTATAAAAAGGTAAGTTTATATAAATATATACCTAGTTTTTAAGCGGTGCTATTAATTAAAGAAAAACCGTTTATAAAAGAAATAAAACTAGTAGTTTTATATTTATATAGTAAAGTTAGTTTTAATATTTTCCCCCTTATTTTTAATCAAATAAAGTCTTTAACAAGCGTGTGTAAGAGTGCAAAAAGTAAAATTAAAAGGTGTTCGGGTTTTTTGTCTACCCACTCTATGCATATATAGCCTTTAAAATACTGCCGACGTGAACATTATGCTCTCATGTCTCATTGAAGTAATTTTAGATATATGATAATACGTTATAATCATCTATGAACTTTATATTATAAATAGGTACTCTTAGCTATTTTAAGTCTTTGTATGCCCTATATTAAAATAAATTTAATTATATATTAAAATTAGGATTATTAACGTAAGTAGATAGAAATAAACAGCTTAACGTAGATGACAAGCGAGCTGCGAGGTGGGGCTTCCATACAAAAAAGTCGGTGCGCCAATTTTTAACTTGAGAGGGGAAAATTGGAAAGATCCCGGACCTTTTTTTTTAGGTTTATAACTTGAAAATACATCAATGTCACTTTTTTTAGGTTTATAACTATTTTATTTCAAGATTTATTTTAGAATACGCTAAAGCCACCTTATAAAAAAGCCTTTTTAGGATGCACAGTGTTGGAACAGACTTGACCGATCAATCATAATACTCGGGTATGGGTCAAAGTCATGATGTTGCTGATGGGTTGGATTGGGGGGTCTAGCTGGACTTGCAGGTCTGGCTAAGTGTCCTCACAATCCGGTATCTAATCTCTTATCCAATCATACATGTGGATCTGGTATGGATGGTTTCAAGGTTGGAATCGCATAGATCCAACACACAGGCTATTATATCAGTGAAAAATAATTGCTATATATCATTATCATCTATAGAAAAGGCTACATTAAATGCAGCAGGTTCGATTTTCCCCCGATTTCTTTGAAAAGGTAGACGCACGGTTATACACTGACTTTTTTTGTATGCAAGGCCCATCTCGCAGCTCGCTTGTCATTTATATTATAACTATTAAGTTATTTTTAATATTTATTTCAACATGTTTATTTTATCTATAATATATTATAAGGTGATATTTATATAAGTGTTATTTACGTAGCTAGGTATAAGGGTTCATTTTTAACTAGCTTTTTATATATATAAAAAAGCTTTTTAGCTTTATTTTATAAATTTTAAAATAAATAAAATTTCCTTTTATATTTCTTTCGATTAGATTCATATAATAGTTGGAAGCCCAGAAGTCTTTTAAACCTTGATTTATTACGTAACTTATTATTAAAGCTATATTAATTTAAAGACATTTAATATCTTTTACTTTTATTATTATACTTCATTTAAGTTTTATTTTTTCAATTTATTAAAATAACGTTTATTAAGTTTACGGTTTAAAAGGTACTTACGAGAAAACCTACTTTTATAACATAGGGTTTTCAGCTTAAATACCGCGTATTAACGAATAAAGTTTAAGAGTTTTTTAACTTAAACCTTTTTAGTATCGCGCTTTTAACTACTATTATATAAATTTTAACGACCGAAAAAATAAAGCAAGCCTAGGCTTATTAATCACTGCTTAAGTTAAAAACGGGTTTAACTTATAGTTTAAAGCCTTTTTTTATGCGCATAGCGTATAACGTAAAGATGTTTAAAAACGCAGCTTTAATAGTAATTACCGCGCAATTTAACATGATCGTGGCATTTTTTCTTGCTTTTACCAGTGAGCGCGCTTTTAAAATAATTAAATTAAGACTTACTTTATTGAGCGCTTTTTTAAAAGCGACCGTAGCGAGAGCTAGTCGATTATAAAATTTTAACTACCTCGGTTATAAACAATTAATAAAGTAATAATATCGGGCTAAACGCGAGTTAATGGGTAACTATTAAAGTTTATAAAGTTAGGCCGGAATTTAAAGCGTATATGAGCTTCTTTTTTAACCGGTTTAATAACAAAAGCTTTCAAAAACTAGTTGTCAGATGTAGTGGTGGCTCTGGTGTGTGGTTTGACGTGGTCTGTGCATCACAATGGGGTGTGTGACAGCAATCGGGTGTTGTGTGGCAACCAAACAGTCACCTGTCTGGGAGACGGTTGGTAAGTGTTGAATGGAAGCCGGAAATAGACACCGGAAGATCTCCAGTGAGGTAGAGACGCATAGGGCATCTGACCCACCAAGAAGACAGATGATCAATCTCTGTACGCTAAAGAAGAAAAGCAGAAAAACAACAACACAATCAATAGAATCTATCAACATCCGTGTATTCAACAGTAAGGGCCCAAGGCCACCTATTTAGATAGCGATTCGTCCCTTCTGGACCACCAACCAGACACGAACAAGGGAACCAACCCGATCCTGATACATTCCCTGTTCTGACCCCTGTGTGACTTCTCACACTAGTTTTTAAATTGAGCTAAGCTTTTTAAAAGCAGCGGTAAAGCTTTTTCATTAAACGGCCCAAACAAACAGTAAGAATTATATTAATAATTTGTATAACATTTTTAATAATTATAAGTTTATTGCGATTTTTAAAAGATATAATAAAAGCTCCGTGCGAAAATCGAACGAAAAGAAGCATTTATGAAAAGCAACTTATTAATCGTTTAAACGAAAAAGCGTAGAATCTTCGTTTTATTAAACGTTAAGCTTAATTATTATCTAGCGGCAAAGTGGTTTTTCAATAAAATGGTATAAAAAACGCGAGCGAGAATAATTTAACGAGTTTATTATTAAATAAGCTTTTTATACGTTAATTACTTGAATCGATTCTTATTTTAAATATTTTATTACCAATTATAAGTTTGTAACGCTTATAAATATGAATTTTAAGAACTTACTTTAAATTATTAATCGATATTAAAAAGCAAGTTTAAAAACGCACGTACTGTGACGGTGTACAGCCGTATCCACCGGTATAGATGGATGCTTAGTCATCAGGTCACGTACAGTAAGATAATATAATAATATAACGCTTAAAAGTATCGCTTTAAGTAACTATTTTACTAACCGGTAATAAATACTTACCGGATAATAAAGCTAAAGCGTAAATATATAAGTGTCAGAATTCAGGGTCTAATATTGGTGTGAATTGCTTGCGTAATTATCTATTAGATCTGGGGACCAAATCTAGTACTAAATACACACCAAAGCACAAAGATTCGCCCATCTATTGATCTGGCAATCAATAGAGCCTTGTCTGTCACCCTTAAAGCCACCACTTCTTGTGCCTTCACCCCTTTCATCCTTTGACCACCTATTCTGGTCGGATACAGCTGCCTGAACAGCTGCCAACACACCTGTACGGCACCCTGTATCCCATAATAAGTATATATTAGTATATAAGTACGGGTTGGAAATATTAAATTACAAGGGTTAAAACAGCACATACTTACAATATTATACGGCCCTATTAGCCCTTATCTAATATATTCAATTGCTATAATATGTCTCTTTTATTACCACTCTTTAATAACACGTATTAAAAGCATTAAAATTACTATTATTTATTATGAAAAAGGGATATATAAAGCAATACGCTTTTATTTTATTAATATATAAAAGATAAAAGATAAAATAACTTACAAGCAATAAATAAGCTTAAAATACCTATTTATTTAAAAGGTATATCGTAAAGTAATATTTATACAAGTAATATTTATGTAGCTAAGTATAAAGGTTCGTTTTTAACTAGCTTTTTATATATATAAAAGAGCTTCCTAGCTTTATTTTATAAATCTTGAAACAAATAACACTTCTTTATATATCTCTTCCAATCAGCTATACGCGATATAATAAACGCACTTTCGCTTAAAGAATGAAAAGGGTACGGAGACTTATAATGGTTCAGTATACGTAGATTAAAACACTAAACGTTGGAAGATGTGCATTGCGCACAGCTTTAATATTTAAGACAATAGGGATACGAGTCACCGCTAATAGGACACCAAGCCCGGAGGTGTGAGTTCAGCTCCGAGATATACAGCAATCGAGTTATTTTGTTTCGTGACCACAGGTCATTCAGATATGGTGGGACCAGAGGTCTAGTAACAAGGAAGAAGAGTAAACAGTATAAAGGCCACACCCTCAAGCCTGAGAGATATACAGCAATAACTGTGTCAAGAAACGATCAAGCGGATTATGGTTTGGTTTGTGGTCCTTGGCTGGCAGAGTGAATGGCAAAGCAGAGCCCATCTGCAAGAACCGCGAACGGAATCTAGTACTCAGGATAGGGGAGCACCTCAGCACATGAACATTGTCGATCATTCACCCTAAATCATTGGCACAAAGTGGATATCTTAGAGGTTGGGAAATCATTCGTTCCATTTTTATTGTGCGAAAAAGCACGTCGAGACGAAACCCACCGCTTCTTCCGCGGAAAACATCTCCATCCTCCGTCTCTAGATCTAGATACGGGCCCTCCCCTTTGTCCCTACCACGCAACTAGCCACTACTTCTTCATCTTGCGTTCCTGGTCGGCGATAGCTAGCTGGACGGCTTCTAGCGCCGTAAGCATGCTGATTCCGTCGTCTTCGGGCTTTCCCGAGTCGCTGTCATCGTCTTTCTTCTTGTCCGTAGAGCTACCTTCCTCGGGAGATTTGGCGTTTCCCTTGAAATCATGGTTGATCTGCATATGGCGAACCATGGAGCTATAGTGTTGGTATCTCCGGTCACAGCCTGGATGCTGGCATGCAACCATGGTGGTTGTCGAGCCCTGGGCGCCGTTGTTGTTGTTGTTCTTCTTCTCCCTCCGCCGCCGGGATTCTGCTTGGAAGACATGATTTGCTGGGAAGTTATAGGTGTTAGTAAACGACCTAAGTAAGGTGAACTCGAGGGTTGGGGAGGTAGTAGTCACCTTGGGGTGATTGATCGAAGTGATGTTATGCCGAAGAGGTGGAATGGATGAATTGTGAAGATCAGCTCTTGTTGATAAAGGCGTGATGATAGGTTTCACGTTGGGGTATGGGAGGAAAGAGAATGTATGAAGGTTTTGCTGTGGCTATATAGGCGGGATCTTGTTAGAAATACAATGAATGACAATGCACAATGGCACGCAGCCGTGGTTGAATAGGCATATTCGACATCAGAATAGGGCCATTGTGTCTGTCCCTATTAACTTATGACCCATTGACCTATGTGTAGTCGATAGATTCTCGGGAATCAATGGTATTAAGATGAGTGTGCAGGCTTGCTATGAACAAATCAAACAACACGCGATGTAAATTGAAACAATCTTGAATCTCCTAGCTTTTTACGATTTTTTATTAATGGGATCTTTCAGGCTATTTGCAACACGTTTCCTATACATTAGTCAATGGGCTATCTCCCCCATCATCTCGTTGCCTCCATTTGCTCCATATCCTACCGGGAACTGTGATCCCACCCCTGTCCCCGTCGGCCATCTCCCGTTCACCAAGTAATTGGGCGTCGCTGCTGGCACTGGCCAGCGGTGCCATGCGAACACCCGAATGACGAGAACCGCCCGAAATTGGAGAACTGGTCTGACTGTCGGGAGTTGTCCTGACCATGGTCGCCTCTTCCAGGTCTCGTCTAGGCGCAAGCGGGTTCGACGAGCAGACAATATCAGCGATCATCTCGGCTAGATTTAGCTCGATGATGAGCTTCGTCATGAAAACGAGTGGATTGAACTGCATGTATCTGGAACGACGATTAGCTCTGCTGTGTTGGCGCATAGGGCGGGGGGTTGGTGGAAGTTTACACCACGCGGCAAGAGAGGGACATGACCCCTATCAGGACACCCTACTCGACAGTCAGCGCAGCGATCCGGAAGTCAAGATTTCAGGACAAGATATCGACCAACATCCAACGATAACCCAAGACAGATCATAGCCACATTGACCCGAAACAGCGTCCAGTACTTGTTCAGACCCCCCAAGATGAGCTGGCGATAGAAGATGCGCAAAAACGCCACGTTGAGCGCAACGTCGAGCGCGGCGAAGATGCCTTTGGTGGCGCGGTCCCAGACGTCGTTGACGGCGACGACGGTCGGGTTGAGCTGCAGGCGCGCCGGTATCCACGTGACGGACACGGACACCGTGATCAGCGTCATGACGAAGAAGATGGCGAGCTTGAGCTTGCGCGCGCGGCTGGAGCGCGGCCCAAAGAGGAGAGAGAGCCGGTTTGCGACGATTTGGAGGATGCATTGGAGTTCGACAATCCAGAGGATTTCTGGAGGGCGGTATCGCTTGTTAGTGGACATTGGGGACGACGACATCGTCGTCGTCTGTGATAGGGGGAAGGGTGGGGGGACGTACGCATTGCGAAGAACGTCCAGAAGCTATAAGGGGGAAAGACCATCAGCGATGCATATTCTAGTACACTCGCAACTAAAACTTCGTTGTGAGGTCCACACCCACTCACCTAGGCGGAAGAATACCCTGCAGAAACAGCCACGACAGCACCGAAATCGACGCGCTCGTCCACCACTCGGCCCAGACGAGCGCGATGTAGACGTTGAGCACGCGTCGGCGCCTCCACGAGAGCCAGGTCTGGCGCGCCGCCTTGGCGAAGGCGAAGACGCCGCAGCTGATCGACATGCCCCAGAATATAGACGCGATGTTGGACATTACCCGGTCGGGTCGCTGGCTCTGGTACCAGGGCGGGATGAGGAAGCCGTGGTCGGCCATCGTGTGTTTTTGTGCGTGTGGCCTGTGGCTGCTGCTACTTCTGCCGCTGCTGATACAGCGTGGTGTATGATGTTGTCTGCTGCTAATACAGCTCGGTGAGTGATATCTGCTGCTGATATAGCCTGGTGTGTGACGTTTGCTGCTTGTACAGCTCGGTATGTGATATCTGCTGCTAATACAGCTCGGTGAGTGATATCTGCTGCTGATATAGCCTGGTGTGTGACGTTTGCTGCTTGTACAGCTCGGTATGTGATATCTGCTGCTAATACAGCATGGTGTATCGAGACGAACTCAACGGATGTTCACGAAATAACTAGGCCTCATAGCGACTAATATCGCGAAGTCTGCGTGTGTAGAATAAAGAGGGGAACCACATGCGGCAAACTATCAAGGACACTTGTCGTCAGATATGCCGAACCTACCCAAGGTAAATACATATATGTATTTACCTCCCTCCTCACCTAACCCGAACACGAACCCAGCTGTCGCGATGTTCCCTCACGAGGCGGGTCCAATGCACGACGACGAAACTCGGGTGTAAAGCCTCGAGTCTATTATGTCCCCAGGACTGCGAGACAGCCGGTTGAAAGCAGCCGCGGCGAGGAGAGCCGTATGATTTTGAGTTCGACTGGATAACCTTCGCTTGACGCCATATACTCCCAGCCGGCAGATTGAAGCAGCATTAGCGGTGCTTCTGAGTGGCCGCGTCGACTACGCGGATTGACTTTCGTTTGCGATTGTGTGTCCTTCACCGCGGCTTTGCAGGTCGTTCTGGGTTGCCTTTCCTTGGTGGGCTACCTATAGTCAAGAGATTTCGTCCAGATTAGGACATTCTAGATCCACCCAGGGTAGGTAGCCCATCGTTTGGATAGCCCGCCCCCATGATGTGGGTAGGCTAGGGTAGTCTTCACTGCGAATAGCAAATTCCCGGCCGGGGATGGGGAGAGAATGCCGCCAGATCTGTCCGATGGGCGGTTGGATTCAATGTCCAAGCCAAGATACCTTGGTACGTAACTTGACGCTAGGAAAAGTCATGGCAGACAGAATTGCGTGGATTCAGGCCGTGTTGCAATGCACAAGAAGGCCATCTGTACTTGTCTCATGAGCACCCAAAGTTTGGCGGTGGCAGAAGAGGAGTCGATCATCTGGTGATTTGGATTGAAGATCTACCGGTAGTAAGAGGTTTGTGCCCCTTGGAGAAACGGCGTCCCTTGAGTAGGAAATCTTGATGAGAAAAACTAAGATCCGATGTGCCGTAGAGGTACTCTGTGGACACAGATAGGTAGTCCTTGGACCGTAAGGAAGGTTAAGGTGTGCCCAGCGTGTAAGTTACGTTGCGGATGGATAAAGTAAATTCTTATAAGAGCAGCAACACACGCTTCCACCATACAACTATTTTTCTTGGCGCCCCGCTGTTAGGGCGCAACCTCGATATCTGCGCTAAAGTAGGCACTTCTCTCAGTAACTGACTATCTTTGCCAAGGCACAAGATAATTTTTCTCACAAGCCGGATGGCACCCTTCCACGACGGGCCCCCAAACACGCCCGTGGCCGTCCCAAAGACGACCACCGGCGGCGTGCTCAAATCCCTGGTCCCTAGAAAGACATACGGCCTGGCAACTCCGAGCAGGCTCCGCCAGGCGCTGCTTGACGACATCAGCAGCAGCCCGTCATAGGTCTCTGAGGCTGACTTCACCGTTGTTTCCCCTCTGAAAGGAAAATCCCGAAATATCAATGACAGCAGCACCACTGGAATGAAACGACCTCAATTAAACAAAATCTCTACAGACCAAGCCATTAAACGTAATACTGGGAGTAAAAGCCTCCTCCTTAGAGTACCAAGACCAAGTTGCCAAAGTACTGGATAAAGACAGGCACCTTTATGAAGTCAGGATAATAATGTTTCAGGAGTGTGCTGCAACAATTAACAAAACACTTAAGAAAGCCGGAACCGAATTATACTCACATGCCAAGGAGTTCAGCGCCTTCTTCTCTAAATGCCTGAACGAGTGGCTAAAAACCCGAGATTCAACCATAAGGAAGGCCACTTCCAGGGGGATGGTGATGGGGAAGCCCACTATGACTTTCGCCCAAGTTGTCTCTTCTAACCACCGACAACATCCACTGACAGTCAACATCATCATGAAAAAAACACAGTCTGGCACCCTTACTGCTGCTAACTAACTGAAGAAGAAGCAGGATGATCTCTGGATCTTTGTCCGTATGGACAATAGCCACTTAAAGCCTTATAGGATAAAGTCTACACTGAACAGAAGACTTAAGCTCTATCCCAAGAAGCTTAGAGAGGTGACGCGGTGCCCCTCCGGGTTCACCTTACACCAAAGGGACAAGCCAACTCAGACTAAGCTCCTGGCCTTCCAAGAAGAGATCGCCGACATTCTTAAAGCACAAAAGATCGAAACCCACACAGTCTAGCATCACTACAAGGTTGATTGATGCCCAAGAAAGGTCATCAGTGCGGAAGGGTTTACAATTGATATTACTAACACTGTTGTCACTGGCGAGGTTAAAGCACAAACAGGTGACAGACCTTTAAGGTGCATACTTTCAAGGAACATGGTTGATTCAGATCCAGAGACCACATGGGTGATCTCTCTGCTCCATGCAGCAAAGAAACCATTCACGCTTTTTGCTCACTTAATGACCTCGAGGTACATTCAATACTCCCCTAAGGTTCACCAGTGTGTGAGCTGCTTCAGATACCATGGTAGAAACTACCGCTGTGAAAAGCAAATATGTGCACGTTGCACCAGCACAGTATACCAGGGGGAGTGCAAAAAACCAATCCCAAAGTGTGTCAACTATAAGGGGCCTCATGCTGCCGACTTCGACAAATGCCCCGCACACCCCAAGGTCGTGAAAGGTATCATCCACAAGCACACATTGGAACAAATCCAGGAAATAAGGCTGGCCAGAGAAAGAGCCAGACCCAGGGCCTTCAATGAAACAGGCAGAAACCAAGCCGGGTCAATGCCTAACAACAATAACAAAAACACTACAATGCAAATCGACACAACAAATACAGCTCACCCCAGAGATGCCGACACCATTGTTGTCCATCAATGCTAGGTACATCAAAACGAAACATATCGACACGGGCACCTGGTCATCCATTCAGAAAATGCGGCAGGAGGACAAAAGAGTGCAGGCCCTACAGAATTAGCCATTAACCTGGCTGACTACAAAGGGGAGCAAGCAGACATCATTCTGATACAAGAACCCTGGGTCATCGCACTATAAGGCAGAAGAATGGGAGTAAAGACACACCCAAATTATGATATATATTCCCCGGTTGATTCCTGAGATAGCGACAGTACACGACCCAGATCTCTCATCTATGTGAGAAAACATCTTCAAGCGGATCAACTTCGGCCTTATGCTACACGAGACATCACTTGGGTCAAGGTACAAGGCATTACATTTGCCAGCGTCTACCGACCATGCGACAACCCACAGGAAGTGGATGATATTCTGGAAGTATGTGTTGAATACGAGGGTCAATTAATTGAGTGTATTGTGATGTTGTGGTCGAGCACTGTCTATCTGTGTACGAGTTTTCAGTACTAGTTTTTGCCCTGGTGGCTGGTCGCAGTCTAGTGCGCTGTCATCCACGTGACATGGTCAGTGCATAGCCCAAATAGTGCGCTGGTATCTGACAGTATGGACTCCACCCTTTGGCTGCGTCATAGCCGGGGATTTCAATGCTGGCGACACATCCTGGGACTTAAGCAATCCAGGATATCATAGTGGTGCTATACTTGCACAGACTATGGCAGACCACAGACTGGATCTGTTGAATAGGAGCCGGAGATAGACACCGGAAGATCTCCAGTGGGGCAGAGACGCACAGGGCATCTGACCCACCAAGAAGACAGATAATCAATCTCTGCACACAGAGCACAACAATCAATAGAATCAATCATCATCCGTGTATTCAACAATTAAGAGTCTCATTGAATCTACGCAACCAGCATCCATATTTTGAATACACATATCATACAACCATTTCAAGATGAATACCACAGTTCCAACCCAGAACGCAACTGTGTACTACCGGTCTCAAAAGGACTTTGTCAGCTGGTGACTCCAATTCCAGAAAAGGGCTGAAGCACTTGGCATCTGGCAACATATCGAGCCAGGAGTAACTACTCTATGGCCAATAGCACCAACGCCTCCAGATATCCTATCAGAAGAGTATTCAAAGAAGCCTACCAGAACAACTCAAATAGTAGTGGAGGAGGCACGAGTCCTCGCTTCACACTTTATAATAAAAGGAGCAACTGATTTCAAGATAAACTTCGCCTTATTTGAGCACAAAGACAAGATCTACCAGCAAACTAAGGCCTCTATATCTGAATTCATTAAGTGGACTCTCAAAATCGTCAATCCTACCATACATGAGACCAAATTACTCCCCAATAAAACCTCTATCAGTAGTACCAGGAGCTCGCAACTGGAAGAGCCATCTACAGTGAGATATTATGCACCAGGCCCAAGTCGACTACCGTGCCATTATATCAACAATCAACAAAGGGATAATAATAATAAAAAGGGGGTAGGCGGGGGTTCATTAATTGGATTAAAGAATGGGAGTTGGTTATGACCAGGGCTATGAAAGCCAGGGTTCCTGAGTCTCTATCTCTAGCAACTTGATGTAATGACTTCATAGCCACTGTTGCCTCGATGAACTCCATTGGTCTTCTCAAGCCAGGGCAAACAAGAAGGAAGAAGTGCTTAAAGGCAGTATTTTATACTCCTAGATAGCCTCTGACCTCCATAATGACTGGATAACAACGTACGCCATTACTAATCCTTTAAAGTGATAGAAAGCGGGCTTTCTAGCCCTTTACAAAGAACAGCCTGACAATACAGGAGACTTGACTGGAGATAAGAGAGAAAAAGAGCATCCTCAAGAGCAATCAGACGCAAGAGGCAGAGGCCGCAATAAAGGAAACAACAACCAAAGACGGCAAAGGGGC